GATTGATGATAGAAAGAGATACTAATATATATGAGTCTCAAACAATATGTAACAACCAATGTGAGACTAAACTGACACAAGCAGTCACATGTAAGTTTTACATATTTGTATACCTATAATGTCCTTGATTTTTGAGAAAGAAGGGCCCCTATGGTGTCATTGGGTAAAGGTATGAGTGTCATTGGTTAACTCTCTCTCACACAACCGAACGATTGATAAGGGTTGAAATCTCACAAAAGTCACCCTTGCTTTCTTTCTCTTCTCAAAGTTATCTTCTATGAGTTCCTAACTGACCTTAATTGGTAAATAGAAAGGTCACTCATCTAAAAAAGGGTAAAAGGGATAACAATGAAGGTGGTGGTGGTAGACAGAGATGGTTGATAGCAGCACTGATAACTAGGTGCAAGCGGTGGTAGAAGGCCACGAGGATGGCAAGAGGGGAGCTATGTCTACAACTAAGGTGGTGGCGACAAGGGGTGTGCTAGTAGTGAAGAGAGGGAAGGCTGTAGAGGTGGCAAATGGCGAGACGTAAATCAACAACTATGAGATAAAAGGCTCAATGTTAAAGCTATTGTGTTTTAATTAGTTATATTACATTATTTTATTTTTTTAACTTTCATAATAAATATATGAATATATTGTTAATTTTAGACATTTGAAGTTAAAATACTTAGTGTAATTTTTGATTATGTAGATAAATAAAATAAAAAAATATAAAAATATCACCTCCCGCTTGCAAGCTGGCACTCAGTAGTTGACCTAGAGGGGTGTTGCGGTCGAGTAGGTGGACCCAGATCAAGTGAGCCACAAGTTCGACTCCCTTGGTGACCAACTAGTCGTGGAGCAAGGACTACCATACACATGTGTGCGCGTGAGAGCAAACCACCTTTTAATCTTCTCCCAAGATGGTCTTGGTTATTTTCTTGTTTTGGGAAAAGGGATCTCTACTGAGAGACCGTAGGTTTGATTTATATTCAACTTATTCGTAAAAAGTATTTCCGATGTGGGACTAAAGTTTCTTGTGTCTCAAAGCAGCCGTCTAGTGTAGTGTCATCTAGTAGTGTTCAATGAGCCATGTCATTAGATAAGTTAGATTCTATGTTGGGCGAGTTGGCACGATACCAAATGCATAAAATAATTCATTTGCAGTTCATGAATCTAATGCCGCTTTGCATGCATTCGACCATAAATGATGATCTGATGACTAATGAGATGCCACAGTACTAGGGACTCAAGTTCATGCCAAGTTAATTCGGCATCACTCAACGTGTCATGTGACCAAGCACATTTGATCCAGTAGCTTGCAAAGTGTCATGATACTAGGAACTTAAGTTCTTGCACGTATCATAATTAGGGATATAAAGATAATAATCAATTATTTGTCTTGTAAAATAAATATTATCGATTATCTTTAAGATCCCCACATCAATAGTGAATATGACAATTTATTTCCTCCCTCCTTTCACACGATCAACACCTTCAGTGATCAGCAAGCTTGTTCCTTCTTCCCCCAACTACACTCAAGGCCTTTGGCAAGTGGTCAACTCTTTCCTTCTCCTCCCAGATGATGGTGACAGTGTTGTCGACCCCTCTTTTTGATGAATCTCCCCAACAAGCATTGTTGATCCCTCTTTATAACTTTCGGCATGGTGTGGCACGTTTGGACGAAACCAAGCCACCACAATAGTGTTTTAGTTGCCCAAGAGATAGACTAAATTTAGGCAATGATTTATTTTTTGCTTTCATCATTTATTTACATGCCTTTAATAATTGTTTCTATTTTATGCATATTTAGATTGAAATAAGTAGAACTAATTCAAAACTTAATGAATGATTTCCGTTCTTCTTCTAAATCCTCCAAAATTCATCTTAGATCAAGCTAAGATCATTTTCAACGTGTTATCTATTGATTTTCATACTTAAATATCGACAAATAACAAGTATCTTTCTATTTTCGAATACAAAATCAGAGAGAGTAAAAGCTAATTAACGAGGTTGAACTGTTAAAATAAGGTGGAGATATTCACCACTGATCTCATGTCATGTGTGTGAATTCTAGAACACACATTTGTCTGAGAATCATGGTCACTGTGAAAATGGCAAGATCATAGTTCTCTCTTTCTTAATTATCATCTTATTTCACTCTTTCCTTCTCTCGTGAGATATATTCTTCTCTCTCTATCTCTCGTGAGATTTCTCTTTCTCTCTTTCAATTGATCTCTCTCTCTTTCTCTTTCACAATTGATCTTACTCTCTCTCTCTTTTTCTTGTGAGATGTTTCTCTCTCTCTCTTTCTCTCCCTTTTTCTCTCTTTTACGAGAGATCTCTTCCCTCTCTTCCCTCTTTCCTTTATTTATTTCCCTTCTTTTATTCTTCTCACCTCACCTTTTTATTTTCTTATTTCTGTTAAATAGTAATAAAATATTAAAATCATCTATATACAAAATAAATTAGTTTTCATAACGAATTAATCAATCTCCTTATGTTTAACTTGAGACTTACATCTATGCTAATATCTTATTGTCTTTAGTTATAAATATTATTAGATAATGAGTATTAAAATACAACGGCAAGTGCACATCACTCAACTAGTAGAAAAAGAGGAGGAGAAGAAGCTCCAAACCAAGAGCGAGAGGATGCTCCAGCCAATCCAAGTTGAGGAGATAGTATCATAACACCACGCTTGAAATTCAATATCTAATGTTCAAATACCAGAGGTTTTCCAGCTTATTTATCGGCCTCAACTAGTAAAAAACTAAAACAAATTATACCGTTCAGAAAAAAATAAATCTGTCGCTGCATCAATCAACACTACCGAGCAAAGGGCGGGTGATTTTGTCTTGTCCTAGGCGAATCCCAACTCGTGCAGACAAATAATTCTTCGGCGTGTAAGCGCGATTAGTCGTCCTTGGCGATGCGGATCTGGTATCCGCCGCCCTTCCTCTCCTCGACGGAGTGGGGCAGGTAAGTGCCGAGGACCAGGTCCCAGGTGGGGAGGAAGTGGACGGAGTAGTTGTGCTTCATGCCCTGGTGCTGGTGGTGGACGGTGTGGAAGGCGGTGTTGTTGGTCATGAACCGGTGGATGGGATTGTACTCGGGGAACCACTGCCCGCAGTGGTCGTCCACCGCCTTCACGGTCAGCAGGCTGAAGAACACCGCCGTCGTCCGGAGGGACATCCCGGAGATGAAGACGGACAGGAACCCACCGATGATCTCGCCGAAGAAGGCGTCGACGGGGTGGATGTACTGCGCACCGTAGGCGTAGGGGACCATCAGGAGGTGGTGCATCGCGTGGACGTGCTTGTACAAGAACTTATTCTCGTGCGTCCACCTGTGCCAGAAGTACTCCCACCCGTCCATGAACAGCATCGCCACGGCCAGCTGCCCCGCCACCTGCAGCAGGGACGCCGAGGGCGCGTCCACGGTGGCACCCTTCTCTCCTCCCGTGACCTGCGCATATTTATTTTACCGCTTCGACGTGAGCCCGATGCGAACGGGAATGTTGGACGGTCGGGAGCCGGAGAAAGGACAAGAAGTGAGAAGAAGAGTAAAGATTCAGCAGGAGGAGAGAACCATGAAGATGACTGTGGAGAGGAGCATCTGCATCGCCTGATTCGCGAGGACTCCCACTATCACCTGGCGCCTGGTGGCGAGGTTCTGGGCCTCTTCCTCCCCCTTGGGGAACAGCCGGTGCTCGTCCTTGGGACTTAGCAGCATGTGATAGATCCCGGAGGCGACCCAGTAGACGGCAATCGGCACGAACACCGGCAGCAGCTCCTCCGACATGCCCAACGCCATGGATCGACGCACAGATGGGACTCCGAAGAGGGATTTCACCGCGTCACGGGGAGAGGAAACACGCCGAAAACCGGTCCAACCGGTGATCACTGGTGATTGTACTGATTGCTGTCGAGAAGGCTAAAGGCGCCGTTATATTTATAGTTCTCCATCTCATGCCCGCCGGGCCACGAGCTTCTTCCACGATCGCTCCGCTCTCTTCTTGCAGCTGAGGAGACGAGTCTTTCGCCGCCACGGCTGACTGAGCTCTCCTAAAACCTTCCGACTTCCAGGTGAAATTTTCCACGCCATTGAAGACTAAGATCATAATGTCTGGTATAACCGGCGCTTCTGCCCATCCTGAGTTGGCGGGCACTCAACGAGTGCTTCATGAGATTCAAGGGAAACGGCTTCTTCGTCAGTAATGTAATGTGAAAACAATTCCGTGTGTGCCAAAAAAGCGGTCGTCGAAAAATAAGAGAAACCAAAAGACTTTCACCTGCGTACCATGCACATTGAGACGGTATGCCATACTATCCGTTAGTGAATTCTTGAAGGTCTGATCTCTACTCTATACGTGGCATCTTCAGACAAGTTGGTAGATATCTTTACGAAAGGTCTTAGCATCTCGTCTTATGACGCTTTCTCACATAAGACGTTATGCTCAACGTAAAAGTCTTTTGGTTTCTCTTATTTTTCGACGACCGCTTTTTTGGCACACACGGAATTGTTTTCATAACGTCTTATGTGAGAAAGCGTCATAAGACGAGATGCTAAGACCTTTCGTAAAGATATCTACCAACTTGTTTTCACATTACATTACTGACGAAGAAGCCGTTTCCCTTGAATCTCATGAAGCACTCGTTGAGTGCCCGCCAACTCAGGATGGGCAGAAGCGCCGGTTATACCAGACATTATGATCTTAGTCTTCAATGGCGTGGAAAATTTCACCTGGAAGTCGGAAGGTTTTAGGAGAGCTCAGTCAGCCGTGGCGGCGAAAGACTCGTCTCCTCAGCTGCAAGAAGAGAGCGGAGCGATCGTGGAAGAAGCTCGTGGCCCGGCGGGCATGAGATGGAGAACTATAAATATAACGGCGCCTTTAGCCTTCTCGACAGCAATCAGTACAATCACCAGTGATCACCGGTTGGACCGGTTTTCGGCGTGTTTCCTCTCCCCGTGACGCGGTGAAATCCCTCTTCGGAGTCCCATCTGTGCGTCGATCCATGGCGTTGGGCATGTCGGAGGAGCTGCTGCCGGTGTTCGTGCCGATTGCCGTCTACTGGGTCGCCTCCGGGATCTATCACATGCTGCTAAGTCCCAAGGACGAGCACCGGCTGTTCCCCAAGGGGGAGGAAGAGGCCCAGAACCTCGCCACCAGGCGCCAGGTGATAGTGGGAGTCCTCGCGAATCAGGCGATGCAGATGCTCCTCTCCACAGTCATCTTCATGGTTCTCTCCTCCTGCTGAATCTTTACTCTTCTTCTCACTTCTTGTCCTTTCTCCGGCTCCCGACCGTCCAACATTCCCGTTCGCATCGGGCTCACGTCGAAGCGGTAAAATAAATATGCGCAGGTCACGGGAGGAGAGAAGGGTGCCACCGTGGACGCGCCCTCGGCGTCCCTGCTGCAGGTGGCGGGGCAGCTGGCCGTGGCGATGCTGTTCATGGACGGGTGGGAGTACTTCTGGCACAGGTGGACGCACGAGAATAAGTTCTTGTACAAGCACGTCCACGCGATGCACCACCTCCTGATGGTCCCCTACGCCTACGGTGCGCAGTACATCCACCCCGTCGACGCCTTCTTCGGCGAGATCATCGGTGGGTTCCTGTCCGTCTTCATCTCCGGGATGTCCCTCCGGACGACGGCGGTGTTCTTCAGCCTGCTGACCGTGAAGGCGGTGGACGACCACTGCGGGCAGTGGTTCCCCGAGTACAATCCCATCCACCGGTTCATGACCAACAACACCGCCTTCCACACCGTCCACCACCAGCACCAGGGCATGAAGCACAACTACTCCGTCCACTTCCTCCCCACCTGGGACCTGGTCCTCGGCACTTACCTGCCCCACTCCGTCGAGGAGAGGAAGGGCGGCGGATACCAGATCCGCATCGCCAAGGACGACTAATCGCGCTTACACGCCGAAGAATTATTTGTCTGCACGAGTTGGGGCACATCATCCTTTGACGGATCACAACTCGAGCAGCCAAATAATTTTTCCCGAGACCATTGCTCTTTTCTGGACAATAATTTTATCCTTCGAGCAGGATGGAACCCCGTTGTTGCGTGGATTTTGCCCAGCTGTTAATCATAGAATATGCCCCAACTTGTTCATCTGCCATCAAGAAATAAGACAATTCGAAACGAGAGTCTAAACAAGAGTGACGATTACTAAAGGACACGAACTCATCCAGGCGCAAATGACGTAAAGCACCGCTAGCTTTCAGTAACGCGTCGCTGGTGTTAAATGAAAAACTCTCTCGCTCTCTCTCTCTCTCTCTCTCTATCTCCTACCTCCCTACGGCCCTTGATGCAGCATGATCTAATTTACCAAGCTGTCATAGAAGCAAAGGATGATAACACCAAAAAAGCTTCACATACCAACGTTAAACCAATTGAAGATGCTTTGTCCGACTTTATTATTTATTTAGCTCATATCAATGTTAAACTAGCGAGCCTTTCTAATTTTCAACAAGTCCTATTAGGGATATAAAGATAATAATATATTATTATCTAGTAAAATAGATATTATTGATTATCTTTAAAAATCTAGTAACATTCGTGAATACGACATTCTTTTTTTTTTTTGCATGATCAATGCTTACGACAATCGACAAGCTTGTTTCTTATTTCCTCGACTATAGTCAAGCCCTCTAGCGAGTGGTCAACTCTTTCCTTCTCTCCCTAGACAATGGTGATAGCATGGTCAACTCTTCTTTTTGACGGACCTCTCTAACAAATAGTGGAGCACTTTTAAATGATATCTCTGTGACTTTCAACATGGTTTGGCACATCTAGATAAAACCAAGCTACCACATCAGCATCTTTAGTTGCCCATGAGACAGACTAAACTTAGGCAACAATTTCTTTTTTATTTTCAACATTTATTTACATGCTTTCAATATTTATTTATATTTTATAACAAGTTATTTTCACTTCATACATGTTTTGATTGAAATGAATAGAACTAATTCAAATCCTAATAAATGACCTTCGTTCCTTTTCTTAATCCTCTAAAACTCATCTGATCATATCCAACTTATTTTCTATTAATCCTCATAGTTGCATCTTAAAGTATTCATATTACTAGAGTTTCATAAATAATGAGTATTTTTTTATTTTCAAATGTGAGATTAATAAGATTAAAGACTGATTAGTGAATGTTAAATAATTAAAACAAAGTGGAGACATTCACGACTAACCTCATATCATGTGTATGAATTTTCGAGTACACATTCATATGAGAATCATGGTCACCATGAAAATAAGTTATCCATGTTTCTCTCTATCTTTATTACCATCTTATTTCTCTCTTCCTCTTTCTTATGAGACCTTTTCTTCTCTCTATCTCATATGAGACCTCTATATCTTTTCTTCTCTCTTGTGAGACCTTTCTCTCTCTCCCTCTCACATAAAATTTATCTCTCTCCTTTTCTCTTTCTATTTTTCGCAAGAGAGATATCTTCTCTATCTTTCATGAGAGCCCTCTCATCGTGAGAAAGATCTCTTCTCTCTTCTTTAATTCCCTTTATTTTTCTCACCTCACCCTTTTATTTTATTATTTATATCAAATACTAATAATCTATTAAAATCACTCTATATATAAACTAAATTAATTTTTTCACAATGAATTAATCAATCTCTCTATGTTTGACTTAAGACTTACATCTATATTAATATATTATTAAGTCTTAGTTATAAATATTATTAGATAATGAGTATTTAAATATAATGACAAGTGCATATCAAAGTATTATTGAGGAAATTCACTAGAGAAAAAGAAGTATACTTTAAAATAATTATTATATATTTCTCCCAAAACATGAGGTTGAAATTAGAATTATCAAAGATGATCTTATCAACTTTCATCAAGTCATCTAAAGTTCTAATTCTCAAATGTCAAGATATTTTCACCTAACATTATTTATTATTATAAATTTATTATCTAAATTTCTCACATGGTTGTATCTAGTATGTCAAACGTCCTCAAAGTTGACCAAAAGCATGGTTGAAAAACCTACATGACATCTAATCAAGATTTGGAGTGAAATAATAAAACACTATTCTATATGGGATGAAAAAGTTTCCAAGATGGATACACTTCTTTATTTGCGACCTTTAATGTTATTTGTTATCTTCTCCTCAGCCCATGTTTTGTATTGATGCCAAGTAGGGCCTCATTTGAATCCATTAAATAAGCAGTACGGAGCTCCCAGTGATGAGATTAGACATGCAGGGGACCTCGGAAACATAGTTGCTGACCCAGAATGATGAGAAAAATGCTTGGAGTAATTTCCTGCTTCTAATTCCTTGTGATACTGTGTCCAGCGTCAAGTATCACCTAAACATTAACCGTAAGCGTTTTCTATCCCGGCTCAGGAGTCTCAGATGAGTGTCTCAATGGTTTTTATGTTCAAACTTCTCTCTTTTGACCCTCGATTTCTCCTAGTGATCCTAATCCGATATTGGGCAGAGCACTTGTGGTGTGAGCTGTGTAGAGAGGTACTGTTGCTGAATATGAAATCAGCTTCTCTGGAATAGACCCCTCATTATTGTTATTGATCGGTATATTACCATAGAATACCACCCTATGCGCTTAATTTCCAGCCAAATGCATGGTTTTATGTGAGTACTACATATCATCATATAATTGTTTTCTCTTGTTTTATTCCATCATTATATTGAGCAAAACTTCATTTTCTGGGATCAAGTGCCAAAGAATGCTAAAAGATGAAAATATTGAAGGAAATTCCTCATTTATGTGACTTAAAACTGATAATATGAGATCTTAACATGAGTTCATGCACTGAGAGTGGGAAGGACGAGACCCTTCAATCTAATGGGATTTTATACCATTGAATCCTAAAAGGCTTTTCATGCAGATTCCTAAAAGGCTTCATTTAATGACGCATAGATATGTGTTAAGTGGTGGATTTGTGGATTTCTCTGAGTTGGGATGATTACATTCCCTGAAGCTGTAGGTGTGGAATTATTTTACAGCATAGTTCGTTTCTTATTCAAACTGAGCGTACACTCAGATGAACAAAAAATTTCATTTTAAAGTAAAAAATTAGGAAACTGCATGTTGGGTATCTATCATACAGAAAACTGTAAGATAACCTGCCTTGATTTTTCGTCAAAAACATTAAGGTGGGGTAGAAGAAGATGACCTGCTTACTTCTTATTTGGATACGGATGACTGTTGATGATGCTCTTTCTCTCTCAATTCTCTCTCTTCTGTGGAGCCTCAGGTGGTTATGAACTCAGCAAGGCCACTGGGAATGCCGGAGCAAGAATCGGATGCAGTACTTGTGACAGGAATCCATTTTCCTCTAATTGAATCATGTGGTTTAGCAAAGCTCTCTTATCATTATGTGCAGGTATAATTGGTATCCAGTTGGCAGTCTAGTTCATTTCTCTCTCTACCCTTCTATGGCTTCCCTGGATGATACAAACTATCCACAGAGAAACCCGACTACCCATTCTATCTGCTGCATAATCCCTATTTATTACAGTAGATTATCACAATGACTCTTCATATCCGCCAGTTTCCTAGTAAACTTGCACAGTTTAATTCTCAAAAAAAAAAAAAGAAGAATTAGTTTGGGCAAATCCAAGATAATGAAATGGGGCTGGCTCCATTCCATCTGAATTCTACCGATTATATCGTGGTGCTATTTACTAATTGAGGGAGTTTAGAGAGATGTAGAGAACTAAATTATCCCATCTGCAAAAGTTGCTTTGAAGCAGCACATCGCCCACAGAGGCACATGAAACTGTGGACGCATCAAGAAAATACTGCCAGAATCTAGAGTTAGGCTACACGATAGACTTTGAAAAATATGTACCACCAAAGTGGGCAAAGCATGTATGAAATTTGGACAAGAGCACACCTGAGGAAGATGTTCATACCCCTACTGCCGCCCACTGGGTAGGCCCTTTGGGGGGGATCACTGGATCTCCCTAGCCTCTCAGGGAGGTGTTCCGGTAGGATGAGTTATCACGGAGAGAAGCATCATGAGCCTTGTACTCCATTAAGTAGCTGTGAGGAAGCTTAAGCTGCCGCTTTATAGCATCTCTCAGGGCCATCACTGCCTGGACGTACAAGCAAAAACATTCCCATGTGAAGGATTTCGTCCATTCTAATTATTTTATTTTATTTTATTTTATTTTATTTAGTGACGAGATGTGAGAGATAAGTACCTGATGATCAGAGGCATTGCGGTTCCAAACGCTCAAGATATCCTCATTGAACCGAATGCTCAGCACTGCACCGCATATATTGTCCCCAAAGTCAAGCTGATCACCAACCAGAGCCATGGCCTGCGATAAGATGATGGCCAAAAGTAGTGTTAAAAGAGATTAATTTTGATCAGAAATGGGTAGCGGGATGTTTCTTCGAAGTCCATTGTATGATTCGAGATCATCTAAATATACAAGGATAAATGTCTTTATAATGCACAAAGTCAATTCTATAAGATTCTCCTGTTTCTCGTAACATTGAGAATATCTTTAGAAGAATTAATGTCTCAAAAAAAAATTGGAAGTTAATAATCAATTTCATACTAGCATTCAGACCTCATATCGATAACTCAGAAAATATTAAAAATGAGCCGTTGGATTCAAAGATTTGACCAAAAAGGTCCTGGTATTCATGCTACAACTGGTGTCTTAGGACTATGCTGACCATCCGAGCGAAGAAGCAGGTACCTGTCTTCAAATTTCCCTGGTCCTGATCATCATTTATACACATTCATTGATCTTCTTTTCTTTCTACTGCAGTAGCCAATTGCTCCATAATTGATGAAAAATTACCTCAACTAACATGAATGGGATCCATCCATCCATCCTTCCAAAAAGATGAAGGTACCTATCATCGGTACATACCCTCATCAAACCCAAATTTGAATCTTGAGAAACGGTGCATCAATTGAAGAATGATTTCCAAAGCCAGCTGCTTGCAAAGGGGGGGAAAAAAAGAGTCTAGGAAAAAAAAATAAAAATTGAATAGATTCAGCCAAGCTTTCACAAGTATCCCTTGATGCTCTTTAAAAACAATAGGAATCATACGGTCGCTAGCTGAAAGACTGAACAGACCAGATACTTGATGCGATGCACTTGGCAATTTCCCTGGTGTCAGCCAGTCTAGATCATTCTTACAGTTTGAATGATACAATGAAGCAGACTACAAGCCTCAGGAGGAGGAATCACCCAAAATACCAGCTACTAATGCTCCCGTTGCCAACAGGTCTTATTCTAGCCACATCTGCTTATTAACACTGCCAAATTTGAAACATGGGAAGCAAAGGGAAAGAAAAAGTAGCTATGGAAATAGAAGACAACAGAGGAGAGAAAGAAGTGAGCAGGGACAGGAAAGACATGAAAGGAATAGTGGGGACAGAAAGCTTATCACTGCCGAGAAGGCGAAATCCAGCCTATTTCGATATCTAGACCTCAATTCCTTGAGGAATCTATTTGGACTTGTGATTTATTTAATAAACAGATATTTCAGCAAAGTATGATTCAAGTCCACATTTTCAGCTTATGATGGAAGCCAATAAAAGGAGAGTGACCGGGTTATACGAGCCAAAAATAATGCAATCATCGGATTATGCCAAAGAAAAACTTGTCCCATCCAATAATGGGGTGAGCTATTTAAAGGGAAATGTTGTGTTAGACATTTTAATCTGATTTAGAATTGTTGCATTAAGAAAACCAAAAGAATTTCAAGTTCCTTCATTTCTCAAGATCCCAAAGAAAGTGTTGCAAAGAGACTAGAAATAACAGAAAGCGGATTCTTTTGACAGGAAAGTGAAGATAGGAAAACAGGATGGCGTCAACTAGAGACAAACATGCCAGCATAATTAGCATTAGGGTATTAGAATTTAAATTAAAAATTATCATGTCAGTCAAAAGAAACTAAAACATCAAGAAGGGGCACTCATTCTAGTGTAAGCGTACTGTATCTAGATTATGTGAGATAGACTTGTAGTGATGGCTAGTCCTGCGATTTGTCTGTGACATGAACAATAAGGCCCTATCTTGGAATGATATGCGGTGAAGCCCTAAATGATATCCTTCACTTTCGAGAGTAACAGATGACGCGAATATTACAGTGTCAAAGGCTCCATTGTCGTAGGCTCGGAGAAATTGGCTGTCTCAGATCCAAAAGAAGCCTTAGAGGGGCAGTCGAACACTTGACTTACACAAAGACCAATCATGGACAATAATAGAGATGCCTGAGGCGTTGTAAATGAGATAAAGGAGGTAAATTCATAATTATGTTAGCTTATCATATCATTGTAACGGGGGTACTATGCATCATCAGCCATCTTAAATTTACACTCCACTCCCATTGAAAATGGTGATATAGTGAAGAGGATTTTGAGGAGGGTCGTCATACAGTTAGCAACTCTTTTACAGGTGGGTACAGGAGGGATCCTAGGGCCACTTGTTCCTTGCAGTTATCCCCCCATGACATTTAACAGAAACTAGTCCAAATAACAACAAAACAATAGGAGACTAATAGAGGAGTCACGGACACGCTGAAAATGCATCGGCTGCAGAAAGGGAACACAGAGCACAGAATGAGCAGAAAGGTCGCTCATTCAAACAATGTTTTTTCTCAGAAAGGAGTTTAAATTTATTTGTGACCATATCTAACGACTAGCCACGGTTTGTTTTTATAATGAGATAAAGTGAATGTTAATATCTTGCTATAGGCTTTGACTGATGCGTAGAAGGTTTCTTAAATGTTGGCATAAAACATAACAGTACACCCATTCATGTCTTTGTGAGACCTGACACAAACCATACAAGGATAAACAGTGACGAAAATTTTCTTCTGCTACTCAAATCATAGAGTAATTGCTAGTTATATACAATTACCCTGGCCCGAAAAAAGAAGGAAACTACCTAGGTTAAGAAACTGAGCAACCGGGAACTGACCAAACTAGGAAACTGACAAACTAGTTTACTCGGACGAGAAAACTGCTCTCAAGTAGGAAACTGACCAACAGAAATTAACTCCTAATTCCACGTTTTTCTCACAGTACCCAATGAATACATAACCTTATCAACTTGAAAATGAACCTCAAGTATATTACATTCATGGAACTATTGGTCTTATCTCAATGAATACCTCAGAAAGAGAGAACTATCTGTAGGAAAATTCACAGAGGAGAGGAAGTTGAGATGAAATGACAGAACGCTGCATGCTGTCACAAACAAATAATAATGAACGTAACAGCATAAGCGTAAGTCCCCTACATATGAATCAGGAAAAAGATGACCTTCATTTGAAATATGGCCCAGAAATGATATTATAAATTCGCAATGTTTTGGAGACATTGAGACCATTGAGCTTAACGTTCAACAAACAACTCTAATTATGCTATACAAACATACAAAATATCCGTGACAATTAAAAAAACTGCATATGCACAATATATTTTTAGTGCATTCTACCACCAACTTTCATGCTTTTGAAAGATTGCGGAAGCATAAATAATCAAAAATAGGGTCCACGCAAATGTTTCAATAAAATCATGTTAAAAAATAGCTACTATGACAGTACTTCGAAGGTACAAAAACATAAGCAGAATTTTTTGAGGGAAAATGAACAAATATTAAATTCATGAAGACAATTATTCGCATACAGTATATGAACGATCATGAAGGGAAAAAATACCATGTGATGCTTTGTGGGAAATAAAAAGTTTAAAGTGTTTTATGGTATTTGATTATCTTCACAGACATCTATTCACTTTTATAAGAACAAAACTAGAATAGACAATTCAAATGGAAACCAATACACAGTTAAAACATACCAAGTCTTCCCAGAAACGACCGGAAACAGCCTTTTTAAACCGTATAATCCACTTTCCGCCATTGCAATTTGCAGAATCCTAGCCAAATAGATCTCTTGTATGAGATGAAAAAGAAATAAAATAGGCTTCCTGTCAATCATTAGATATTCCTGTTATCATGTTAAGTGAATATTTATGGCATGATTCTTCGTTCTAATTATAAAATATACCTCCCAAAGTGGCCGAATACCCTCTTTGAAAAGGTGCAAATCTGTTGGACTCGGCAAAGAGGATGGGCGCGCCAAATGGCAATAACAAACCCAAAAGCCTTCAACCTATAAATATACCACAGGTGAACAAAACAACTACGTTTTGAACAAAGAAGATGTTAAGTATTACTAAGATCATGACTTCAAAGATCAAATCTTCATGGTAGAAATGTACCGTACTAAAATCTACAATCTTCTTTATATTGTCTTCATAAGATGTTTGGCTGCGAACCCCTGGTGTTCTTCTTGTATACCAAAACACATATTTGTTCTGAAGGATAAAGCAAATATTATATCAGAAACATTCACCATAACAAAAAGTACAGGACAACAAAAACAAAACAAAAAAAAAGTAGCAACGCTCACATTTGTAATTGAAAAAGGTGAATACACCAAGAATTCATAACTTTTTGATACATGCAGTAATTAGTGCAAGAAAACTTCTACGCGTCTCTGTTCAATCGAATATATTTACCCTTTTCCAGTTTAACAAGCTTCGCAAGAACCTAGAAAAAAATTCAAACCGGACGATAAAGTCTGCTTTCCAAGACCTGTCCACCAACGGTAATAACTACCCACCATCTTCAAGCACAGCATCTCAAGACATTCCTAGAATATCCGCTCTACGCTTGAAAGAGCTTTTTGGATGCATAATCTAGATGAAAATCCCTGAAAATATTAAATTTATAGGCACTCCGTAGCTCAACTCGCAGAATCCCTCATTTCTGCAAATGTTAGACGTCAACTAAAGGATCATGAAATCGCCGCCGGGACACCACCTTCTCATATAAAAAGCGAAGAGGTTGAGGAGAGGAATATAGTAGGAGTTGTGGTGACCCCGATCCCCATCACAATCCCCCACTTCTGAGCGTCAGCGAGCCATTTTCCAGCAATCGGTGAGGTGACCAGAAGACGTAAACTACTCCACTTTCAAGAAAAATCAAAAAATCCGGTCCCAAAAATAGACGGGGACTCTCATGATGCATGATGAATGTCATTTCATAAAATGAAGGAAGACGACGAATCCACCCTAAGCGCACATACGATGAAGAGAGACAGTGAGCAAGATAGACAGAGACACTGCTACCCTCAGAGGATGGAGACCGGATTTGAGCTCACGCGCCTGCCGCTCGCGGTCCTCGACTTCCGCGTCCGCTTCAGAGGGAGGGGAAGAAGATACCCTGCCATCCGCCTCCTTCTCCCCGACAATCTCCATAGCTACCACCACCGCCCATCGAATGGGGGAAGAAGACGACCCTATATAACCCATCCCCCATTTCATAATATCTGGACCAATTTATTGGTCCGGGGAAGTTAGTCATGTCGGCCCAATAACATTACATTATGGACCATTAGTATTTGGTCCAGTCGGCCCAATAACACTGCATTGGGCCCATTGAGCTTTCTTAATAGCACGTGTAACACGGACAGAAAATCCTTTATTATACTGAAATTAACGATTTTAAAATCCGTTCACATGCGACGTGCGGTGGCGTCCTCGGGAAAACCATGCTGACTCATCCCACGTGGCGCCTCCATAAACTATCTCACCCACGTCGCATGCCTGTTGTCGACGCGCGGTAAGGAAGGCTTTTAGGGATCCGTGCCGTTTCGGGCCTTCTTCGGGCCCAATGTTGGTTAAAAGCCCTGAATTGGGCGGCCCGTTTAACCCCCCCGCCCTAATGATTTTTTCTGTACACGTCATAAAACCTTCTTGTCATCGGTAAAAAAAAATGTTGTCGTGTAGAGGGACGGACCGTTGCGGGTTGAACTATCGCGTGTAGTCTTCCTTCCTTACACTCGTAGTAGAAGGATAAACCAAGCACTGGTAAACAATACTCTCTCTCTCTCTCTCTCTCTCTCTCTCTCTCTCTCTCTCGCTGTGGCAGTGGACAGTGCAGAGAGGAAGGTGGGCTCGGCGTCGGCACCATTGCGCTTGGAGTTATCCATCTTCGCTGGGCCTATGGGCGTCCCAACCTGGAGATTTCTCCTCTATGGCTGTCACCGCTGCTGCTTCATGCGGCTGTCACATCACCATTATTGAGGTTGGCGCTGGGTCTCGAGTCCCTCCAATGGAAGTGATGAGGAGGATGGCCTTATGACTCTTCTCCTTGGCCCTCTGACGATGGTGGCGGAGGAGGGCTGCTACTCCTCGCTGTTCAGCCAGTGAAGGAGAGCATCTCCGATCCAGCAGTCCTTATGGATGAAGCAGGTGGCCACTCCATTCATGGCCGACGCTTCCATGGCCTACAGCAACTGCTGTTCTTGGCATTGCTGTGCTTCTCTTTCCTCTTGTGTTCGGCAGGCGAGGAATCCTTATCTAGGCGGCGGTCTCATGTCCAGCGGCATCTGAAACGCCTGAACAAGCCCGCTGTCAAGAATATCCAGGTTCACCTCCCCTAATCTTCGGTTAATCTCATTTGGGCTCTGATTCTTGACGGACTAGACCGATTGAAATATCCTGTTTTCTTCTCGTTCTGTCGTTAGAACAGATGAATCTGCAGAAACGTTTCCATGTCGTAATGCTCTCTCCCTTCTGTTTTCTCGTCTACGGAGTCGATGAGATGTCATTCTATCCATTTCTCCGGCTCCTCGGTCAAATCTTGCAATGGGGAGCCCGCATTTAATTCTAGTTTCGTGGGTCCGAACTAAATCCTGATACCTCCCTGACTCTCTGAGATTTGCAGAGCCCAGATGGAGATACGATAGACTGTGTTCATGTCTCCAATCAACCCGCATTCGATCACCCTTTCCTCAAGGACCACGCGATTCAGGTGGGCTTTGGATGTCTTCGGGTTCTCGCCTCCAATCTTTTGCAATCTGTTTCTCCGATTGAAGGACCGATCCCTTTGAGATGAGCAGATGAGGCCCAGCTTCCATCCCGAAAGGATCTATGACGAGAACAAGGTTGAAGAACTCTCGGGTCGGAAAAGCAGCACCATGGCCCAGATGTGGCACCAGAATGGGCGGTGCCCGGAGAACACCATCCCCATCAGGAGAACGAAGGGAGAGGACCTTCTCAGGGCAAACTCTGCGAAGAGATACGGGAGGAAGAAGCACAGAGAACCTCCGAAACCCAATTCTGTCGATTCTGAGACGAATAACGGCGGTGGGCACCAGGTACATTGTGAAGACCTCGGTGGGCACGAAAGCCGTCGTTCTTTGGGGTTTCCTCTTTTCTTCCCTTTCTCATCCCCTTTTTCCTTGAGCAGCATGCGATTGCTTATGTAGAAGGAGACAGATACTACGGGGCAAAAGCTACCATAAATGTGTGGAACCCAAAGATTCAGCAGTCCAATGAGTTCAGCCTCTCTCAGTTTTGGATACTGGGTGGCCCTCTTGGGGGAGATTTCAACAGCATTGAAGCTGGGTGGCAGGTGATCCTCCATAAGATTCCAGCTATGAGACGGAGAATGCCGATGATACTGCAAGGAATGTAGGCTAATCTCTTCCCTCTCCTTTCACTCTCTTGTCTGAATCAGGTCAGCCCTGATCTCTATGGAGACAACAACACAAGGCTATTTACCTACTGGACGGTGAGACCGCATTCCTTCTCATGTATGTCGTATTCTGGTTTCAATATGCCCCATCTTCTGTTTGGGGGGCTACATCGATTCCACTGGATTCCATGGCTGAATAGAGAGGTCAGAGTTTCAAACAGTGTACTTACTGTTCCTGGTCCAACCCCCGTCCTTCGTCTGATGTCGACCCTCTGATGATGTGAGGGTTTTATTTATCGATTGATTTAAAATATATTTGATCAGCAACAAATGGGCTCTATTCAGAACTGATTTATTTAAGTGATTTTTTATTTTTTTTGGTTGTTGTTCTTGTTCGTGGTGGTTGGCGCTTGCCTGTGGTGATCACAACGAGCCAGAGTGATGCTTATCAAGCAACAGGCTGCTACAACCTCCTCTGCTCTGGCTTCGTCCAGATCAACACTGAGATAGCATTGGGGGGCAGCATCTTCCCGATCTCTGCTTACCACGGCTCCCAATATGATATCAGTATCCTTATCTGGAAGGTATTTTTAATTCATCCGAAGGGATCCCAGAATGACAGAAAACCATGATAATCCTTTGTTTAATTCAAATATTCTATGAAATTATGAAACTTTACTTTTCAAAAATTCTTTTCTGATTGCCTTTTTTTCTTTAAAATGAGAAGGACCCGGGGGGGAATCACTGCAAGCCATGATGATCTTTCTTTTATTCAAACTTTTTGATGAAAGCATGAACTTTGTTGAAACCATTTCGATTCTATTATTTGATTTTTTTTAAAAAGGAGACAGGACCCAGAAGGAGAATCAATGATAACCTCGATGATCTCCTGTTAAATTAGAAATCTCCCATAAAATCGTGGTATTTTATTAAGAAATTCTGAAGCTCGATGTTCTTTTTAAAAAATAAAAAGGGGCGGGACCAAGGGGGAGAATCACTGAAAACCCTGATGATCTTGGGAAAATTGTCATTTCTTGATAAGTTTCTCCGAAAAAAAAATGGACAGGATCCAGGGGGAGAATCACTGAACACCTGATGCTCCTCGTGAATTAAAAATCGTGAAACATCATTGAAAAGCTTCCGTTTTTTTCAAGATTTCTCTGTTCTTCCATGCGCAGGACCCAAAGGGCGGCAACTGGTGGATGCAGTTTGGGAACGACTATGTGCTCGGCTACTGGCCCTCTTCCCTCTTCTCCTACCTGGCGGACAGCGCCACCATGATCGAGTGGGGAGGAGAGGTGGTGAACTCTGGGGCGGATGGGCGGCACACCTCAACCCAGATGGGGAGCGGGCACTTCCCCGAAGAAGGCTTCGCCAAGGCCAGCTACTTCAGGAACATCCAGATCGTCGACGATTCCAACAATCTCCGGGCCCCCGATGGGATCGACTCCTTCACCGAGCAATCCAACTGCTATGATCTTGAGAATGGGAACAATGGCGAATGGGGCACCTACTTCTACTATGGCGGCCCAGGAAGAAGTGAGAATTGCCAATAAGGACAAACTGAAACCCCCCCAGTTCATCTATCAGTTTTCCTCTTCTTCTTTCTTCTTCGATGGAGCCCCGTTCTTGCTGGCCCTTTGTTCCTGTACAGGCCCCTTTTCCTTCCCAGGTGGGTGAGATGAGCAAGTGCGGTAGTTCTCCATTTTTCTGTCTGGTTTGGGCATGAAATGGTTGGAGAGGGGTCAAGTTTCCTTTGAGGAACAGGCCTTCAGGAGTCCCAGCTCAATCGTGTATGTTTGCCTCTCTGCATCATTTCAGCTCCTCTTATCGGATGAAACTCTCTCTGTGGCTTACTTCATTTGGGTAATCTGCCAGATTTCAGACAGATAGAATTAAGATTCCAGAGCGACCGAGAGAGAGAGAGAGAGAGAGAGAGGAGATGGGGGCTGTATCATTGGGTCTGCCACCGCAGGGGACACAGTGTCTTCCTCCTTACTTTTCGTTTTTTTGTTGGGTGTATCTGTCAGTGGGTCTCTTTGCTGTCAGCATAAGATCTTGCTCGCCGCGTTAGAATCCTGGTGGGCTTTTCTTCTCTTGTCATTATGATGAAGGGAAAGGGGAAGGGAAGACTCCACTTACGTTTGAAGCAGCAGTATCTCCCCCCTTCTTCCCCCATTCCCTTCCCTTCGTTTTAACTATTTGTGGCAAAAATCTCCCAAGAAATGGCGAGACATCAAATTTCTGGCAAATGTTTTGGGGCACAAAACAGTTGTTTCACCTTGTCAGTGTTGACCCGTGAGCATATTGCGCCCACCTTTAAGTGTACAGCACATCATGGGGGTTGACTTTTTACCCTTTAATATTTTCAATGTCGTGTGGGTTATAAAAAAAAAAGAAAAAGGTCATTTCATCGTTAGCGCAGGCGTCGACATCGACCTCCGAGTGGCAGTCCACATCGCCTCCGAGTATGACGCCCAACCTTCCAGAGTCAATTGCTGACCTTTTACGTGTCAACCTCCGAGGGTTACTTGGTTTTCGAGTGCTGACTCGTGGGTCAAAAGTCCTCTCTCTCTCTCTCTCTCTCTCTCTCTCTCTCTCTCTCTCTCTCTCTCTCTCTCTCTCTCTCTCTCTCTACATGTATTTATGTGTATGATTTTTGGAGTAAAGACAATCTGACGCATGCAACGTGGTGTTAATCAAGCTGGTAAATGCAAAGAAAAAATCAGGATTTTCGAGATCAAGAGCTTATATTTTGGATATTGTGAACATTATCAATGTACTGATGAACGAAGGTGACAATTCCCATGGGTGTTGTGACGTGGGCTTTATGAGAATTTATTCACTCACTAATTGGACGACAGGATCCCAATCTTGGTGGGGATTGCGTTGACCAGATTGGTGAGCCCATCTAAGGAGCTGACCTAGGCAGAACAGTAAGGAAACAAAGTAGTAATGACATTATGAGAAGTTTTCTTCCCAGCACCTTTACTATGAGGGACATGCAACTAATATAATAAATGAACCCTAGAAACGAAAAACTCTTGATTCCAATCCAAATTGGTAAACCTAGAAGCCCACTTGTAGTTATAATCTTGATCATAAAAACTTTACCAGCTTCAACTGAATTGAGTTTTCCAATTAATTTTAAATTTTAAATAATTTTAGCAAACACAAAAATAACCTCAAAAAATAATCTATAAATCATGGCTAAAGGCCAACCAATGAGATTCAAGTAACCTCAAAACACAAGCCCCCATTAATTAATTTTAAAAATTGAATGTATTCAAGTAAAAATATAAAAAACTAAAAAATAATGTTTAAGGCCACCTTAGATCTAAACATCATTTGAAGACACAAGTCCAGTGAAATTAAATTAAAATGTATAATTATTTAAGCAAAAATATAAAAACCTATTGACATGACACAATCTTGAGGATAGATGTGTCTAGAATGTTCTAAGGTCTGGTCATTATCTATCTAGAATCTTCTAGGGTCTTGCAAAAAATACTAGACCCATTAACTTTGTAATAGATTTTTTTCCCTTTGAATGAAGAAACATTTCTCCACATTAGAGAGGGTTGCACTAGACTTGCTTTGATCTTCAACATGGTATCAAAGTGAATCCAAGCATGGTTACTCATTTTTTTGGTTATGCAGCAATCTATTCTTCTACAATAACAATTATTGAATTGTTAGTCCTCATTTGGGTCTAGTATTATGAATAGGATATCAGATCTTACGAATTTGGCAATTTTCTTCTAATGTCAAAAGTTGGAGATCTTTCTTTTTCGTCTATGGGAGATCCTTCTTCCTTAATGGATTATAATCTTGGTCTCAGTGCCACCTAACTGTTGGTAGAACTCCCTACAATGCTTATGGAATTCAAATTGATTGGTTACAATTTGATCTAGTGGTCAAAATATATCTAATAAGTTATAATTATGAGAGGGGTGTTACATCACCTAGTGGATTTGAAGTTAAATCCCTCATCAACTAAATTCTGTAGGTGGAGGGAGTAGGATGCATTGATCAAGACTTAGATAAGGGGAATTACGATTCCCCAAATTAGTCATGATTTCTTTTTCTTAACTACAGCTAAAGATTTGTAGAAAATTTTCACAAAAGAATAATGAGGCTCATATATATGAATCAGAGACAAAACTTTTGTTTATGATTCAAGAAAATAAATTGATGATGGAATGTGCTAAAGAATTAAAAGATCTTGACATTGAACTTGATTTTTATCTCAGTCTTGGCATTGAAAACCTTAGAAAGATTATTGTTTTACAAAATTTCATAGAACAAAGAAATTCATTGAACCTTTTGTAAGACTTATTCTATTTTTGATCATGTTAGACAATATATTTTGAACAATGAGAGAAAACTTGATCTAGATGATGTTATTTCAATTGTTTTGAATTAGGAGAGCCATTGAGAATTGATGTTATCAATGCTTGATATGGATAATGCTGCATTTATCACTAAACAAGGGGCCGATGTAATTAAAACCACAAATCTAAGTCAACAGCCTCAATCAGGTCAAGGAAGATATCAAAAGTCTGATTTTAGGGATAATCTCTTATACACATATTGTAGAAAATCTCATCACACTAGATATTAATGTTTCAAACTCCATGATAGGCCATGACAACCCCCCAACAAAAATCATGGAAGCCAACCAAATTTTACAGTTGACCTACCTACTAATTAGATTCTTAATTCATCATTAGAGCCCCAACAACCATTTCCATTCCATTGGATGAGATATAATAACTTCAAGTTGAATTTGAAAAATTGGAGTCAACCATGGCACAACACTCATTAATTCAACCTAGTAAGTTTTACTACTCTCTAAGAATTAGAGCTCCTAGTGACCAAAATATATGTTGCTTATAGATCCATTCTAGCAGTTGCTAGTATAGGAGACCTCAAACTTTAATCTTTTAGAATACTTACCAATGAACTTCATGTCTTAAAATTATTTAGCAATCACATCTCTGTAAAGTAACTTATGAAAAAAGATCATATTACTTCACTTATTTTGATGAGGATATTTGTTTTGTATTTTAATAAGATATAGCATCAGAAAATTAGAGTTGCTATAGAATGTGGAAGACTTTGCCTCCTAGAAAGATAAAGCCAAAGGTATTTAATGGAAGTGAATCAACCTTTAAAGTTGCTAAAAGACCTTTCAAAAATATTAGTACGTCACCAAAGAATAAGTCATCCTTGATTCAACACTTTGAAAATCTTTAATATCTTGTTTTGAAAGGTGTCCTTAAACACTCTATGTGATGTGTGTGAATTCTCTGAACTCACTTGTACTTCTTTTCAAACATAAAAGACACTCTTTTCTTTCACATTTATAATGGCATTTAGGGACCATGTTTTAATAATGCTCTTCTAGGAAATAAGTCATTTGTCACCTTTATACATGATTGTATATGTTGTATATGGATATTTTTTAAAAACAAGTTTGATGTTTGTGAGATTTTTAAAAACAATTATGCTATAATCAAAAATCAATTGACATATGTCTAAAGAAATTCAAATTTGATCATACAAAAAAATACTTTAGCCAAAATCTGAACTGTTATTTCCAATTAGAGGGTATAATACATGAATCCTCCTATATATATACTCTACAATAGAATGACTTAGTGGAAAGATAAAACCAACATCTCTTAGAATAAACGATCAATCTTATTTCAGAGTGATGTGCCAAAAAAATAATTTGGGGTGCACTTGATTAACATCAACATATCTTATCAATTGATTACCCACTAGAACATTAAGATTCTAAAGCCCTATAGATTTGTTAACTATACATTTTCGAAATAATCAAAGTAAAACTACACTAGAACCAATGATATTTGGTTGTCTACTTTGTTCATTATCACAATCAGACTAAAGAAAAACTAGGTCACGATCACATACATACATACATCTTAAATATTCAAATAATCAAAAGGGCTATAAATCATTCTTCTTCTCATAATTTTTTTACATCTATGGATGTCACATTTCATGAATCAAAGCCCTACTTTAAAAAATCTCCATCATATGATCAAATATTCTCTTCTATATATCATATTGATCATTATTTAAACAAATCAGTTACTTCCTCCTTTAATAGTCTATTTGTTCTTATTTTAGATCAAGAAACTTATTGTATCCTAGATCAAATTTTTGACCATTTGAAATTTGACAAAGGCTATTCTAGGAGAAGAAAAAATTTAAATATTATACAATTCTAAAACTTTGATTTGGCCCTAAAGAATATCCAGAATATCTTATATATACCATCTATTGACCAAGAAATCTCATATTGCAGTCCACTTACCATTGCCCTAAGAAAAGTAACATGAGAGTACACAATGAAGCATTTGTATCTATTTACGAATTTCTTATCTTATCAAAAACTCTCCATTCTATTGGTCCTTCCACACCTCTTTAGATGATAGTACAATTTTAGCAAATGTCTCAAAAACTCTATCCAATGAGGTGAAACAAATCATAGATGATAAAATGAGAGCCCTTAAAAAAAATTAAACATAGAATCTAGTGGAATTACCTAAAGATATAAAGGCAATTGGTTGTACATGGTGTTTACTGTGAAATATTATTAAATATAGAAATTTTATGTTTAAATAGTTTTTTATTTTACTTTTCTGTGTTAACTTACAAAATAAATATAGTAATATACTGTTAATTTTGGAAGTTTGAAGTTAAAGGAGGTAGTACTTTTTTATTTTTAAAAATATAAAGATAAAATAAAAAATATCACCACCTATTAGCAAGTCAACACTCAACAATTAACTCGGAGGGATGTTGCACTCGAGTGGGTGGACCAAGACTAGGGGAGCCACGAGTGACTGATGACTCATTTCACACACATGTGCGTCACTCCCCTATCATGCCCTGAGGGTCAATTGATTGTGGTGCAAGGAGTGATGTACACACGTACATGAGTGAGGGCAGACCACCTTTTACCTTCTCCACAAGATGATCTTGGGCATTATTTTATTCAAGAGAAGGGATCTTTACACTAAGAACATAGCTTTGATATATATTTAATTCAATCCCTCAAATACTTCTAATGTGGGACTAAATTTTCTCGTGTTTTAAGACAATAGTCTAGAGCGGTTTGATCTAGTGGTGCTCAACAAGCCACATCCCACAGCTAGTAAACTACCATGATACTTGAAATGTGAAGCATTCCATTAGTAGTTCACAAATTTTGTGTCACTTAGCACGCACATGACTAGAAACAATGATCCAACGACAAATGAAGTACCACGATACTAGGGACTTAAGTTCCTAGTTAGCAGTGGTTCATAGCAAGTTAATCATGTGTCGTTTAGTACACCACGTGACTAAGCACATATGATCCAACAACATGCAAAATGTCATGATACTTGAAACTTAAGTTATTGCATTTATCACCATCAAGGATATAAAGATGATAATTGATTATTATCTAGTAACACAAATATTATCAATTATCTTTAAAAATTTGATTGCAATTGCGAATATAACATCTATTTTTTCCTCTTTTGTGCAATCGATGCCTCTAGTGATCGACAAACTTGTTTCTTCCTCGACCACACTCAAAGCTTATGATGAGTAGTCAGCTTTTCTTTTCTTCTCCTAGATGATAGTGACATCATGGTCTACCCTTCTTTTGAGTAGATCTTTCTAACAAATAGCACAGTGCTTTCAAACAATACTTTTGTGACTTCCAACTTGGTGTGACACATATGAACAAAACTAAGCAATCACATCGATGTCTCTAGTTGTCTAAGAAGCAAACTAAACTTGGGCAATGATTTATTTCTTTTTTTAATATTTTTTACATATTTATAGTATTTATGTATATTTTAAGATAAGTTATTTTTATTGAAATGAGTAAAATTAATTCAAATCATGATGAATGAATTTTGTTCTTTTTTTGAATCCTCTAAAACTCATGTGAGATCAAGCTAAGATTATGTCCAAATTTTTTTCTATTAATTTTCAAGTTGAATCTCAATGTATTTATGTTCTTGGTATTATGCAAATAATGAGTATTTTTCTATCTTCGAATGTAAAATTAACAAGATTAAAGAATGATTAATGAGTGTTTAACTATTGAAACGAGGTGGATACATTCACAATTGACCTCATGTCATATGTGTGAATTTTTTAGCACACATTCATCTAAGAATCATGGTCACCATAAAAATAGGTCGTCTTACGTGAGATCTCTCTCTCTCTCTCCTCTCCCTTGAGCAAGAACAGGAACAATGACAGGCACGAGCGAGAACAATGACAATAATAATAAGAGACATAGAAAGATATCAATCTCCCTCTCTCTCACTCTCTCTTATGGGACATTTCTCTCTCTCTATCTCACGTGAGATTTATCTCTCTCTCTCTCTCTTTTTCTCTTTCACAAGACAAATCAATTCTCTCACTTTCACTTCTGTTCCTTCCATCTCACCTCACTTTTTTATTTTATTCTTTATGTTAAATAGTGATAAAATATTAAAAATATTTTGTATATAAACTAAATTAATTTTTCATGATAGATTAATTAATCTCCCTATGTTCAACTTAAAATTTACATTTATACTATATTTTATTAAGTCTTAGTTATTAATATTATTAGATAATTAGCATTTAAATATAATGACAAGTACACCTTAAGTATCAATCAAATAGCTCAATTAAGAGATATAAATTAAGTTGTTAAAAGCTATACACAAGTTTATAATATTGATTATGAAGTCAATGATTGATCAAAGATTAACTTTTGTACATCTCACATTCATTAGAAATAACTTTGTTCTACAAAGGAGTAAAAAATAAAATGTAATTATATATTCAAGGGTTGAACTTGAATTAAGAGCATTTGCACAACGTGTGTGAGTTACTTTGGGTGAAAAAGTTACTTGATGAAATAAAAATCTATTTAACAAATCCTATGAAACTATATTGTGATAATTAATCTTGTGCATAATTTGGTACAACAAGATGTTACCAAATATGTGGAAGTTGATTGCCATTTAATCAAAGAAAAGTTAGAGCAAATTTAATTTGTATGTCATATACGATCAACTAAAGGACCTGTTTACCAAAGGCATCTTTGAGACAAATATTATTCTCAAGCTGAGAATGGATGACATATACTCATTAACTTGAGGGAAGTGCTGACATAACACAACCCTGAGGATAGATATGCCTTGAACATTCAAAAGTCTGGTTGGCCTGTGTCTAGAATCTTCTAGGGTCCGATTTGAGTATTAAACCCCTTCACTTTGTAACAGAATGTTTTCCTTTTGAATGAAAAAAGCATATCTCCACAGGGACGAGGGTTGTCTTTCCAACGCACCAGACCTGGTGTTCAATCTTCAACAAAGCCCAGGAGTACTTTATACACCATTGTGAGGCCAATTAAGAGCTACAAATAATCTGAAAACACAAGTCCACAGCTGGGTGAGTTACAAAAAAGCCCAGGCCCATTGTATTGAAATTAACATATCCCACATCCTTCCCTGAGTCAAAAACTAGCTCTTGCTGTAATGTCCCAATAATAACCAGGTTATTTTCATGAAGATGACCCAGAAAAAGAGTATATTCACATGAGCGCTCAAGCCATCGAATTCTCTCTTGGTTTCCTGTTCCACCTTGGAGCAGTTTCGATCAGCTGATGGGGGACCAGCTGCCTCTCTCTCTTTGAGAGCTTCTTGAAGTTGCTAACCCTCAGCTTGGCAATCTTCGCCTCCTCTTCGGGTGTGAGCTCCCTCACCACCACCGTCAGCCGACAGTGCGGCCTCACCATGATTCCACTCCTCCCTTTGGAATGGTAGGAAACCCGCTTCAGAAAAACACCCTTCCCCACAAAGGCCTCAGCTGCCAATGATTTTAGAAGACCAAGAGCTAAACTTAGCATAGAAACATAACAATAGGGGATGTGGGAACCCAGGTTTAGTCAGTCATTCACCAACAATGAGCCGCTCTGGATCCAGCCCATGGTTGTGTGCTGCATTAGCTCGTGCGGAGTGGACAACCTACACCGAGGGAGGAAAGGGAATTAGTTGAACAGAAATGCGAGAGAAGGACTGGCAGAAGAACAATGGCAGCATGGGCACCTGGTAGACAGTTTTTGCAGCACGTTTCACAGTCACCTGCAGCTGCAGGAGGGCATCCTCGACACGCATTCCCCGGATCAACTGAGCCACCAAATTGACCTTCTTGGGGCTCTGCAGAAGCCATGTGAATAGACCGAGATAATGCCAGTGAAAAGAACAAGGAAAAATTTCCCCATCAGGAGAGGTGAAATGCTCAGAACAAGGAAACATTTCCCCATCAGCAGAATGCACTGAATAGCCAACGTTTCTCGAGACTTCCAGCCGGAAATAAATGACAGACACCCATTTAAGGTAATATTAATGCCAATATCTGTATAGCTCAAAGCAAATGTACGCCAAAAGAAGGCCTGAATTCTGGCCGTAGTTGAAGCTACCTGTCTGATCCCTTTTTTAATTGCCTGAACTTTTGAAGGCTTAGACACTGCCGTGGCTTGAGTTTTCCCAGCACTTGACCCTGGCCCCAAACTGGGCATCAAGGGTGAAGAGATAGGAGTTAGGTCTGCATCAGCCTTAGCCAAGAGGGACTTTGAATAAAAAATTCCCTGCGATTAAAACGAGATTAAAATAAATATTGAGAATAAATCACAATCGTCATTTATTTTTTTCATTTTTCTGGTGTTGGCCTGATGTTGACGCTGAATAAGACCAGCCCACATTCATAGCAATAGTATATGGTGAGATTATGATCTTCGCACCATAATGTAGACAAAATTTATGATAAATATCTGTAATACAGAGACACTGTCTAAGTAGTTCGCGATTATTATATAGAAGAGACGAGACAATGGCAACAAGCATATAGCGATCAACTCAAGGAAGCAATCCAAATATTTTTCGGTATACTTCTGAAGCAAAGTTTTAAACTTCCAGAGAACAATTCTGCAGATTTGTCAGCATAAGATGCTTTTCAACAAGGGACAACCTCACACTGAAAGAAAGGTTGCACCAGAAAAAGAAAATTGAGTATTAAAGTTCGACTTTTGGGCATAAAAAGAGCTGGAATGCATTACCGAATTCTGAAGATATCGATGAAGCAAAGATGGACTAAATCCAGAAGAAGCCCGCAGAGACCATAGAGATTGATCTACAGTAAGATTCAGAGGCAATATCACAAAAACGTTGTAAATCGGCAACTTGGTCATTCTCATAACTGCATACGCAATTTCAAGAAAATGAAAGTTGTGGTGAATTTTATCTTTTTTGGGAAATGAATGGCGAGAAACGAGACACATCACATAAGTTGAATAGTTGATATATTACATGTCAATTTATCAATCAAGGTTGCCAAATATCAGAGGCAAAGATGCCAATCAAGGACATAATTTAATAATATCCCCCACATTTACTTAATGTATTGTTAGCAGTAATAATTGAATTACCTACACAAAATATTATTTTTGATGCAAGCAAATTGGGGCTTGAAACAACGGAAATCAGAATATCCATGGCACTATAACGACACAGAAGTTACGAACACACAAAGAACCTGCAAATATTAAATAAAGACAACTAAGAAAAGCCCATCTATGACTGTCAATAATTGTTAATGGAAAGGGAAAAAAATCAATAGTTCAATGCAGGTTGATGGGGTTGATTGCGAGAGTTTACACAATAATCGACGGATCTGTTGCTATAATAAAGCAAACCAACAGAAACAAGAATTGAAATAGTTCAACTAATCATACTTAGCTCGCTTACAGAGGCACATTAATCTGAGTTACACATGTTTAAAAGCTTAACGACTTAAAAGATTTAAGGACGTGGAATCAATGCATCAAGAATTAATACAAGCAAACAACAATCAACGTTCTAGAAATGTAATCATTTTCAGGGATTCTATGATTTAAAATACTCTTTTGAAGAAAAAATGATTCAAACGTTATATTAATAATAAGATATACAGTGAACCCCTGATTGCTTACTTAGATATGAAGACTCCGCAGTAGTAGAATATGAAACAGCGCATGTTCTTGGATCCCGCTCAAGCTGATAGCAGATGTGGCGAAGAGCAGACCGTACATGACCCCAACGATACATGGCCACAAAGCTGAAACTGATTCTCATTTAGGAATGCATTTGATATGGAGAAATTCTATAAATCCAAAACGCAATGAGTAGCGAAGAAAATTCAAATTTTAGTAAAAATTAGAAACCGAATGAAAATTTGATTCTGTTTGAAGGCCGAGCTCAAAAAGGAATGCAAGACCCAATCAAACGACATCCCATGCGATGTTTTAGTGGCGCTGATATAGTTTTTACAAAAAAATGTCTCCAGAAGAATATTTGCCCGAAACGGATGCCCCGCTGGATGACTGCTTGATTGATGGCGAGACCAACCCAGGTGGACCATGCCCTGGTGGCGATGCTCAATGAGCATCGGTGCAGCAACCAAACAAGGAAGGCCCCCCAGTGCCTCCAGACGGAGAGCCCCATTGTCCTTCTGCCAAACACTTGCTCAGAAATTTGAACAAAACCCAGCGCAGACCTACAGCGCAGATATCTTCCCATCGATCGTGTCGCTTATCGCCACGGAGGAGGCGCAAACCGACGCATGAACATCCTGCGGAGCCGCCCATTCCAAGGAGCACAACATGGCATCGGCCACTGGTGAAGAAGTGGAGAAAGAAGACGCCCCCAGCAGGCGAAGAGAGAACCACCGGCGGGGATTCCCTCCCCCTCAAGACCGTACAAAAACAAAAGCAAAGCGACCTGCTCACCGGATTCTGATGCCGCTGCGGGCGGTTTCTCCTTCGGCTTTCGTCTGAGCCGGGGAAGAAACCCTACACGAGCAAGACGAAGACGATCAAGGTTCGCCAAACCAGCTCAGTCCTCAGTTTCATAGTTCAGCCCCCCATTCCTCAAAATAATACTTAAATAAATATATATATATATATATTAAACGTTATGGGCCTATCATTAACTGCTATTGGGCTAAACCGGAAACCGTCATAGGCATACTCAATGGGCCTTCCAGCCCAACTGCCTAATGGCACGTGGTCTCGTAGGCCCACCTGATGCATCATGGACCCAACTGACAATGGGCCATATTGGGCCCTTAGCTAGCGAGAGAAGCGGAAAGAGAGAGAGAGAGAGAGAATAGGGACTGTACATAGCTCAAATAAGCACGGTGAGCCACACATTATTAATACATGTCAAGCTTAGAGAGAGAAAGAGGGAGAGAGGGGAGGGCGCATATGTACAGATTGTAGACTGTACACAGAAATACAGGCACATGCTTAGCGAGAGAGAGAGAGAGAGAGAGAGTTCTTCATCCTCATGAAGATGCATCATAGCGGCCACCAAACGATAGCTGGGCTCTCGATTGCCGCGGCCGGACTTGACACCCAATTGATGCTCTGAAATGATTATAGAGAGAGAAGCACTGTGAACTATATGCAATGGGTGCACATGCTGGTAGAGAGAGAGAGAGAGAGAGAGAGAGAGGGAGGGCTTTTCATCCACAAGGAGAAGCTTCATAGCGGCCGCCGAATGACAGAAGGGCTCTCGACGCTGGAAACCCTTTGATCTCCATCGCCGAAGTCATTATCTCGCTGATGCCCTGAAATTATTGAAGAGCGTTAGCGAGTCAGAAGCAGGTGAAAACGCCTCCGAAAGGGATACCTTTCAAGAGAACAATCTCTCTCTCTCTCTCTCTCTCTCTCTCTCTCTCTAGGCTCATTTTGGGGGCATTTTTCATGTTTCAGGCCAGGCCCATCGCACTAGTGTCTGTATGCATAGAAATATATATATATATAGTTTTAGGGAGCAAATAACCTATAAATATATTTATTATGAAACGTTTAAAATTTATGCATTGCAAGGAGCAAGCCGAGAAACTATGACGAATTTTAAAAACATTGAACAATTTAGAAAACTCCAACCTTGATCCAATTTAGGATTCGAATTTGCAAAAGAACATGAAAATTCGAGGCCCATAACCACGCATGAAAATTTCCTGCTGCAATCAATTCCAAGGTTTGACTCGATGCTCCTCACTGAGAATCGTACTTCACACGAAAATTGTAGAAGACCGGTCATCAGCAGAAAAAGCTCAGATTGAGTGAGCCCTCTCACGTATGAAGGAAGATCAACCTGTGAACTGTGAAAGATCCTACTATCTGATCCTTGTGAACAAAAAATCGCATCCAGATGATTGTTTATATTTTTATTGTAATTTCTGCGGTTAGAATAGGTCCTATTTGGAGTGTCCCTTATTTCATGAAGTTAGAATTGATCAAAAATCGAGGAGAGAAGAAAGATGAGAGGTCCAAGATCTTGCGGGTAGCTCTTTTGCTGGTCTGACGAACCCAAGGGGATTTAAACTAGGGTTTACGGAAGGATTTGGCAAATGGCTCTCGAACAAGGAGGATGATGACCTGAGAGAGAATCTCTAAGCTAATCAAACAGCGGGACTCTACTTTGAACGGAATCACAGATCGAAAAATGATCTAACCTTGTCGTCATGACGGATCTGAATCTGAATCCCTGGATTACGCTGGCGGTGCTTGATGCGATGGTGCCCGCTCAGAAGGAACACCCCCACGGTGGCGGCGGCGAATCCTACTGAGCTCAGTGCTCCGACCGCCGTCATCCTCCACCTCCAAACTCGGAGACCGAAGCCTTCAGGTATTCCCTTCTGGACGATCTCCGGACTCGAGATCCCCACTTCCTGCTCCCGATCTGGAGCCCCCTCGCATTTCCCGGCCCCTTCTCCATCCTCCGCCGGAGGATCGACGCTCCCGAAAGGAGCAGCCATCGGGGACACCTCCATGGTCATGTCGGCAAGTTCATCCGTCCTAGGACCTCCGAAGAACGCCTGGTACGGCGGCGCTTCCTGGCCCGCCGCCGCTTCCGCCGGTAGCTCGAACTCGATCCTTCCGTTATCCCCGACGAATTCCTCCTCCGAATTCTTCACCTCCGGGATGCTCTCCTCAGATTCACGCAGCATCGGGTAGTCGAAGAACTCTTCGTTGCTGAGGAATTCCCATTCCTCCGAGTCCATCTCGAAGGTGGGAAGAAGAGTAGGGAGCAGAGGCCGAGGAGGAGAAAGGTGTTCAATCGTATGAAGAAGACGACTCCGGAGTTCTCTGTACTTAAATAATCCAAAAATATCTTGAAATTTCTGTTACATCCCTGTAACTTTCTAATAATTTAAATAATACCCTTTCACTTCCGTTTCACGTCGTTTCTGCAATGCCTGCGCAATATATGTAATATATCGTCTTTAAGATGAATTAATATTCTCATTAGGGGTGTAAAATAAAGAGACCATCCGGGAGGTCATCCTTCGAGAGAGAGAGAGAGAGATTAGCATCATAAACCCAGTCGGTATTTTATAATTATTATAATTCGGGTAATTAAAAAAGGAAGACCAGCCTTAGCCAACGGTCAACGCGTGAGGAGGCAAAAAGCGTGCGGCGTCACGTGCACGTTGCCTCCGCGAGGCGCTCGTTTCACGATACTGATTCCTTGTGTTGGAGGAAACGGATCCTTCCAAGCCTCTTTCTGACCCCATAGCCAACCAATTCCTTCGCCACCCGGCAAGTGGCAGAAGAGGGGTTGACCGTAGGAAGGACCTTCAAGTCAACTTTTTTTCCATCGTCAAGACCCAGCCTAGCGAGAGAGAGAGAGAGAGAGAAAGAGAGGGGGAGAGAGAGAGGGAGGGAGAGGGAGAGGGAGAGGGAGAGGGAGAGGGAGAGAGAGAGAGAGAGAGAGAGAGAGAGAGAGAGAGAGAGAGAGAGAGAGAGAGAGAGAGAGAGAGAGAGACCCAAATTGTTAATCCAACACGATCTTGGGGCCATTTGGTGAAAGTTTCAAGCTGACCAAAAGATCCTGAGATAGCAATGGCCAGTTCATCCAAAAACAGCCGAATCCGCCCAAACTAGGCAAACCCAGATCAGTCCATTCTTAGCCCATTCAACTTACCCAAACGGGGGTTTAAGGGTTTTGAAAAGGCCGATTCAAACCCAACCGTGATCCTGATCCAGGGCTAGAACTGGCTGAATCTAGGGCTTAGTAGGACGAGGTCAAAGGGCTCAGATTGGCCTGATCAGGCATCTCACATTCATCCGACCCACATCAGATCAGACTATGATCGGGCAATCGTGGACCAAATCAGCCAGAAATTGACAAATAATTCTTAGCTGATTTGACCCAATATTGGGTTTCATTGGACGAGAACATCCTCCAAAAAAGCTTCTATATTTGCACATCAGGTTCCTACTGTTTAGCAGCATGAAAACTGAACCCAGAGTCTCTAGTGAGAACAGAGACGCCTTTGGCAGAGGGCATTTCCCCCCAGCGGCTAGTCACCAAGAACAGAGATTCTACAAGCATTTCCTCCAGTCCGAGATGGGCCCACAAATTATCCAATTCACCATCATTCTTCAGTCAAATAATGCAGAGAGACTATGCAGCATTTAACCTAAGAAGCATACCAAAGTCAGGGAGCCTGCCCAGTCAACGGTTGTATGATATGATATCCACAACTGCTACTTTGATCCCCCTCCCACTCCATCTGATGGGGTCAAGATGATCGGCCAAGACTTTATCTTTTTCCTAACGGAAACCTGGACACATTCTACAGTCGCTCGGAGTGCTTCCCGCCGTTCTTTACTCAAATAATTGCAGAGATATGCAGCATTTAACCTAAGAAACATAGCAAAATCAGGGAGCCAGCCGAGTCAACGGTTGTATGAGATGATATCCACAACTGCTACAGTTAAACACCCTGCCCATCTGATGGGGCCAAGTTGATAGGCCAAGACTTCATCTTTTTTCTAACGGAAACATGGGCACATTCTCCTGAAGCTCGGAGTCCTTCCCGTCATTCTTCAGTGAAATAATTGCAGAGATATGCAGCATTGAACCTAAGAAGCATACCAAAGTCAGGGAGCCCTCCGAGTCAATGGTTGTATGATATCCACTCCATCTGATGGGGCCAAGAATTCATCTTTTCTCAAACGGAAACCTGGGCACATTCTCCAGAAGCTCGGAGTCCTTCCCATGGGCAGAGAGGCAATACATAATGGTTGAGGCCATTCCATCATCGGGCACGATGCCACTGTCAGCCATATGCCGAAGGAGCTCAGTGGCCTCCCTGGTTTCCCCTTTGGCGCTCAACCCACGCAGCAATGAGTCGTAAACACCGACATCGGGTGGGAACCCAGCAGCCATCATCATCTCAAGCAACTCCCTCGCCTCGCCCGGCCTCCCAGCCTTCACACAGCCTTCGATCAATGCAGAGTATGTAATAGCGTCTGGAGCCAACCCCCTCTTGAGCATATCTTCAAGCAAGCCCCTTGCGGCTTTGAGGTCGCCGATTCTTCCAGATCCTGTAATTAGGGTGTTGTAGGAGACAATGTCAGGCCCGCAGCCGCTGGACTTCATCTCATCAAGCAACCTCATGGCGGGCTCCGTTTGGTGGGCCCCATACAGGACTGAGATCAAGGAATTGTAGTGAAACAGAGTTGGGCTCAACCCCCTGGCCTTCATTTCATTGAAGTAACTCTCTGCAGCATCTGCCCGACCCATCTTGCAGAGCCCATGGAGGACAATGTTATCGGTGAATGAATCGGGGTCAACGCCTAAAGAGACCATCTCTTCTCGAAGTCTCATAGCCCTTTCGGCATTCTGGGTCTTCATGAGGCCGTCGATCAGGGTGTTGTAGGTCACCACATCGCCGATGTTACCTCGGTCAACCATGGTCCGATGAATATACAGAGCCTCATCGACCCGCCCTTCCTTGCAGAGCCCATTAATCAGAGTGCCATAGGTTGTCATGTTTGGCTCAACCTTGAGCTCACCATCAGCCAACTTCTTGAACAGCTCCATGGCTTCATCCACCTTCCGACTGTCACAGAGCCCCCTGATCATCGTGTTGTAGGTGATGACATCCGGGGATCTCCCCAGCTCGACGATCTTCTTCAGCAATTCAGAGGCTTCTGATAAAAATCCGTTCTTGCAGAGACCATTGATCAGGGCATTGTAGGTGACGACGTTGGGCTCCTCACCCTTCTCCTCCATCAAGCTCGCCATCTTCATCGCTTGTTCTATCTTCCCTTCCCTGCAGAGCCTGTCAATTAGGCTCGTATAGGTGAAGACATCGGGGTGAATACCCTGCTCCCCCATGCTGCTCAGCATCTCCATGGCGTCTTCCCATCTCCCAGCCCTGGAGAAGCCATCCACCAGGCAGGTGTAGGTGACCACATTCGGCATTATCCCATTTGCAGACATCTCGGTGAAGAAGACGATGGCCTCGTCCACTCTGCCTTCCTTGCAGAGCCCATTTATGAGGGCACTGTAGATGACGACGTCTGCTGCCAGACCCTTCTCCTTCATCTGGTTTAACAGGGCAGCCGCTTCCTCTGACCGGCCCCCCTTGCAGAGCCCGTCGATGAGGGAGGTGTAGGAGATGACAGTGGGGGAGCAGCCCCTTCTGGCCATCTCCGCCCACAGCTCCATGGCGATTTTCAGATTCTTCTCCTTGCAGAGCCCGCTGATGAGGGTGTTGTAGGTGATGGCATCTGGGACGATCGATCTACGGCTGGCACAGCGGAAGATTTCCATGGCCCTCCCAACGTAGCGGCTCCGGCAGAGCCCCCTGAGCAGGAGGTTGAGAATGAGGGTGTTAATGGCGTACCCCTGCTTCATCAGGAGGGCGATAACCCCCAGAGCTGCTCTGGTTTCACGGACATGGAAGAGGGAACCCATGAGAGAGATCAGAGAAGAATAATCTGGCGGAATCCCCATCTGGGTCATCCTCCGATAGACCGATAGAGATGAGCCATGGTCTCCTGACCTCGCCAGGTCGCGAATGCGGGAATTCCATTCCACGGAGTTATCCGCAGGGCGGGAGATCTCTGCAGCGTGGGCAGCGAGAGGACGAGAGAAGAAGCTGTTAATCAAGGGTTTTAAGTTGGAGCGAGGATTTTTCACCCTTAATGGCAGGTGGGTCATGGTGAAAGATCGGTGAAGAGAAGAAATCCCTGAAGCAATTTAGTGGGAAGAAAACCCTGAGGAAGAAGAGAAGGAAGAAGGCGCGGAGGAAGGGACTGGAGGCGAGAAGGAACCGCAGAAGAACAGACTGGAGGGGCAACAGAGGGTGCTGGGCTGCTTCCAGATCCCCTTGAGATGATTCTTCGCAGACGGCGCATCAGTTTTCCACATCCTTCTCCTGCTGCAGATGATCAGTCCACCCAAAGTGACTCGGGTCAGCTTAAATTAGGGTTTTTCTCTTCTCAGGATACTCGTTGCCCCCTCAGAGGAGTGTTCCTCCTCCCCCACCTACTCGCTCTTTCTAAGCCCCGTCAGAGGGAGGAGGAGGAGGGAGGAAGGCTACCCCACCGGAGAAGACTGGAAATGTGGGGAGGGAGGAAGAACAGGGAGGAAGATCATCAAGGGACAAGTGCCGTGCTATATAATTATGAATATAATTATTATCACGAAGCACGATTTTATGAATATAATTATTATCACGGTTATTTGTAAAAACATAAAAATGCGTATAAAGTTTACTTTAGGAACACACCAGCAAAATCTTATCCACCTGATTTCGAAATTAAATATCATAAAATATGACAAAATTATTTTAAATTAGAACAATAACATACATTAAAGATTATCTGACTTAAACTCCTGCTATATCACCTAAATATGAATTATTAATTTGCATTTTTACCCTATTTTTAAAAATCTTCAAAAACCACACAACCCATGTAAAAAGACCTTTTTTTTAATTACAAGAAACACAGCAAGTTTTATGGGTTCCAAGCAAATTTTATAGTGGTACCTGTTCGATGTGATGTGCTTTGCATAAGCAACTTCAGCACCAAGGAAGCGCTTCTCTGGGAAGCCTTTCTTCTGTTCCAATATCGGAATCAGGCTGTGTTGTGTGGTGTAGTGGGTGGCGCCATGGCGGCAGTCGGCTTCTTCCCACTCTGCCAAAGTCTCGTCCCCTCCGCGTTTCGATCTCTCCCCCGGCTGGATCTTCGTCGAAATCGGCTCTTGGATCGACGCTCTTCATCCACTTTCGCTTCTCAGATAACCTCTCCCTGCCCCTCCCGCGGGTACTTCGTCCGCGTTGGGACCGGGAAAGGGGGCGAGCCAGCGGGCGACGAGTCCCAGTTCCTGGACGAGGAAGGGGTGGTCAACGATATGGATGGCTACCTCAACTACCTCTCCCTGGAGTACGACTCTATCTGGGACACCAAGCCCTCATGGTGCGTCTCCTGAGTTCTGGAGCATAGATTCCAGTTTCATTTCGCTGTGATTGTCCACGTGTATCGACTGGACCTTCCTCACCTCTGAGTGGCTTCCCGGTGTTGAGATGGAGTCGCCATTGACGGTTTTCTTCGTGTTCTTCAGTGATTTTGTTTTCTCAAATCTACTTGTGAAAATTTCTTGCTCTGTCCCCCCATTAAGTTCTTGCCTCTTTCCATTTCCGAGCTCTTCGTCAGCTTCAACCTCCTTTCCTCTTTAATTTTCTTCGGGTTTCACCCTACAGAAATAGTTTTTGGGTTCGACTTTTTGGCGATCTAAAGCCAACATAGCTTAGAATCATCCGTTTTTTCAGAGTTTTCTTTATCACATATGCAGTTCATTGTCAGCCACTGTCTTCACTCCCTTTTGGGTGCGCAAGATTTTGAACCACAGCCTTCTTGGTATTTCTCTGAGAGATTTCTGATATCATAAGATGGATTAATGTCATTGGTTGACATTATCCAAGAGACTGTATTTATCAAATTTCTCTCCTAACCTTTGAAAGTAATTTCTTTGCCTAAACTTGAGGATCCTACTACACGATGTGGTGGGGTGTTCTCAGGACGATCACATGTTTGATAACAGAGCAATGGTAATTTCTTGGGTTTACATTGCTGGAAGATTGCATCATGAACTTACTTTCGGCGGCTGTTTGTAATGCTAAAGATCAAAACGGAGCACACATTTAGAACGGCCGAAAGTTTCCTTTCTATATGTTCATAACTCCTTCTGACCTCGAACTATATCATTCTTGTATCATAGGTGATGCCTATCATCAGTTGTTGTCAACGCCTTCTGAGAATTCCAACCTTTCACATGATAAATTTCCACCAAGAAAACCATTTGCCACATATGTAGTTGCCTAGCTTTTTCCGAACAAAATGCGCCTGAAAATAGTTATTTAGTAATGAAAGATCGGCTCAAAGAACTAGGCTACTTATGGTTCCATCACGCTTTTCTTCTTATATTTATTCCATTAAATGTCGTCAATGGCTCTGCTCAAAGATTAGGGTTCTAAAAAAATAATTAAAAATTTAAAAATCTCGAATTTCTTTTGCTGGTAATGCAGTTCATATTGGCGTACTAGTTTTTTTATCTCATCTCTACATCATGTTTCTGTCACAGGTGTCAGCCATGGACGATATTGCTTACAGGGGCACTGGCAATTGGTTGTAGCTGGGTATTTGTGCATTCATTAATACTCACTGCCGTTGTCTCCTCATTGATCTGTGCATGGTGGTTCGTTTTCTTATACTCTTATCCAAAGGTTTGTCATTTCGCCCTCCATTTTTCTTTTATAATTATGCAAGACAGTACAAATGGTTGATATAATTATTTATAAGTCTAGCCTTTTCGGAAATTATACTTCAAAGTTTATTCAAAGAACCCCACGCACTTGCTTTGATATCATTCATAGTTTCTCCACCAATGATAAAATCCAGATTATCTCTTGTTGTGTTATTAGAATTAAGAAATTAATAATTTATTTTAATTGAAAAATATGTCAATATCTACTTTCTGTATGTTTAATATCCTGCGCGCATACATTTTATTCATAATTTCTGACGTTGAAAATTTAGTGAATGCTGATTGTTTTCATAAAAAAAAAATACAGATATCTATACCTATGTTTTTATATAATTTCTCATGCTTATTCTAGTGTTTTAGAATCGTTTTAACACATTTATCAAAGGCATCAATCAATCAGTTTCCTCACTGTTGCCTACTCATGAAGCGGATGACCACTTTGGTCAACCTTGTCGGTTCTAAAGCCCCTCACTTAATCTCGTCACAGCTGGCATTGACTTGAATTCTCTGCATCGTCAAACCCATCCAGTTTGACTCCTTGACTCACACAAGCTGGATTCGTTCATTGATCATAGATAGTTGTCTCAGACCTTTCCCAATCTGGAAACCTGAACTCATAGAGAGTCCAATCATCAAGCTCCAGGCAGAAGTGGTTCTTTCCTCATCATTCTTTCTTTCTCTTCTTCTTTTTCTTTGTCTTCTGAAAATCATGACCAGTGTGGATGGGATTCATATCAGAAGAGGGTTTTTCTTGCTGTTCTTGCAGTTTCCCCTTTAAAATATTTATAAATATGCTCACTTAATTTATTAACCATCATTTTATATATATTTAAAAATATTTACGCCTTTAAATAGAAATAATTCAATGATCCCCACATTTGTAAACCACTCAACTTGCCCATACATTGTTTAAATATTATGATTTTTATTTAATAATTTATCGGCATCATCGTCAGCAGAAGAAGGGCAGAGCAGGTAGGGTTCATAGATAAATTATTAATATCATCAAACCATGCTTTTACTCGTTTCAACATGCAACGATTTTTCTGATTTTTAGTGAGAATCCGAAATATCTGAGGGCCTGATGATCTGCTTGGCTTCTTCTGCAGGCGTATGCTGATATGATAACGCAGAGGAGAAAAAATGTCGTCAGTGGTGTTGAGGACACTTTTGGTATCACCAAGAATCAATGATTTAAAATATTATGATTTGCTGTTCTTAGTAACCTGAATCCCATAATGGAAATTTTCTTCCTGGCGCCGTATTTTTTTCCTGCACGCCTTATCTCTAAGAATGTCAATGGATAAGGTGAGTCTAGAGCTGGTCAACTCTTAGCTTGATTTTGGGACCACTTGTAGGTAGTCTCTCTCTAAAATATCGGAGCCCTTTCTCTCTCTAAGATCATAGTTTATGCCATGAAAAAAGTTCATTATTTTTATATGATTATCCTCAAGAACTTTCTATGCCATTTCCAGGCTGACAGCATACTTTATAGTAGTTCATGATGGATACCCCCAGGGCGGAAGAGGGGGGGGGGGGAGGGACCACCGTCGGGACAGAATAGTCAACGCTCTTGACCTTGGTTGAGAGACGGTTGTGAGATGATTCTTGGCCGTCTGTTTAATGCGGCCAGACAATCTTCGGCCGTCGGGGAGGGCCGTCCGAGTGGTCCCCGGGTCTTCCTTGTAGAGTAATAGAGAGACACGTAAGCAAGGGGACAACGCCGGCTGAGGTGGCTCCACGTGTTATGTTGCACCGACGGCCGAACGAGCACATCCTTTTCCTGCGTAGCAATTGGTTGAGTGTGGGGCCCACGAGATCGTGACTGGCTGCTGGCGGGGAACGTGTATAAAAATTCATACCCACGATGCCCGCTTTCTTCCCCGTTTCTCCTTCTTCCGTCCATCGTCTGCCTCCTCCGGCTCTTGGCCATTCCCTCACGGAAGCGACCAACATTTCGGAGAGGACCTTCCCTCTGCAATCTGCTGGTCCCGAGAATGGAGTGCAGAGGCGTCACCGGTTGCAACAGCAGCAGCAGCAGCTTAAGCGACTCACCCTTCGACTGCATTCTCTTCGGTGATCGATCTCTCTCTCTCTCTTGCTCTGTCTTGATCTGGAGCTCGCTCTCTTACTCTCGGTGAATATTTGCAGACTTGGACGACACCTTGTACTCTTCTGACGTCGGAATCGGTAGGTTTCTGCGGAAAAACATCGAAGGTAGAGGACGAGAACGTGGCTCATCTGATGTCCTCTTCTGTGACTGGTTTCTCATCTCATGACCTAATTTTCCATCTCTGTGGAAAATGGAATTTCTTCTTCGTAGAGTTCTTGATGAAGACCTGCGGGAAAACGGCGGAAGAGGCCTGTGCACTCCGAGCAGAGCTGTTCAGGAACTACGGCAGCTCCCTGACGGGGCTACGAGTAAGCCGCAAGCGTTGATCGCAGTGATCACAGACTCAGAACCACTGTTTGCGAGGAAATCTGATTTAATCGTGTTCTTCCTCCCTTCATCCCTTTTTTCTGCAGGCTCTTGGCCACGATATCCATCCCGACGACTACCACAGGTCTGCCTGAGCGCGACCACTAAACTATTCCGTGGCAACTCTCTCGTTGCTTGTCGTTGCCAGTTAACTGACGATCCTCTTCTCCTTCCGTTCCTCGCAGCTATGTCCATGGAAGGCTCCCCTACGACGCTATCCCCAGCAATCCCCTGCTTCGGGACCTCCTCCAGAGCATCCCCCAGAGGAAGATTGTGAGTCGAAGCCTACATTCTCGCAAGCACGAAGCAGAAACTTCCCACAAATCCATCTTCCTCTGAGGATATCCAAATTCGCCATGGTGACACGTTCCCTCAATTTCCGCAGATCTTCACGAATTCCGATAGGGAACACGCGAGGAGGGCTTTGGAGCGGCTCGGGCTTGTCGGGTGCTTCGACGACATCATCTGCTTCGAGACCATGAACCCTAACCTCTTCTCCTCCTCCGTCTCCTCCTCCTCCTCCGGCGTGGTTCTCAAACCCTCCATAGCGGCCTTCGAGGTCGCCCTCTGCATCTCGGGCGTCCACCCCCAGCGGACGGTGAGCTTCCCCCACCCCTAGACCCCCTTGCTGCGCGGAAAGTTAACCAGGAGATCCCTTCCTCTCTCTCTCATCAGCTCTTCCTCGACGACAACGAGAAGAACATCGCCGCCGGTAAGGCCGCCGGCCTCTACACCACCCTGGTGAGTCGCCGCCCTCTTTCTCTATCCCGCCGGTTTCTCCTCCCTTCCTCTGAGAAGCTCCTCCGATCTGGTTGCAGGTCGGGAAGAAGAAGAACCCCATGATGACGAGTGACGCCGACTGCGTCCTCAGCGATATCCTCGAGCTCCGCCGTGAGATGCCGGAGATTTGGAGCGCCGCCGGTAAGAAGAATCCCCCCGGCGAGATGGACGCCGTCTTCTCGCCCGTGGAAGTCTGATCGTCCGCCGCCGCCACCACCATCCCCCCGACATTCCTTCCGGCCATCCGGGGAGAAGCCGTCCTTCGGAGGAGGACGAAAAGGACCATCACTCACGATCTGACACGTGTTTGGCTTATTGGCATTTGTAATAAAAATATATTCCTATAGGGCCTTCTGGAAACCACGTGTTGTAATAAATAACTCCTGGGCCCAAACTGTCCATAATTGGGCCTCCGCGATTTATCCGAGCCCAATTCGGGCGGGTGCTGTTTATTTAGCTATCCATTCTACTGAGAGCCTTTGTCGGCCTTGATTTTTCTCATCGTGGGCTCCTAAATTAAAAAGCCCAAAAATTAAAACTGGGCCCGTTTTGATAATAATTAAAACCTGGTTTGAATTTCTCTTGGGCACGACTCTCTCTCTCTCTCTCTCTCTCTTCACTGTCCGGCTTCGTGGTCGCTTATCTTTTGAACTGTCCGTAGGAAGGAGGGGCTGGCCCGGGGCCGGGCTTTATTGATAGATACGGGTCCCGTCTTACAGACAGATCCGGGCCCGGGCTGGACTTCACCCCCTATTAAAGTCTGATGATCGTCGTCTTCGACCTTCCTCGCTTCTGTCTCTCACCTCAATCGCCTCTCTCTCTCTCTCTCTCTCTCTCTCTCGCTCTCCCGCTCTCCCGCTCGTTCTTTCAATCTTTCTCGGGGTGGTCGTCTGGAGGAGGAGAAGCCATGGATTTGCTGAAACGGGAACTGATGAAGAAGCGGCAGAGTTTGGAGTCCGATTTCGGAGGGAAGAAGCTCCTTAGACGCTCCGAGATTGATCAGAAGAAGATTCAAAAGCTCCGCGAGGAGGAGCAGCGCGAAATCCAGGCGAAATCCCTCCAGCACTCTCAATCGCAGTCTTCCGAATCTCTCCCTTCCTCCTCTGCCTCCGGGGATGCAGGAGGCGTCATCAATCAGTCCGCCCAGAAAAACCCTAGCTCCACCTCGTCCCTACCCCCCTTCCTCTCCGCCGCCTCGTCTTCTGCCAAGAGGGCTGCCCACGAAACCCTAACAGATGAGCAGCGGATCGACGATCTCGTACTCTCCAAGCAGGAGGTTATCCGCCGTCTCCGCATCCTCAAACAGCCCATCACCCTCTTCGGGGAGGACGATGAAGCCCGCCTCGACCGTCTCAAGCTGACTCTCAAGTCTGGCGTTTTGGAGATAGACAGTGACATGACCGAGGGCCAGACCAATGACTTCTTGAGGGATATCTATGAGCTCCGTAAGCGACAGAAGGCGGGATCCGGGAGTTCGTTCCTTCATGAGAAGTCTCAGCGCAAGGGTGAGAACGAGGACGGGTTGGATGATGATGGGGCTGATGGTGATGGTCATAAGGGCCTCAGCGGCGATGGCGGTTCGTCGGGAATGGATGCAGACAAGGATGTGAAACGGATGAAGGCTAATTTCGAAGATTTGTGTGGTGAGGACAAGATACTCGTTTTCTTTAAGCGGCTACTTAATGAGTGGAACCAGGAGCTGGATGAGATGACAGAGAAAGAGAAGAGGACTGCCAAGGGAAAGTCCATGGTTGCCACATTCAAGCAGTGTGCTAGATACATCAGTCCTCTATTTAAATTTTGCAGGAAAAAGGTGACTATTTTTCACAATCCATCGTGATCTTTTGGCATTGTGAGGGATCAGTGGTGAAGCCTGTTGTCATAATGTTATGCTCATGTTTCAACATCTTACGAGAACTTACCAATGAAGTATATATTCTTAATTTCAATACGATTTAGAGTCTTCAAGTATATCTGCCTTATTTTCCAAAGATTCCATGCTAAATTATCCTCTCTAGTTTTCTATTTATGCAATTTTCATAGTATTTAATCATGCTAAATATACTGCATGCCTAGCGGATAGTTCCTGTAGCTCCGTCCTTGACTAAAGAGGTAAAATGGGTCTGTTGCTTACTGTCATGAATTTAAGGAAAAGCAAGTTGTTTCTATTTTAGATATTTTTATTTAAACGACCTAAACTCTAAAAGGCATAAGAATGCGTAAGGGAAAAACACCAAGCGCCATCAAAAAGATCGTCATTTTATGGAGGTAATGGTAACAGAATAGCATGTTTCCCATCGTTTCTATCCAAATAGTCTGTTTGTGTTGAGTTTAACAACACATTTATTAAGCATTTCTCTTTAAAAAAATACCATTTAAATATTGACTTCGAGGCATTCCGGTATCTCAACTATTTTTAGTTCATCTCAGGTTATCCCTTCATTCCTTACTCCTCTAATTTGTTTATAAGTGATCACATAGTAAAAGGTTGCATCAAGTCTCTTACTGCCCACTCCAAAATCATACTGAGTGGTCATCTGTGTTCTTGGGAACTCCTCACATGATCTTTTACCTCCAATTCATCCATATTTCACAGCATGCGATCTTTATAATGTTTCTATTCGGGGGGGAGGAGGTCATTGTGGCCTATTTGTAATAAATAGTGGCCTATGTAAGTGATAATAAGTGGTTTGAATCAACCTAGAACCACATCAAAGTACCCCAGAAAACAGATAAGGCTCAGCTAATTATGGTTAGGTTCGCCAAACATCTGCCAAACACTCGCTGATGATTTCTTTTTTTACTTGAGGCCTGGGTTTGGAAGAATGAAGAGGAGCCGGGGGAAAGGCGAAAGAAGAAACATATGAAGGAGGAGACGATAGGAGAGGCTTAAGGAGAGGAGAAAGAAGGTGGAAAAATCATGGGGAGACTATTAGGAGAAATAGTGTTAAATGTTACAAACTTGTGTTTAATTATCTCGTTGTTGATTTAATGAGCTTTGTGGACGGTCTTGGGTTAGCCTGCTGTCTGGTTGGGTTATTAGTAGACGGCTCATAGCAACTCCATAGGCTGATATATTGTGAAGAAATGCAGAAAGCAAAAGGGACGAACAGAATTTACATGGAAGATGCCATAGTCAAGCCTTATTTGGAAAATGTCAATTACTGCTATCCATGACCCCTACCCTCTTTCAAATCAAGTCAACCGATACGATATCCATCATTATCATCTCACAATTTTCTTTAGAACCTTTTTTTTTCTAACCCAGATTAAAAAAATATCAATAGCTGTTATTCACACCCTTTGCCTTCTCTATTTAGCTCAACTGATACAAGATCCCCTCTCGTTTCCTCACATCTTTGCATTAGAACCCTTATTCCAGCTATTCTTACGTTGTTTCTATGACTCCTTTAGCAACCTAAGCTGTAAAACGGCTGCGATGAAACAATCGTTTCACAGTATCCCATATGATGCCTTTATTTTAACCAAATACTTGTACTATTATTGTCTGTTAAATTTCTGTTTTCTTTTTCTGCTTCAATCATCAACATATATCCTCCAAATCCTGTTTGAAAGTTGGGAATTGATTTTCTAACTGTAAGAAACACTTGTTGTTTAAGTTGCGTGTTTGGGAACGTCTGTAGGACGGCCAAAATATATCTATTGAAAGCTTAGCTTTGATGCAAATCAAACCATGTACAGAGGGCATCTTTATATATTCTCTCAGAACTCTTTTTTTACGTAGTTGAATACTCTTTCAGATGCAATCTACAAAGCAATGAAGGCGGCATATACTGATTTTTCTCGATTTCATAGATTTCTTTTATCGAATTCCCAAGCAAGAATATTTACAGTAATGTTTCTTTTGCCTGAATGATATATATATGAAAAATTAGCAAGTTTGCTTAGATTATTGAGAATACCTCTGATCCAATATCTATCTGTTTCTGTCATCCCCATTGCAGGTTCTCCCTGATGACATCCGGGAAGCACTACTAGTGGTGGTCAACTGCTGCATGAAGCGAGATTACTTAGCCGCCATGGACCAGTACATCAAGCTCGCCATTGGTAATGCGCCGTGGCCGATCGGTGTGACCATGGTTGGCATCCACGAGCGGTCGGCCCGAGAGAAGATCTACACCAACAGCGTCGCCCACATCATGAACGACGAAACTACCCGCAAGTATCTGCAGTCTGTTAAGCGCCTGATGACTCTGTGCCAGAGACGCTACCCGGCCCTCCCGTCCAAATCGGTAGAGTTCAACAGCTTGGCGAATGGGAGCGATCTCCACGCTCTTCTAAGCGAAGAGAGGGCCAAGGGGAACCCCATCTCAGAAGAGAGGCTCCGGCTGATGCCTGTGCCGAAGAAAGAGTAGCATCTTTTCTTCGTATAACGTTCAAACTCTTGAGATATATAGAAGAGCTTCAAGGAATCACACCATTGGAGGCTTCTATGAAACCCACCCACTTCATTCAAAACTAATTGACTGGTGGAGATGATGATGATGATGATGATGATGATAATGATAGCTGTAGCCATGGTGTGCCGCATGGTTCAAGGTTACAATCTAGAAAGTCAACAGCTGAGCCCAAGTCAACGGTTAGAGGTCAAACCCCCTATTAAACCCTATGTGACCCCATTGTTAATCACTTAAATGATTAATTCTCCACTATTTTCATGCATTTTTGACTCATGTAAGCAAAGTTTAGGGCTTTGGGCTACAATCTACGATGTCAACGGCTGAGCCTTAGTAAACCAAAAAGAAAATTTGGCCCCCGTGACCCTATAGGCTTACTAGAGAGAGAGAGAGAGAGTAATTATTTGAGATTTAAGGGGGTTTTATGCAAATTAGCCCCCAGAGGACGCGGGGAAATATCTTTTCGTTCCGGCTTGAGGGAGTTCACCGTCAGATCCTCATCAGACTGGTGAGGGTCCACCGAATCTTTGGCAGCTCGAAGGTCTCGTCGTCTGCCAACCTGTTGATCTCACCGTCGACCAACCTGGAGAGCTAATTTAAGGGGGGAAAAAAAACCAGTTGATCTCAAGGTGCACCGATCGTGCGGTGGACGTTTTCCGATGCCCGACGGCGTGTCATGGGGCCCACGGCTTTAACTCGATTGCCACAGTCAGCCTTGTTCTCGCGCCGTTGGACGCTTAAAATGGGGGCTAATTTGGTCTTTGCATTGTGGCCGTTGAGATGACGCGCCTCCGAACGGTGGGCCAGTCCTTTCCGGACGCCAAATATTTATTCAATCGGGTTCGTATTCGTCCCTCTCAGATCTACTCAACACTCTCCTCGGTGGTGGCGAAGGGGAGGAGATCTGTCTTCTATCTGCCTGCTGTCTTCCCAGTTCAGAGGTTTGGATCTGGGAGAGGGTTGGAGAGGAGCGACATTAGGGTTTTCGCGCAGGAAAGGGAGGGAGGGAGGGAGGAGAGATGAGGGAGATCATAAGCATCCACATCGGCCAGGCCGGAATCCAGGTCGGGAATGCCTGCTGGGAGCTCTACTGTCTCGAGCATGGCATTCAGCCCGACGGGATGATGCCCAGGTTTGCATCTTCTTCCTCGCCTCTGCCTTCCTCCGTGAAGGACGCTCCGAATGGCATTTTGTTTTTGCTTGGCTCTTTGTTTGTGTCGAGGTTGTTGCTGGTCCGTCGCCCGTTGCTGTTGCTGGTTTGAGATCTTGTTCGTTCGTCACTTTTGTTTTTGGTTTAGGTTTTATATTTTTTTCCTTCGTCTAGGTGGGAGCCTGGGTGCAGCGGTAATCGGTATGTAGGGGCGCGATGGGACAAGGAGAAAGGATATCTGTTTGTTCTGATGAAAATGTTTTGTTTGGCTTGTGCTTTCCTTTTGTACCGGCATTTGAAAAATAGTGGTCGCATCCTGAAAAATATTTGCGGTTGTTTCCGGAGATTAAATAAGTTAAGCGTCGTTAGGCTGTATGCCGTTGATCTCGGCTCTAGCTTCTCGTATGAAGAATCGATTTGGACATATGTTGCCTGCGGTGGCTACTAGTCCTTAACGTTCTACATTGTAGAAACACGTGAGGTTATTTGAGGTTCCTCGAAAGAGCATCAGGATCTCGAATTTGTTCTAGTGAGTTGTTCGAAATCTTTCGTGCTTTTTGGCTACAGATAACGGCTTAATGTCTTGTCGGGTTTTCGTTTTGACGGAAATCTAAGCTGTCCTGTGAGGGCCTGTGCCTGTGAAAGGCGTCTATACTCCATTCCAGCAAAGTAAACTAAATGGCTTGAAGTTAACCTTAAGGTTTTCAAATTAGTGAGGACTCTGTCTCACTCCACCCCATTCTTGATGTTTTTCTTTGCACGTATGTGGGTAACATGGATTGCAAAAATGTGTGAAACAATGTGTGTATTCTGTTAATGTTATCCGTTTCGTTTTTTGTTTCTTGATTATGAGCTAACATTTCGATTGTTTTGCATCTCTTGCAGTGATACGTCAGTTGGTGTCGCACATGATGCTTTCAATACATTCTTTAGTGAGACTGGTGCAGGAAAGCATGTGCCACGAGCAATATTTGTGGACCTGGAGCCCACTGTTATCGATGAGGTTAGAACTGGGACTTACCGTCAGCTTTTTCATCCAGAGCAGCTAATCTCGGGCAAGGAGGATGCAGCTAATAATTTTGCACGGGGCCACTATACTGGTAATTTTTTTCTTCATACGGATTGGTCCAGTATACCTTAACTTTATATCGGGGAATTTCATTCTGAGATGCTTATTGAGTGCATTCTGGACTTTAAAATATATTGTTCAATCTACTGCAGTGGGAAAGGAAATTGTAGATATATGCCTCGACCGTGTCCGAAAGTTAGCAGACAATTGCACTGGTTTGCAAGGTTTTCTGGTGTTCAACGCTGTTGGTGGTGGCACTGGATCTGGTTTAGGTTCCCTGCTTTTGGAGCGACTGTCTGTCGACTATGGAAAGAAGTCAAAGCTTGGTTTCACCATCTATCCTTCCCCTCAGGTGTGCCTACATTCCCAAAGCTTCCCCCATCAGTAGCAGATTATGGGGGTGACTTATATAGTTATATTCCGATAGAGATTATTGATTTTGATTGGAATCCCATGATTTTTCCTGCTTTTTAACCAATACTTTACATTAATCTTATACTGATCAGTTATTACGACGTTGATCTGTTTGATAGGTTTCCACCGCTGTTGTCGAGCCATACAACAGTGTTCTTTCCACTCACTCACTGCTGGAACACACTGACGTCGCTGTTCTCCTGGACAATGAAGCTATTTACGACATTTGTCGCAAGTCTCTGGATATCGAGAGGCCCACATACACCAACTTGAACCGTCTAATCTCCCAGGTCATATCTTCATTGACCACCTCCCTGAGGTTCGATGGGGCCATCAATGTTGATGTCACAGAGTTCCAGACAAACCTAGTGCCCTACCCCCGGATCCACTTCATGCTATCATCCTACGCGCCCGTGATCTCCTCAGAGAAGGCATACCACGAGCAGTTGTCTGTGCCCGAGATCACAAACACAGTCTTTGAGCCCACCAGCATGATGGCCAAATGTGACCCCAGGCATGGAAAGTACATGGCCTGCTGCTTGATGTACCGCGGTGATGTGGTGCCCAAGGACGTGAATGCCGCCGTCGCAACGATCAAAACCAAGAGAACTGTGCAGTTTGTTGACTGGTAAGATCCCATGCCGCCTGATTTCGGCTGCCCTTCTACTTTTCTTTTCTATGAGCTTTGAATGTGGTGGTGGTGTGGTGGGTGGCAGGTGCCCGACGGGGTTCAAGTGCGGGATCAACTACCAGCCGCCGACGGTGGTGCCCGGCGGCGACCTGGCGAGGGTGCAGCGGGCGGTGTGCATGATCAGCAACAACACGGCGGTGGCGGAGGTGTTCTCCCGGATCGACCACAAGTTCGATCTCATGTACGCGAAGCGGGCCTTCGTTCACTGGTACGTTGGGGAAGGGATGGAAGAGGGCGAGTTCTCAGAGGCCAGGGAGGACCTCGCCGCCCTCGAGAAGGACTACGAGGAGGTCGGCGCCGAGGGGGCCGACGAGGAAGACGACGAGGAGTACTGACCCCGACCTGACCTGACTCAGTGAGGTAGGTACATCCATCTGCCGTGGCTTTGGCTGCTTGTCTTTTCTTCCTCTTCCTCTTCTTCTGGGTTTTTGTTCCTACTCGACAACAATTTGCTTCCCCCGCTGCTGGCTGCTTTTGGTTATTTCTATTATCTCTTTACCTCTTCTCTCTCTCGCTACTCTCTACTCTTTCTACCCTCTCTCTCTCTCTCTCTCTCTCTTCTCTCTCTATCTCTTACCCACTCACGGCTCTCATATCGCCCACTCTCCCTTCTCTCCCTCTCTCTCTCCAGCGTTGGAAACGATTGAATAGCCTTACATGGGCTTGCCGCGTCGGGGTCCGTATCCCGCAATCGTACGGTCTGGCGTCAAATCAACTTCCACTGACCGCCCAATAAGGCTTTTTACTCGAGAGCTTTTTCACTATACTTTTAGTTCAACTTCCAATAAGCCCCTCGTGTTATCATTAAAGATAATCATCTTCTCGAGGCCCCACACCATTCTAGTTTAAAATTGTTAATATTTAGTTAGCATAAGAAAATATCAATTCATCCAAATATGCCTACCAAGTGATGACAATTACTAAAAGAATAATTTACTAACTTGTGAATATTCATCATTGTTCGTCACATGTCAGCAACTTGTTCTAGATAATTAGATGTATAAAGTTTTAGGAGAAATCACGTAAGAAAAGAGATGGCTCATCACTAAATCAAGTATTTATTGATGAGGTAAAACGTCAAATATCCTTTTTCCTATCTTGTCTCTCAAGAATGTAAGCATGCAATGATTCCATTACTTCAGCTCTCTCCAATATTCAGGTTAGAAAGGAAACAATAATGAATAAAATAACTTAGTACGCGTTAGAAAGGTGGGGTGGATGGGCTCTTTCTAGTTAGCTAGATATGATACTGTAGAACCTAAATAATCCAATAAATTTAGTCAAATCCTACTACATAAGCATTGAAGTTTGGCCAAGTTAAAAAGTGTAAGTAATGAAGTAGTTGAGAGCTAGGAAGCTATTACACCCTGCAAGGGTGGTAGAGGTGGGCGTTCTTCATAATCTCTTAATTGGTTGTATTATTGGAATCACTTACATTTGATCCAAATTAATGCACAATAAATATATATATATATAAAGCAAAATTCCAAGTGTATAAAAAGAATTAATATATAGTGTTGACCTTATATGTGTATTTCATTTATGAGAAGTTTATTGATATACATGAAGGGGATAAATAGTCAATAGTAAAAATCAATGTTTCCCTCCCCTTGTTGTAGGTTTTGAGAGGGCTAGTATGCAATTAACACAATAAAAATTATTTTTTCTGTAAGGATCTTAAAGAATATTTAATTTATGAAAATAAATTCAAGTAGTTTTCTAGTCACATTTAAAATTTTCTAATCAATGTAAGATTCACAAATTAAAAAAATAACTAAAGATCTTATGTAAGTGGTGACTATCTTGAAAATCATTTGTCGAAGCTTGAATGAAAAAGGCTTCACTAAGGTTGCCAAAGGCCAAATGAGATACCATGAGGCCGCCAATAGAGAGAGAAAGAGAGAGAGAGGCCACTTTGAGGGGGTCAACCTCCAACTATTTTCTACTCATGAATAACTCTCAATTCCTACTCCTTAGCACTCAGCCCCCTTCTTTATAATATTCATTTTCCCTCTTGATTTGATACCTATTTTTTATATCCTTAAACTATTTCTCTTTTGTGTAAACCTCTTTAATACATATCAGGTTCATATCATATAACCAATTCCTAAAACTACATAGTTACTTACATTTATTTAAAATGGGGTGGTATACTAACCATTAGGTCCTTTTACGATGGGGATGTGATGGGCTGACAAGTTTTCCAACAATGACAAACCTAGCTTACTCTACACCTTAATAACAATATCCTTTGGTTCTACTATTATCTATATTATACAATGTGAATATTAAGATGTTAGTTTGCCTTTACGATATTTATTTCACTAATAGTTTCAAATAATATTGATGACTACTTTTACTCACAATTCAATGGTATCTCATCAAGTCACACTCACTTGACTTTGTTAAATTAACAACGCTTGAGGTCCAAACATACCGTTAGGGTTAGTTTATTATCACAACAAACTCTGTTATGTAAAAAAAATAAGAGTTTATGTTTAGAATTTTACCTTGAAAACTTCATTAAGGCATATAAAATATAGTCCTTAATGTGAAAGCTTCAATTTTCATAAACAATGCCCTTGAAATAGTGGGTGAAGGTCAAAGTTTCATATTGCATGTTAGTGGTCATTAAGGCAATGAATAATCATTTGAGCTTTTAAAAAATACTACACAAAGGGTTGTTGAAATTATTTCTCAAATTTTCATAATTTATAAAAAAAGTAATTTTTTTTAATTACTTGAACAATGAAAGAAATGTTTGTTTCAATCTTTAAAGATTTCAACATTTTTTCCTTGTTTTTTTTAAGCTCTTTATTGGCTTCAAAACACATGAAACTCTAAAAGTCAACACTATTGATACTTCTAAATAACTTTGAATACCTTTGAACAACCTTTAATTAATCTATCACTTATTTTATAATTATTTATTGATGAAAACACTATAAAATTATTTTTTTGTTGATTAATTACTTCAAATATTTATCAAACTTTGACTTTTCTAATTCTTGAAGAATCACATCAACTTTTTAGACTCATACATATGTCACGAAGGATTTGTTTAGTAGTAGCTTTGCATATTGCTTCACCAAATGTCAAAGTCAATGTACAAAATAAAATTTTAGTATTTTTTCAGTTTTTATGTTGATAGAAATCTCACAAGACCAAGGCAGGTTCAAGTACTGGTGTGTGGCCCATTGACAACCAAAATGTTACCTAAACACATCACCCCAAACCATTCTACGATATATTGTTCACATTCCTAATATGCTGTAATTTAATTATTCTATTAGTAAAATATTTTGTATTCTAAAAATAATCAGTTGATTTCCACAATTAGATCGGTCTATAACTTTTCTAGTGTGGAGATTACTCATAAATGTAACTTTTTGTTAAAAAATATTTAATATATATTATATTCGATAATATAGTCTCCCATAGTTACCGTCTTCATCCTATTGAGACACCAATGGTGTCTCCATCCGTCCTTCCATTTTCGTCAAAATAACTGGTAGAGAGAGGACATTAGATCCCGGACGACGCTGACCAAGCTCACCTGGTTTCTTTCTTTGATGCTCTTCCTCCTGCTTGTTCATCTCTAAACAAGAAACCAATTGATACAAGTAAAGAAGAACAGTAGACGTCCTCATAGGATAATATATAACTGAGAGAGAAAGAGAGATAGAACACCGCAGCTTTCGTTGATTATTCAAGGCCCTCGTGCCCTTTCGGTGCACTTGGTCCATGTCCTCGATGAACAGGCAGAGAGAGAGAGAACACCATAGCTTTCGTTGATTATTCAAGCCCCTCGTGCCCTTCCGGTGCACTTGACCCACTTCCTCGATGAGCAGGCAGAGAGCGAGAGAGGGAGAGAGAGAGAGAGAGAGAGACCTTGGATTATTCAATCCTGCCTCGCCCACGCGATGAAACTTGGACGGCGGCATATGGGATGAGTACGACCTCGTTCCACACGTTGTTGAAATCTTCTCGCCCTCCCCAGCAAAACAGCACGTCTCTTCTGCGCAGACTCGTCCAATCATCGAAGCCTCCTGACATCTCCGGCCACGCCTCCCATCATCACCACGACATCTCGGGTCAAAGTCACTAGGCCTCCAACTTGACCGCCGTTTTGTCAACTCGGACCTTATTCTACTTATATCCATGGCAATAATCCCTAGCAACATTAGGAGTCCGAATGTTTTTCCACGTCTAATTGTACCCGCATGACTAATCCTAACCGTTGACCTACTACCCCGACTAATCCTAACCGTTGAGACATAGGTCATCTTGCTTCGACGCAACAGTCATATGCGTCAATTCCAATCCTTCAAGCAGCATGAGACGGTCAGACCCCGGCTGAACCAGTCGTCTTGCTAGCGATGCTTCTCTTCGAAATCTCCATGGAGACGGCCATTTAAGCCCTTCACAGGAAGCACCACCAGCTTCTCTCCAAACAATGGCGTGCTGCGGGAGAAAAACAAGAGAGAAAGATGCTCCTTCTCTGTCCATCGATATGGCGTCGTTCGAGCTGCCGTCTCCACTGCCTCCATGGCCACCAGGTATCCATCCTCATGCTTCCTCTTTATTCAGACACAGCAGCATTAGGGTTTTCTCTGGTTTCCTGACGTCCCTGATCTTCTAACTGGTGGGTCTTCGTCCTCCAAGGTGAGGGCTTCGCCGTGGGGAAGATGAATCTGGGGGAGATCGAGGTCTGCGAGGTGACCTCCTTCGCTGAGGTTTGGGTAGCCCACGAAGGAGGACCCGGCAATCTCGGAGCCGCCTTCTTCTCCCCTTCTTCAATCCCCCCCGGCTTCTTTCCACTGGGATGCTACGCCCAGCGCAGAGGAGCTCCTCTCTTTGGCTGGGTCCTCGTCGGAAAGGACGTCGGAGGAGGCGCCGCCGCCGCCCTCCAGCCGCCGGTGGACTACACCCTCCTCTGGAGCAGCGCCGGGTCCAAGCTCAAGCGCCATGGCGACGGCTTCTTCTGGCTCCCGGTCGCCCCAGAAGGGTAGGGTAACAGCACAAAAACCAGTCGATATCAAAACGAAAAGTTAAGATCGGATCAGACTAAATTCATGGCCTAGATGGGATCTCCGACAGGTACTCCGCCGTGGGGCTTGTGGTCACGTCGTCGCCGGAGAAGCCCTCGCCGGAGGAGATCCGCTGCGTCCGGTCGGAGCTCACCGAGCGCTGCGAGGCCGACGGCGAGCTCTGGAGCGACGGTAAGGGCTTCAATCTCTCCCGCCAGAGGCCCACGGAAAGGGGCTCCCGCGCCACCGGCGTCGCCGTCGGAACCTTTACGGCAGCGGCGGCGCCGCCGCCGCTGTTATGCCTGAAGAACTCCTCCTCCCTCACATCCACCATGCCCAACAAGGCCCAGATCGAAGCTCTCGTAAAAACCTACTCCCCATGGATCTTCTGCCATCCGAAGGACCCCTACTTCCCCTCCTCCGTCGCCTGGTTCTTCACCAACGGCGCCACCCTCCACAAGAAGGGCGACCCCATCCCCATCGCCGTCGACCCCTCCGGCGGCAATCTCCCGCAGGGCGGCGCAAACGACGGCGAGTACTGGCTCGATGTCCCCGCCGGCGGCGCTGCCAGGGATAGGATCCTGAAGGGGGACCTCCCCAGCTCGGAGGCTTACCTCCAAGTTAAGCCCATGCTAGGCGGCACCTTCACGGACGTGGCCGTCTGGGTCTTCTTCCCTTTCAACGGACCGGCGAGGGCCAAATTAGGGTTCCTCACCATCCCCCTCGGCGCCACAGGCCGGCACATCGGCGACTGGGAGCACCTCACTCTGAGGATCAGCAACTTCTCCGGCAAACTCCGGCGAGTTTACTTCTCCCAGCACAGCGCCGGCGAGTGGGTGGAGGCCTCCAAATTGGAGTTCCATAATGGGAACAAGCCCATTGCTTACGCTTCTCTGCATGGCCACGCCATGTATCCAGCGGCGGGGCTGTACATGCAGGGCAGCGCCGCCGCCGGGATAAGGAACGACGCCGCGGGTGGAGGGCCAGCGATGGACACCGGCGAGAGGTGGAACCTGTTGGCGGCCCCCCACCTGGGCGACGCCGCCGCCCCCTCGCCGCCGCCGTGGCTGGATTACCGGCGGCAATGGGGCCCCAAGCTGACCTACTGGACCGCCGGAGTGTTGCAGAAGGTGGCTGGGTTCCTCCCCAGCGAGGTGTTCGGAGAAGAAGGACCCACCGGGCCCAAGGAGAAGAGCAGCTGGGAAGGGGACGAGAAGTATACCCCGTAGTGACCCTGTATTCTCAGGGTGACGTCAAAAAAATGGTTTCCGATGAAGCCTGCTGCAAAATTATCGATAAACGAAATCTGAATAATTTCACCCCCTGTCGACCTATGATTATGTTACAAGGTTATATGGTTATAGATTACTATTTATTATTATATATATATTGATATTTTTGTATTAAATATAGCAATTAAATAAGGAAAAAATAAATTACACAAGAAAATATTCCCATGAGTATCACATCTAAAAATAGGTTTCTTTTTTTTTTCCTGCTGTTCATATCGGAAAACAGACCTGCTGTTGGTTCAGGGTGGACCCCCATCAGATCAGTGGACCCGTCGGCGGATCCAAACTGGTAGATGCATCATCTTTCGGGCTTTCTCTGGCCCCGGGCCCGCCCCCTGTGGGCGATCATTCATCAGATGAGACCACCAAACCTAGGTATAGTCACAGAGGAAGCCCAAGAACTGATTCACCAAGATCCCCTTTTCGGCTGAAGGTCGGAAGACTCGCCAAAAACATCTGGAAACTGGTTCGGAGGATTGAGAGGCCGACAGCCATGGCCAGATTTTACTATATCTAGGAACCGTTCTAGGTGAATCTGATTCCCAAATGTCGGGTTCGCGCTTGTTTGATGCCCGCCTCCACCCGTAGTTTACGAATTAAATTTTTTTCCCCAAGAAAAAAAACATATATACGGCTGACATTGGGGAGAAAACATAAGTCAACCCTCAAATTCTGCAAGAAAACATGGCGTGGGTTCATCTTGATCGACGGATAATCGAGTCGGAAATGGCACGAGGATGAACAAAACAACAGCTAAAAATGGGGGAATAACGATTCCATAGAATTAACCAGTCAGAGAGAGAAGGGAGAAGACAGGAAAAAGGAACAAGAAGGAGGATGATACTATTTCCATACCGCCGCTAGCCAATCGGATCAGCAAGAGTTGATGCCGTTCTTGCAGTCCCTCGTCAAGTTGTTGAAGGTCTCGACCCGGGTCTTCGCCCTGTAGAGCACCTCTGTGTCCACCGCCACCCTCATGTGCTCGTCGAACTCCGGCGGCCGGCCGTCGCTGAGCTCTCTGGTTTCATTGTACCACTCGCTCTGGTTTCCCCAGAGGTCCTTGAAGTCGTCGAGGAGATGCACCGTGAAGTGGGATCTCAGCTTGTCGAAGTAGTGATAGAAGGGCTCGTTGGTGGCGATGTAGAGGTTCCGCCGTGGCTGGATGACCTTGGTGAGCTTGTCGACGAGCGCGTCGGGAGAGGTGTCCCCATCTAGGTTGGGCCAGAGCTCCTTGTTCATGGCCTTCTCCCCTCGGACGACGTGAACTGCGTCGTAGTTCCAGTCCATCTTCCCGGCGATCTGAGAAACGACGTTCATCAGCCTCTTGGACTTCCAGATCGCCTGCCATGGTCTGTGCACGAAATTGGCGGCCCTCCCCTCGCAGACCCTGTACCAGTAGTTCTCTGGCTCTGGCCCTGGGAACTGCCGCCAGAGAATGGTGCTCTGATCTTTCTTCAGCTGCATTGGCGTCACCTTGTAGGTCGCCACCTTCCTCACCGCGATGCTCTGGCGGCGCTGCTTCTTCCCGCCGCTAGACGGCTGATCCCACTTCTTCCAGTCCCTCAGGAACTCCCCTTCCTCCACGATCGACGCCGACTCCTTGAGGTGCTCGAAATCGAAGTACAATCTGAAATCCTTCCCTTCGTCTTTCTTGTTCGGATTGGTGGAGGAGGACAGGCAGATGCTCAGATCCATCACGAACGTCCTGTTCAGGAACTGCGCCTCCCCGAGGCCGCAGAGGAAGCTCCACAGGAAATGATTCATCCCCTTGCAGTAGTCCCCTCCTCGGGAGTAGTACAGGTACCGCCCCTTCTTGAATTCCGACTCAGATCTGACCACGGGGATGGTATCGTTGATGTCGGCGTCGGCGACCTTCAACAGAGGTGAAGAATTGGGGGCGGCGCCGCCGGCGACCTTGCTCCGCCTGTTCTGGCCGCCGGCCTTGCCGCCGGATCTGTACTTCCCAACGTTGGTGACCTTGAATGTGCAGTTCTCGCCGGGGGTGAGGACGAACCAGCGGTAGTCGCGATATCTCCGCCATGACTTCTCCCGCCGGTTGCGGAACCACCACGCCACCTCGCATCTGTCGGGGGACGAGCCGGCGACGGGGGACTCGTAGGAGATGAAGATCAGAGACTTGAAGTTCTTCGCGTGGGACCTGCGGATGGCGTCGAGGACGCCTGGGTGGGAGCAGTTGAAGGGCAGATCCCCCTCTCCGCCGTCGCACAGTAGGGCAGACGAGGCGTTGGGGCCGGCGAGCAGCGTCGCCGAGGGCGGCGGCGGAGTGGGGTCGGCGGAGGGAGCGGCGGCGGCCTGGTCCTCGGCGGTGGTGAGGAGCGAGGTGTCCGTCTGGAATGTGGAGTTGGAGAGGGTCTGGGAGAAGGAGCGGCTGACGAGGGCCTTGGTGGAGTCGAACCAGGGATCCGCGGGCTGGTAGGTGACGGCGATGACGGTGAAGATCAGGACGGACAGGGCGAAGAAGGAGAAGCAAACATTTCCGATCATCTTCACGAGATGCTGCCCCAGGGGGCTCTCCGCCATTGCCCCCCCATCGTAGCCCTCCTTCATCGCTTCCCAAGGTTCTGATCTCGATCTGGTTGGTCGGAAATCGGGAAAGCAACAGGTGATCGGAAAGAAGACTAGAAGATCATCTCCCTTCTTCCTCCTCCTCCGCCTCCTCCGCCTCCTCTGCCTCCTCCGCTGGCGGCGCCTCCGTCCACCTGGTGGAGAGCAGCGTGGGTGGAGGGGTAGCTGGGGGGCGCTGTCGGTTGCCGGAGATGACGACCCACTGCCAACCCTGTGCGGAAAGGGATTTTGATAATATCACTTTAGCCCCTGGAAATTTTTTTACTTTACTCTGTACCATGACAATCTCACCAGAAAGTTGTTAAAAAAAACGGTTATTTCATAAAAACTCCTCGTTTATTTTTTTAATGACAAATAAAACCTCACCTTTATTTGTTATATTTTGTAAACAACTTACAGCTGCCTTCTAGGCGCTTCATTGTTTAAAATGATGATGTCGATGTAAGACGGAGACAACCGGAAGTTCCTTAAAACTGAAGCCTACGGAAAACGAACAAGAGGTTTTTGATAAGTCAATATTTTTTATGGGTCTCAAACTAAAAAACTTGTCACCTCCAACATTAAATTTTAGAGTTCAAATCTTTTGTGATTTATATAATATTACTTTTTAACCTAATCCCTAATAATGTCAATAGTTAAATATCCTATTTTAAATATATATGTTAGAATTTATATATGCCCATATATCCAAAATGAATAATAAAATATAAATCATTTATATAAGATCTCCAAATTTTAAATATAAAATTCACGTATTCTTATTGAATTAATTACGTAGGGAATGTCTCTCCATTTTTATAACCATGTGTATGATGTACCCACATTAATAATCAAAGTTCACAAAACTTTATATAAGATATTAATTTCTTTGATCATAGTTCATTGCATGGTTCATTACCATTCCATCAAAAAGTTATAATATTGATAAAGAAAAAAATCAAACATGTGAAATAGATCCACATCACCTAATTTAGTACTTGTAAACCCTAAAAATTGGATGATTATAGTAATTTATTCAAACATATTGAGAATTCAGAATACATTTCTTCTTGATTCATAGTTTTGAAAAATCACTACATTGGTACCTATGAATCTATTTTACACAAATTAAGAATAATAAAACACTCTTAAATTGGACTTGTAGCTTTGGATGCCACAAATTACTTGGCACAAAGATGTGGAAGCATATCGAGTAGAGGCACTTGAATGCTTGGGAGAAATTCATTGGATTTTACCTTTATTTTTTTTTCTTCAATTAGGTATTGGGCCAACTAATGCACATTCTCTCTCTCTCTCTCTCTCTCTCTCTCTCTCTCTCTCTCTCTCTCTCTCTCTCTCTCTCTCTCACTAAAAAACACTGACATTGAGGCAACTCTTTTAAGGTCACAGCTTTCTTCATTTTAAAAGGAATGCACCCATAAAATTTCCTAAATAAATTGATTGCACCCTAGCATACTTATCAAAATCATACCCTTGTAATGTTAAGCTTTTTTATAATCCAGTTACCAAACTCACTTAGATCTCAAAATCTCACTATTCATCTGAAATCATATGTCCATTATGCCTTCTCCCAGTGTGGCACACTTAGTTGCACATGTCACTACACGTGCATAACACATGTTGATGTTAACAAGCATACTTGGTAAACCTCATAATGAGGTTCATGTGGCTAACCCAAAAACCTTGCTCCCTATCATACACTTCCTCACAAACCTCTTTTATCTCATGCTATGCCTCCTCTCACCATGCCACACTACTCTACACACACATATCTCAGTGTCTCATTGATGTGCTATGCCAATATCATGGTGCATCATGTGCCACATCATGGCATGACCCTCTCAAGTTCATATGAGACCTTCCTAAACCTTTGGTTTGTCTTGGTGGTGTCGTTTGCCTAAATCACTTGTAACCTTCAAAAATCCATGCTAGTTGTTCCATGATGGCATACATTACTACTATCACTTGCACTTTGCAAGTTCTTATGCTTATGATGACAATGATCTGCACCAAAATATCATTCATTTATATCTCACACCAAGCCTTAGTGGCTACTTCAAACCTAATAGCTCATAAGCCAAATCATTGAGCATTGTTAATGACCTAGAAGAGTATGCATGACATAGTAATCTAAATCAGTACTCACATAAAGACAATAAATATATTATTATATTTATTTGTTTCATCTGCATATTCTTAATTTTTCACCCTTCTTCTTTTGTTATTTATTTGCATCTCATGGTATATAGTTCACCAATGGTTTGTGCCAATATATTACGTTGAGTACTTAAACTAAATGATAAATATTCATGATAATAATTATCACCTTGTTTAAAAATAAAATAATAAAATAAATTATAGTTCCATAGGCATCTCAGCTCCCTCCTCCATTTCTCTCTACCATTGATTTAGGACAAATTATTAATTAAGGTAGTGTTAACCATATCTGATGATTTGATTACTATCTTATTTGATTATAGAAAGGGGAATTTATTTTCAATTTAATGATTATTTATTAATTTATTTATTTATTTATTTATGGAGTAATTGCTATATACGAGAGGAAGCCCATTATGTGGGAAGAAATCATTAAACTGCCCCAGAAAATAATATTTAGGAGTGGGCCGAGCCCCAAAAGCAGAGTCCACTTAGAGGTCCAGGACTTCACTCCTTGGGCCCATAGGGGCCTCGGAACCAGGCCTGATCAGAAACGGGTCTTGCAGCAGTTATCGGATCCTGTGGAGAAGGGTTCTGACTAGGGTTTCCGCTCGTAGATAAATACGATAGCCATCGCGCCGCCGCGGTGGCCTCCGAGCGCTGGGGACTGCTCTCTCTCCTCTGGTAAGCTCCCTACTGTCTCTCTCGGTTGCTCTCCCTCCGCGATTCCATTCCTCTTCCCTCCATCAATTCCCGTCTCCCCATCCGAGCCCCATAAACCCTTCTTCCAGTGAAATCATACCTCGGGTTAAGTCGGCAATCTATATTTTTTATCTGTTTCGTTCTGATTTAGAAGATTTTTGTGTGTCTACTGATGATTGTGTTCTTTCGTTTATGAAGGAGACGAGAAAGGGAATACCTGCAGGCTCAATCTACGAGGAATCGCCGCAACCATGAGGTAGGATTGAGTACAGTTTTCGTCCTCGTGTTTCGGCTTTCATGTGCTGACGATATGATGGATCTGCTTAGTCTTTTTTTTTTTTTGGTACTGTGGAACAATACATGAGTGATTTTCTCTTTGTTACGTATGCTTAATGCATATCCCCAAGATTATGCTTACCAGTCATGTTTCTTGGTGCGATTCCGGACAAGATGTGATGGGATGTTGTGAGGTTGGTTCCTTCGGTGGTAGTGGATGCATTTAACCTTTGAGCGCCCTTAAATGACCCCTTACTCTCATGTAGCTACAGATTGCGTGGTATTGATCTTGCCTCTCTATTGTACGGCGAGATGAAGTACTTCGGTGTCTGATGATGACTAATAGCATCGAGTGGGCTTTTGACCTTCGGCGTTTCTACCTTTTGTCTCGGAACCTTCCCTCGTTATTCCGTTTCTCTTTTGTTAGCCTTTAATTCTATTGTCCTCTCATATGACTCAAGGTTTTCTCACTCCTTTCTTCATTGATGTTGTTTTTTGATTGATTCGATTACCGACTTATCACCTTAAAATCTTGTACTTTGCAGCAAGCTTCAGAGCGATGTTTTGAGGGAAGCTATTACCCAAGTCGTCACGGACTCTAAGGAGAAGAAACGAAAGTTTCTTGAAACTATCGAGCTCCAGATTGGTCTGAAGAATTATGATCCCCAGAAAGATAAGCGTTTCAGTGGTTCAGTGAAACTCCCCCATATTCCTCGCCCCAAGATGAAGGTCTGCATGCTTGGAGATGCTCAGCATGTTGAAGAGGTATACTTTATTTACCAAGAATTGCGTAAACTTGTTCGCCTCCGTTGTGTTTTACATTCAGAAGGTGGCATTTGAGAACTCATTGATGTTTTTTGTCTATTCATTGTGGGTTCACTTATTCAATATATTATCGATTATATTTCAATTCAACTCGCTATATAGCTCGTCTTGGATATTTTTATGTTACATGTTAATACTAACTTACATCTTGAAGCGATTTTTTTTTTTTTTTTTACCGGTGACCTCGTTAATAATTTGGACTCGTTGTTTACTCTTCTTAGGACGAGTAGGGCTTTGTTCGAGAGGTGTGTCTTCTGTTCTAGACTTATTTAGGAGAAATATATTGGGGTTTTTTGGAAGGATAATACGAACCTTTTCCTTTGTTGGGGAAAACCGTTGGATATCTTTGGTAATAATTTGTTCTGATGTATTCAGAACTTCCCGTTAAGGAGAGTTGTAAAGGGTGCATTTCTGTTCTTTCGAACATTGGAATATGGTGCATGGATCAAAGCGAGATTGCTTGCCTGCATACCAAGGTTTTGATTTGCTATAATTTATTTCGCGAAATGGCAGATGTAAAATGAACAAAAACCCCATTTATGAAGGTGGTGAAATATCCTATCTCTGGCTGTCATTTGCTGCCCAAGTAATCATTAGCGACAATGGTTTCTCGTCTCGTTTGAAATTCATGTGGAATGAAATTCTGTTATTTCTATTCGAAAGGGCTCATGAACGATTGAAAATTGTTTTGTTTTTGTGCAGGCCGTAAAGATTGGGTTGGACTACATGGATGTAGAAGGGCTGAAGAAAATGAACAAGAACAAGAAGCTTGTGAAGAAGCTGGCAAAGAAGTATCACGCCTTCCTTGCATCAGAGGCTGTGATTAAGCAGATCCCTCGTCTTCTGGGCCCTGGCCTCAACAAGGCAGGCGAGTACCATGTCGTCATCAGTTTTATCTTCCACAGCTCCATTAGTTATTGGACATCTTGCGCCAAACTATGAGACAGTTCGTCTTTGTGATTTATGATTTTTTCAGGCTCAATCGGATAGGAACCTACATTCTTTGTCTCACCTTTCTACGAATTGTTTCAGTCTTGATCATGCTTCCCTTTTTAGGAAACGAGGTTTTTTTTAATCACAATTAGAATTTTGGCCTTACCCTTTGTACTGAATATATTGCTACAATTTGGGGCAACATATGGCAAAGTCACTTCATGGGAAAGAGGATCTCTTTGTGATTGTGTTAGCTTTTCTACAGGAAAGTTCCCTACGCTGGTTTCTCATCAGGAATCCCTGGAGTCCAAGGTGAATGAAACCAAGGCGATGGTGAAGTTCCAGCTCAAGAAGGTCCTCTGCATGGGAGTTGCTGTGGGCAACTGCGGGATGGAGGAGAAGCAGATCTTCCAGAATGTGCAGCTCTCTGTTAACTTCCTCGTGTCCCTTCTCAAGAAGAATTGGCAGAACGTATGCTTTCTCTCCCTAAACCCTTCCGATACTATTTAATTATCATAAACTACTAAGTACCCTTAAGTTACAGTCACTTTCCCTTATTTTGTGATGATATTATTAATTGAAGGCAAAACTCTCTCTCTCTCTATCTCTCTCTTTAGCTTTATAGCTATCTCTGTACAAGTTCTGACTCTGAAATGTGGGAACAGGTGAGGTGCTTGTACCTGAAGAGCACCATGGGAAAGCCAATCCGTGTCTTCTGAGTTTAGAGCTCTCAAACTTCTCTCCAGGGCATCCGGTTCCAAGAGAATTGTTGTTGAAAGCTGAAATCTTTTTGTTTAATTATTGTTTTAGTTTTTAAGAACGCTGATTTTTTTTCCTCATTGTAGTGGGACCTTCAAAGGAATTTGTTTCGGCCAAGTTATAAGTATCCTATGAAAATCACTGTGTTTCATAATGTCTAACATTCCAAGAATCTAGTAACCACTTGCTCTGAGGCCTGTTTGCTGAATTAAATTCAAATCACTATATTTTTTTCTTCGATGCACAATTAAATATTTTTTTCTCTTAAATAATTTCGTCAAATTGCTTAGAACAGCATGCGATTTGGAGTTCGATCTGGTTTATCTAGATGCAATCAAATAGTGATGTTTATATATATTATCTAATGTCGGGCATAAAACCTGATCCTTTTTCAGTGGGAAACACTTAAGGGGGCTAAGAGCTGTGAATCCTACGTAACTGGGCATCTTCTTCTAGTTAGTGAACAGAACAGGAAGGGCTACTGCATCCCATATCAAATTGGATGCTATCTTCATGAATATACATCTTAAATTGGGTGACCTCAGACTAATTTCCGTCCAAGATCAGCCACACCATTTTGGTGCACATACATTAATATATATATATATATATATATAAGAGAGAGAGAGAGAGAGAGAGAGAGAGAGAGAGAGAGAGAGATCTGTTGCACAATTGGAAGGAATCTCAAGGTACAAAGGATTTGGGGAACAGGGGTTATAATACATCCGGGGGTGGGGGGGGAGGGGAATTTTTCTGACAGAATTAGTAAAAAGATGGAGAATCTTCCAAGAACCTGCAAGGGACTGTCTCCATTTATTTCCCTTTTGTACGCACCTCTTAAATTAATATACACCCAGTGTTAGGGATCGATGATTCTATGGACCAAGGTAGACCGCAGAAGCTACTTCCATGCAACTGAATCCCATAAACCATTACTCTCATCATCATCATCATCATCATCATCACTCCCACAATAAAACGCACCAACATCGACATGCATTGCGCTTATCATGGATGGGTACTGTTTTTCTTGAAAAAAAGCTACCAAATTTGTCCGTGTAAGTGAAGCCCTTCAACAGTTAATCTTGTCATTGCAATCATTATCATTATTTATCATCATCATCATCATCATCATCATCATCAACACCTCATTATTTCACAGAGGGCTTATCATACCCAATTCTCCCAAGTAAATGAAGCTCCTGAACCATTAATACTGTCATTATCATCATCCAAAAAGCCTACCCACATCGATCTGCAGTGGGCTCCCATGGGAACTGTATTCTATAAACAGAAACGAACCTGCATTTTTTTAAAAAAAAATCCTAAAAGCCTCCAAGCAACTAAATTTCCCCATGGGAAGATATCAGAATCACCTCCGAGCGACTGAATTGACCTCCAAACCCTGCTCAGTTCTCTCGTCTACTTCCTCTTCAACTTGGAGGCTTCTTCATGCTCCCCGCACTTGCTGTACAACTCCACAAGGCTACTGCCCAGGAGCGAATCTTCGAGCAGCACATGGCCGGCCTTCACGGCGCGACCATGGATTTGCCTCCCTTCTTCGGCGCCCATCAACCCAACGCAGGCCTTGAGAGCCCCGGAGACCACGAAGATTCCTGGGTCAACGCCAGAACTGACCATCTCCAAGAAGACCCCCAGAGCTTCGTTACAGAGCCCGTTCCTCACATACCCAAAGACCAGTCTCCCCCACAGCCCCGGATCTTTCGCCCCTATGTGATCGAAAATCCGGTGGGCTGCAGCCACCTTATCGCACTTCTCATACAATTCCACCAAAGAGGCAGCCGCCTTAGGGCTGAGGTCGTACCTGAGCTTGATGATGGCGGCGTGGATCTCCTGTGCCTGTCTCAGTGCCGTCTCCATGGAGCAAGCTCTGAGCAGGGTGGGAAGACCCAACTTATCTCCGAGGAGCTTGAGCTTGACCCCATGGCCGGAGCTCATCGTCTTCCTGGCAATGATCAAGGCCTCCCTGCTTCGGCCATTGGCATTACAGCCCTCCATCATGGCGGTGCAAGCGACGATCTTTATGCTCGGCATTGCGTCGAATATCTGTCTTGCTTCTTCCACTCGTCCACACTTGCAGTACATGTCGACCAGAGCGACAACGAAGAACTCGTCCTGGAGGCACCCATCAGCCCCCGCCGCAGCTTCCCGGTGGATGGAGACCCCCATCTGCAGATCTCTCGCTCTGGCGCAGCTGGTCAACGCGGCGGCGTAGGTGAAGGCGTTGGGCTTTGGAGCAGAAGGGTCCGCCCTCATGGACCTGTACAGATCGAGGGCGTCGTGAGGGAACCCCGCGCGGAGGTACATGGAGATAGCGGTGGTCCAGGATACGACGTTCTTGGTGGGGATTTCGTCGAACAGGCGGCGGGCGGTGCCCAGATGGCCGCAGCGGGCGTACATGGCGACAAGGCTGTTGGCGACGAAGGGGTCGCTGGCGAGGCCGCAGCGGAGGGCCCGCTCGTGGACTTTGCGGCCGAATTGGAGATCGCCCTCGTCGGAGCAGCTCTGGATCAGGGTGCAGAGAAGGGAAGGGTCGGGTTCCATGGATTGGGACTGCATCAGGTCGAGCACAGCGAGGGATTCCCGCATGCGCCGCTCGAAGGACCAGCCGGCGGCTGTGGCGCCGCCGGTGGCGGTTGCGCGGGCGGTGGCACGGGGTGGGCGCCGGGAGAGGCGCTGCGAGGAGGAAGAAGGGGCGGCGGAGATGGGGAGCCGGTGAAGCGGGGGTGGCGGCGGAGCGGTGGCGAGACCGGCGGCGGCCGCCATGGGAGGGTGGCGCAGCTTATCAGAACGAGCTCAACGGAGGCCTCACAAGCTGGTTTTCTTCATTTCTAGCAGTTCCGAGTTCGTTCTCCGACCGAGTCGAATCGGTCACTTGTGCCTATTATCATCCTTAATTATCATTTATATTAAATGATTTCCAAAGTTATAATTGATTATTATCTTTAAAATCAATTATTCGAGCCGACAGGTGGGCTCAGGCTTCCCTAGAATAATAATAATTTATTTTTTTGAAAATGGTAACTAGTAATTTTTCAAATTTATTCATTAAATTTGAATTTTCAATATTTCTCCCTAAATCGTATATTTTCAGCATTAAACGACTCGCATAATTTTAAAAAAACCCAATTTTTGTTTTGTTTTTTGAAGCCCATCAAAACATGCCTTAAGATTATGTAAAAGTTATTGTCATTCACGATTTTAAAAATTATCATCTTTATTTTTTACTACCATAAGAAGGAAAATGTCAGATTTTTGTTTTTTTCTATGATAACAAGATTTTTGGCCTCGTTTTTTACTTTCTACCACCAAAATTGCCACTCAAAACTACTACTTGTCTTCTTTCTCTCTCGCTCTCTCTCTCTCTCTCTATCTCTAGATTGGGAAATTAGTGTGAGTTAGGTCACAAATCAGGGTAGAATTTGAAATCACATAAAAACAGGGTTAATCTTCGTTTGAAAACATAGATGAGGTTTTTAGATAGATTACTTTTATTTTTATTTTACAGAAATAGATCTGTCAATCTCCCCACAAAAGGTTGGGTTCGAATCATGAGAATGGCAATCTATTACCACGCCAGTTTTTTGAAGATTCACCCCTTTTGGAGGACGTACATTTCTGTCTCTTCTCTTTATCGTGGGGGAGAATGACGACGAATGAGCGTAAAGAGTGGGGTGGATATATCGATCTATCGGTAGAAATACAGCAAGTCTGTGCTGGCTGCTGTCTTCTACCAGGCCAAGCGGAGGAGCAACGTCTTTCCGTCTCACATTTCTCGGGATCCTCCAACCTTTCCACATTCCTCCTCCCCTTCCTTTCCCTTCTCCTCCCCTGAGAGAAATCTTGGATTTGGGAAGCTTCCTTCGCGCCATTGCAGCAGCAGGAGCAGCAGCGCTCTCACTTGGGCTCGTTACGGTGGTGGCCGCCAGTTCGTAGCCCTGCTTCCGGCCGTAGCTGGTGAGTCCGTCCTCCTGCCATTCTCTGCAATCGCCTGTGTTGCTTTTCCTCATTTTGGTGGGGAATATTTGGCGCATTTTCGTACAAAATGTGACATTCCGGCGGAGCTCTTGTGCCTGGTCAATGTGGGTTTGGGGGAAATTTCGTCGCCGTGGTTTGTCTTCCCAGGTCCCAGAAGAACACTGGTTTCTGGCTTCTGAGACCTCCGCCTGGTCCCATCGTACTCTACAATGCACAGAACTTGAGGATGTTCTTGGGCTCTGTATTTTTTGGATAGTCTCCTAAGATTTTTCATTTTTTCTGAACTTTTCTTGGGCTCCTAATCATTTTCTAGCTTGCCAAGAGCACTGAGAGTATCTATCTACATTCCATGTACCCTCATGCAAAGCTCAACCTATTTTAATATAAAATACTGTTCGCAGGACAGGCCCTTGACAGCTGTTGTTCTTCAGGTTGGGTCATGTGGGGTTGAGAAATAATTAGCCGTCAGCCCTTTCCACGTTCCTCCTGGGCACTACTTGGTGGAAGCTCCAACTGTAGGGTTACTGTAGAGAGAGTGATTTCAGCGGGGAAGGGCATCCTATCCACATAAACAGCTTATTGAGTTATCTAGTTAAAATGGAAGATCTCATCTACTGAATTTATCAAGTTTTTGTCATCTTTGTGTACAATTGTCAAGCTCCCCTGTCCGTAATTATATGGAGATTGAGGCCATTGGGTGTGCTGGTTCTTGCCACAGAACAAAGATGATGCATATGAGGGCAAGATCTCTAGCAGTCTTGGCGACCATTTCTAACTTAACTGATCAAAATTCTAGCTGGATCCAAGATTATAGATGAATGTAGAGCATAGGCTACATGGATGGATGAACAAACCCTAGGAAGCAAGTCATTGATGCCCTCTTTTGGTGTAAGGAATATGCCCATGAAAAACTTTATACCCCCATAGAAATGATTTACATTTCACTACTGTTTATATATAAACCATTTTTTCTTGGAATATTTTTTTGTTTCATTGATTTACATGCACGATTGACAGGTTCAACTGCGCCGGCAATCTTTGAAGCATCTCCCGGCTTGATGTTGTCTAAAGAATGTGGAGCAGTATTGTTATTACTGATTATCTTTGCATTATTGGATGTCTCAGGTAATTCAATAGTTTTATTTTATTTTATTTTATTTTATTTATCAGTGACTATTTTGTATATTTGGAGGACGAGCAATATGATATGTTTTATTTACCTTGGTTAGAATTTTTTTGGCTCTTTGCTACATCTGTTGAGTGATTATCAACCACATCCTTAGTTAATCCCATTTCCTTAATTATGCATTTATAATATGAATTAGACTCTTTCTCCCTATTTGTTGATCTCTGATTTACAAATATTAACTGATCATCAGGCACCTGGTTAGCTGATCCCATTATGCAATTTATTTTCTTTTTTATAAGATGGATATAGATATTTATAGATTAGCCATCTACCTTAGTTCCATCTACACTTTAAATCGAATAAAATTATCTAATACACATTTATAAAACCCTAATCACATTCCATCATGGATAATATTTCTTGGCTTTGACAAATTAATCACCCCACAATCTGTTCTAATAACCAGGGTTTTTCATCGATGCGGTTTCTTCATCAGACCATTAATTCTAGATCTATTTTCCCATGTTTTAGGATCATTTGTGGGGGTTAACATCAACACCGATTCCCCGGGTGTGCCCTCAGCATCAGAGCTCGTATTGATTCTTCGGTCCCGGGGCATCCACCATGTCCGCCTACTCGCCCCCGATCATCAGCTGCTCAGTGCTCTGGCAAACACCGGCATTCAGGTCATGGTCAGCATCCCAAACAATCATCTGCTGAGGGTCGGGCTCTCTCAGACGGCTGCCGCCACATGGTTGAACGACAATGTCGCCGCTTTCCTCCCGGTCACCAACATCACTTACATTGCCGTTGGCAGTGAGGTTCTCACAGTGGTTCCTAACGCCGCATTGATCTTGCTTCCAGCCATGAAATTTCTCCAAGCAGCTCTCATTGCCGCCGATCTCAGCCGCCAGGTGAAGATCTCCACTCCCCAATCCATGGCCTTGATCCCAACCCCGTTCCCTCCATCAGCCGCTGCCTTCAACTCCACCTGGGTCCCCATCATGTCTGGGCTGCTCCAATTCCTGAAGAACACAAGCTCCTCCTTCATGCTGAATGCCAAGCCGTACTATGGCTACACGCTCGGCAATGGCATCTTCCCCTTGGATTACGCCCTCTTCCGGCAGCAGCCTCAGACGAACCGGATCATCGACCCCAACACCAATTCGGCATACAGCAGCATGTTTGATGCCATGGTTGATGCTGCATATTACTCCATGAAGGCTCTCAACTTCAGCGAGATCCCGGTCATGGTGACGGAGACGGGTTGGCCCTGGCTTGGCAGGCAGGGCGAGCCGGATGCAACAGCAGACAATGCGTTGACCTACAACAGCAACCTCATCCGCCGCATTTCTAGCATGGCGGGCACACCGGCGCAGCCGAACAGAACCACGAATGCTTATATTTATGAGCTCTTTGATGGAGAGGATCTGCAGGATGGGCAGCCATCGGGGAGGCACTGGGGCTTGTTCTTCACCAACGGCACTTTGGTGTACTCTCTCGACTTGGGGGGACTGGAGGCGGCAGACACCACATCATCGTTGACCAGGGTGTACTGCATTGCTGATTCTGGGGCTGACCCACAGGCACTGGAGGTGGGGTTGAATTGGGCATGTGGGCCTGGGTCAGCCAATTGCACTGCCATCCAGCCTGGGCAGCCGTGCTACACTTCCAGCATCGCCGCCATCGCCTCGTATGCATATAATGACTACTACCGCAAAGCTCATGTGGCTGGTGGCACCTGCGATTTTGGTGGCACGGCAAGGACAACGACTGCTGACCCTTGTAAGTCAACCCATGGCCTCCTCTTTTCATGTGACTAGTTGTCTCCGATGGATGATGATGCCACTGGGGCGGGTCTCTTTTCTCTTGGGGAGATTCATTTGACTTCTTGCTCTTTCTCTCTTTTCTTGCAGCCTATGGCTCTTGCATCTTTGAGGGAAGGTGAGTGCCCTTTCATCAGACCCATCCCTGTTTCAAACAGTCTAGCCGTTGCTCATGCACACCAGAGTCTTGTGATCCTTCTTCTTGCTGCAGTTTGGGGTCAAGAACCACTAACGGAAGCAGCAGTGGGACCAGTGGCATCAGCAGCGGCGGCGGAGGCAGCATTGCCCCTACAGCGTTCGGCCCCGCAGGTCCCATCAACGGAGTCTTGCGGCTTGGAGCCCCAAGGGCAAAGGCCTTCCTCATGGTCTTATTTCTTGTGATGATGCTCTGATGTGTAGATGTGAAGTACCCAATTTTGACTGAACCCATTTGTGGTCAGCCATGTAAGGAAAGCTATTTATTGGGGCATATATGCTTCCTTTTGTGTGTCCTTGCAGTGTCAGTATTTTCTAGCTCCAGAGAGAGAGAGAGAGAGAGAGAGAGAGAGAGAGGCTCAAATGAAAAGGGCTTTCGACTACTGTTTATGAGTCCAATAGAGAATAAACAACATAGAGCAAATATCATAAACAATGACAGGTATCACTAGCATCTTATTCTACCATCATTCATTAAATATCATACATATAGCCAACACAATCAGATACCACTAAGTCAGTCAGCCTTGGCCTACTCAGAAAGCCTTACGAGAAGAAAATTAAAAAAGAGGAGAAAGAGTATCAGGAGCTCTCGGCTCTAATGCTTACCGCTGAGAAACCAGTTGACTTTCCAGGAGCTGGAGATATGGTGGGAACCTTATCTTCACCTTATAGATGTTTCTGCCATATAAACAACTGAGGAGCAGCACCATGCTGAAATCGAAATTCCCATCTAATATGAAAATGATAACCTTCGAAAAACTCCAAATCATAGGAAGTAATCTGGCGTTCTACGAGTAACATCGGGCTCCCCTCTTCTGGGAGCGGGGTCAAACTGAAAATATAGAACGAAAGAAAAAAAAAAAAAAGAGACAATTAGCTGCTGCCAGATTAAGATGCACTGAATACGTATGAGACCCATGAAGTTTATTATATTTAAATAAAATAACAAACCCAGATGGTGAGAACACTGCTGATGATAATGAAACGCTAATATCTTCCTTGGGGAAACTTTGGATTTCGTGATTTTTCATAACTTTATTTTATTTGATCTTCTCCCATAAGCAACAAATGACTCGAGGAATAGGCAGCCAATGAGAGGCTTAATGTGAGAGAAACTAGGCTTAATGTGGCAAGGAAATGTGAATAATCTCTGCATCTCAAACAACCTTAAACAAAATGAAAGATACTAATGGTTCTCATAAGCAATAGGTTAAGGGATTCGAAAAGACAATTTATTGGAAAATCTCCCCCAAAAAAAAGGAGAAACCATTTTTCAACTATATTTTCCAAGAATAGAAATGACTATTTTCCAAGTTACTAATGTAAGTCATAGATCTATAATCAACTGCACGCAGTCAGGAAGGGAGGGAGGGAGACCTGAATGAACGTGCGATCATTGCAGTCATCAACTTCCATAATGGATGCCATATTTCCACAACGGTAGCAATAGTTTGGCGCACTGAAAATAGTCACCACCTTCTGTTCCTGTTCCATGCACATCGGTATAAATCCACCAAAGCTTGAAAATCTCCAGAAAAAAATGGGAAAATTCCCTTGGCAGTGAAGGAAGAAGTTTTACATGTCCCCAGTTGAATCCATCCATGACCAACTGATGAGCTCTTGCAATCAGCTTCAGATTATTTGTGTGGTGAAATTGCTCAGATATGTCCTGAAACATATGTCATAGCGTCAAGATGAGGAAAGATGGGCTGTAACTGGCAGAAAGTGAAGACAGAAAAAGGAACTGCTCGCTCGACTCAATCTAGCATAAAAACCACAATCAAAAGCGAATAAGAAAAGGAAAAGGATTACTTGACCGAATGTGTATCCAGCACCGCGAGGGGAAATACCCCAACCACAGCGATCATCAGGATCCGACCATAGCAAATCACACATGGGCCCTTCATGTGGAACCTCTTGAACACGATCAAAGTTTCTTATGTTGTCAAGGGTCTCAACAGAGGGTGATAGCCCACCGTGTAAGCAAAATATTTCAGACTCAACCTTCAGTGAAGTCAAAATCAATCAAAGTCAGAATAGCAGGAACGTGCAAGAAGAGGAATCCCCAAACATTCGGCAAAAAGGAATTACAGCTCAATTCCCTTCCCATAGTTCAAACAAGCGTCGAGTGAGGAAATACGATCAAATAAAGTAAACTAGATCAGATTCTCAAAGTTTTTCAACTCTCATCTCTAATGGTTAAGAAAGCTGCATAAATATGGTAAAAGAAACATCTCATCAGAGAGAAGAGTTTAAAGAAAACTAGAAATCAAGTAAAAAATAAGTCATCAATCAACTGTTCATCTGTAACAGAACAATAAATTATTTCAATGAAACTAAAAATGATAAAAAGGAATCACAATGGCACACATCATGCGTCATCAAAGTTTGTTGGTTTAATGAAGGTAATGACTAGATGATGAAAAAACTACAAGGAATTCAAAATCCATTAAATCCAAAGAATAGTGTACCAGAATATCAGAATGTCAAGAAAATTAGCAAATAGTCACAGGACTTAAAATTGAGGATCTTTGGGAGTGCAGAAACCAAAACCAAAAATCCTATCCATCACGAGCTTGGGAGACTGTTTTAGGCATGTACTTTCTGTTAGAAAGTATACAACAATAGGCCCACTATCATGTTACTATGCCAGTGAGTGGTTTAGAACATGAGCCTATAACGTCCACATCGTCTTATGAGTACTGCCCACTCTACTCTCAAGATAAATAGGTGAGGAGCGGGGCCACGATTTATGACCCAATATTATTCTTCTGCTTTAATACTTTCTGGCCTTCATTTATCTTGATAAATATCATGAAGATAGAGGGATTCTCTTTCCTTTTTCTGCAAGTAACATCATAAGGCTACAAATAAACTTCTTTCCTTGACAAGTACTTAAAGGGGGTGGGGGTAGGATAACTAAACAACTGATCTGGGACGCTGATATGAAGTTCCAACATATTATCCATTTTTCAACATCCCAAAGCCTCAGAGGTTGGAGCAATTTTCCAACGTTCCATCAATTCCTCAGCACAAGCTGTCAGTGGAAAGCTTGATGAAAAGAATGTATAATGTTTCACATACCTATGCATCCACATCACATAGGATACAGATATCTTCTAATGTTCCAGAATTACCAAACCAATTCATAATAGTGGAAAGCTTGATCAAAACTATGTATTTATGTGGTAGGCAGACATGATTACAACAAAGTCAGTGTTACATTTTCTCCACTTTTCGTTTTAAGCCGTATGATTCAACACATAAGGAAATTTACGCCTGAACTTGCCCAGAACATCTGAACTACGGTGAGTTGGGTTTTTATAGATAATGTTCCTGATAAGCTCTATTAACCAAGGATTTCTGACATGACTGTAGAAAGGAAAATAAAGTTGCGTCCCTTACACTCAAACAACCTACTGTATGCCATGCATCGCTTTCAGCAACAGCAGTAAGTCTGGCTTCATATTTGTTAATTCATTTCTGGTTCATACGACTTCAGGAAGATAAAGCAGCTACAAAAGCGATGCCTGTCAATCGAGTAGGTGATTTTTTATTACTTCCTATGTTGAGAGGCGCTTGGTCATGGACCAAGTAGTCAAGCATTCCTTACTTACATAAAGTAAGTCGAGGTACGGTTTAACCTCAAAATAGACCCGTTCTTTGTGGGTGCCTCTAAAGCAAAAGAATGTCTTTCACTAACACACTGATTTCTAAGCACAGGTACGCCGGGGAGTGACGAACTGCCCCACAAGGCGCAATATGGCGCGAACACAAGCTCGTGATGTAGCTGAAACATCATTTTTTTCTGCAGCGTTGCAATCAAGTGGCTCCCCGTTGAAAAACATCTTTTAGGAAGTGCATTGACCGTTAAGGAACAACAGCGTCACTACCTCATTCCCACGTGCACCACCTTCAAGAAGGCATCAGAACGAGTTGGCAGCCTTCTCACCCACCGAAATAGCTTAAATTAGAAGACGAAGAATGTCTCTCTTTAGAGAGTTCCGCACCAGGAATCAACCGAACATGAGGAAAGAGTCGTGAAAGCTTCTCCAGTATGGTTTCTTTGCGAACGAAGTTCAGAATCAACAAGGCGAATGATGGAGTGAAAGTCTCCCACATCCATTTCTCAACCAACCTACGATTGAGGACTGCTTAAGAAGATCCAAAGAAAGTGCTAACAAATTTATCTACGGAACCCGTGAAGCAAACAACTGAATTTCCCAACAAACGTGAGTAGAACCATGCACAAATCTACTCACATGCTCTCTTGTCTTATCTTTAAACATCTGCCACGACCCATCTCTTCGTAGTATGAAGACTCACCATTCATAGCCTCAGTTTTAAGCACGTTTGTCTGGCTATCTGCTGGTAAACATTCTCTGCATTCCTAAATTTCCTACAGAACTTCATACGTACTTCTCATCGTTCATTCTCCAGTTTGATGATTGCTACAGATAAGTAAGGAAAAATTGACATGCCGACTAGACTATATAATGTGTTCAAGAGCATGAATATTCCCATCATAGTCTATCGCATGTACCTAACCAAAATTTGTAGCATCAAGATAGCCTTCTTTCTTTTCTAAGGAAAACGTTTTCATAAAGTTTGAATCACAGATAATATATATATATATATATATATATATATCACATAACTTATCTTTCTTTCTTTTCTACTACCTCAGTTTCAACAAAATTAACCACAAGAATGGCAATCAAAAATAAACATTCCAGGATCTCTTTTTACATTTGAGCATCTGCAAGTCTGTCTAAACAGCAAGAAAGCGAAAATAAATATAACGGTAGCAAAGACAAGAGTCTATAGACAGCAAGGAGTTGTATGATTCACTAACCACTGCTGTCAGAGGGAAATAATCAAATAAATCAGTGAAGATCTTCCAAACATTTGCATTACCATACCTGAAATTAAAAAAGATGGAATGTATTTAATCAAAGACAAACGAAAAGCCAGCGAAAATATGAAGTGTTATTGGCACAGTTCCCCCACCGTCTAAATTGCACGAGCTAAAAAGTAACATTTATTGGCTTAGTTATATACTCTTCATCTAGGGTTGAATTGTTGATAGTCAGATAAAGCACTGTAGATTCCATCAATTTATATTTGTTTCTAAGAAGCAGAAACGACGTTTAGACACCTCCCAAGGAGCCAAACATGAATGCAGATACCCTCAAAATGATTCGGCAAACTTTTTCTGAAACATTTACAAAGCCAATGTTGATTTAACTAAAATCGCGGAAGGCACATCCCACAGCCGTGTTGAGTCAGAAATCGCATCAAACATACACTGATATTATCTGATATTCACATTTATGTGGATACGTAAAGGTGATGGTGTTTTTTCATTGGTTATTTTCTTGGTACTGTGTTGAACAAGAAAATGAAGAAGGAGAGGGGGAGGAGACAAATCACCTCCTACAAGTAATCCTATCTGCTACAGAAGAAGAAATGAGAACAGAGGAAGGAGCCACAGAGTAGAGAAAAACAGAGACTAGCCAGTTGTACCACTTTCATATTTGCAGTCTGACACAACCATGAGACGATTTTGCGGAGTATAGAATTGATTAAACACCGATTCAGTGTAGTCCACAAGCAATAAGACTGACCTTCTCCTAACATGATCATAGGTAGTAAACATGGCTGAGTCCCATTTATATCACGAGTCAATATCTAAAAATCTAATATGACCAGTATAACTAAGCTTAGGTTGGCTTAGATGCAAAATATATGGGATCAGAAGCAGGATCAGAAAGAGGCACGTGTAGCAATCAATGATGGTAGAATGTAATACGAAATATAGCAGCCATAATCCTAAGGGAAGATATACCAAAGTTAGAGTCATTTATGAGACAGACGAGGCAACATATGACCAGAAAATATTGATCAGAACCACCTAATACACCAAACTCAGTTTCTAATACAGGAATAAGGTTAATGAGGGTACCCGAAAAGACTTCCATGAATTCGATTTTGAAGAACCAGCATATGAAGATAGATCACAAAACTATATGTGACTCAAAGAATTTAATAGATCAAAACTCATTTGTTCTCTCAAAAAGAAATATCATAAATTCAGTTTTAATTGCAGTTGAAAAGTCGGAATCCAAGTATATTCACATTGAGTTGAAGACTGATGCATATTATTCTAGCCTGCGCCATAGGTCAAGGGTAAGGCACAATGTAAACCCTCCAATGTAAACACAATGTTATAGAGGCAAAGCACAAAGTGATATAAACAAAGAAATATTGCACATCAGCATATAAACCCGATTGGATATACAGACTTTATGTAAATATGGAAATCTTGGGATTTAATTGCAGTTCACAACCATCATTGCACTCATTTGTAACGACAAAAACCAAACTTTTTCAAAAAAAAAGTTCACAATATAGAAGGTGAAAACTGGAACTGAGGTAATGACTCCTTTCTGGGAAATGCTACTTAAGGATATGAAGTTATAAAGAATCTCCAAGACCTTCCTTGGTAAACGGGACAACTTTTCAGGGAGTTCGAAACAAAAGATTTTAAATGGAAATTTCTAAGTCGGGAACTAAGTTTTATACAAATCAAAACTATACATAAAAAAGAATAAATGAGGAAAACCAGATATTTCCTTACAGGATAAAGTTTTCACATAGCGGAAAAAATTCTACGAGTCCATTGATAGGTAAAAAAAGAACAAATGAAGAAAGCCGGATCCTTCCTTATGGGGTAAAGTTTTCACACAATGGAAAAACTTTTCGAGTCCATTGATAGGTAACAAACAGTCCAATAAAACATGAAAATGATAATAAGGCTCTGAGACAAACAGAATTGCCTCTCAACTAAAAAGCACAACAAAGAGGACTACAAAGGACAAAAAAAAGATACATTGGAGAAGATACAAAAAAAAAAAGCGATATGAATTAAAGAAACATACTTCCTTAGGCACTCATCGTAGAACCCATAAACTTGAGTAATCTGCAGAGCAAGAAGTAACCAACTAGTTAGACAAATAAAACTGAAAATTTTGCACTTAACCTGAAATAGATGATTTACATGTCCAAGTATTCTAAATGAGAAATCCATAAAGATAGGGATATTGAACTATAAACAAAATCAAAACTTAAAGCAATTAGATATGCAGTCACTTCTTGGATAAAAGACAACAACAAAAGCAACTAAAAAAATAGTACCTGCCGACTTTCATGATTTCCGCGAAGAATTGTAATTCGTTGGGGAAATTGCACTTTGAGGGCAACAAGGAGCTGGAAAAACAAAACCAAAAAAGATAATCAATGGGTTAAGTGATTCCCGACAGATGACAAGGGTAAAGGCCCCAGAGCAGAAAAGTAAATTCCAAGTGTGTCAAGTTGACAATCCTATCAGTTTATTCAGTAATCAATTTGGAAGACTATAGCTAAACAGGAAATAAACGAATACGGAGTAATCATTTCAAAAAACATAGTAATAGAGTACACTATAGATGAGAGGTTCCTATAGTAGTACAAGAATGAAAACCTCCCCAGCAGCAACTAGAACTCACAAACATGAAGGTGATCATTCAAGCGGTATACTTATCAGACAATCAGAAAGATTATGACTAGTCCAGAAAAAGAAAACGAATATGCAGAGACCACTTCCTAAAAGCATAGAAAATCTAATAGCAAACTACATAGCACAAAGAGTCAAATTAGTAAATCCACAGAATCATATGCTATGAATAGCTGAACAAACAATGAGTTGAGGTCCTTTTTTAAAGCTTTTGAGAATTTAATTACAATTCCTAGTTCCTGGGATAGCAGAATGACTTTTCAAAATTGTGGATATTTTGGCAAAGAATTATTCGAAATTCATCCACCCCAGGAGTAAACCTGTAGTCAACTTAGCCAATACTGCTTTAATACCATGCTGAAGAGGGAAATGGAATGGGAGATCTGGAACTTTTCTTTCATCACCCAATCATCTAGCTCGTTGACACAATAGTAGTAGAAATTAAAGAGTAAGAAAAGCTCATGCTGACATTCATCCACGTTGCTGTCTCTCCCAATACCTATTTTTTTTCTTCTTTGACATAGTTTTAAAACATATTTCGGTGGAGAACTAGCTGAAGAAAAGAAGAGGCCAGTTCTTCACATGTGCTTTTAGGGGGAAAAAAATATAACCGTATGGACACGATGAAAGAGGTGACTCCTCCCTCTTGAAAGCCTGAATTTATGGATTGGTAATCCCGTCTTGATGCAATAAATGAGTTGGTGAAAGTACTTAATTTTATCTCACTTTCATACATATCTACTATGGCCTAGTCCTCACCCAATTCTGTAAAGTGTTGATGATGCTTGCTACCCAATAAGGCTAGAAATGTTCGCAACATTTTTTCAACTGTGGAGAATGAAGTGGATAAGGAGATAAGAGTCAAACGATAGATTTGACTGATAAACACTTAAGGTGATGAGACAAACAATAAAATTTCCAGGAATATGCTCCAAGTGGTATTATCAGGCTGTATTACAAGCACAAACTAGTGAGTACATTGTAGCACGTTGTTGGCTTCACTAATACTAATGATAACAATCTAACGTGATGCTAAAATAAAATCCACTTGTTGCTATGGAATCTTCTTGTCACTGTCATTTATTTTGCAGTATTATAAAGTTTTGTTTACATAACATGTCATTATTTCTCATTATGATCACAGGCAGCATGTTAAAAAGTTATTCTAGTTGACCAAGTGTATTCGTCATAAATCCCCATTCAATTCAAGTGAACCAAATTTTTATCACGCACAAACCAGAAAGCTTACGATCTAAAAGATAGGAAAATGTGGACTTTACACCCAGCATGTATCTTATGTGAGAAATAATACCACTTGATGCTTTTCTTTAAAAGTGGTTCAAAGGTAAACATGGGTTCCATTTGTGTAAACAGAAAATATAATCTGAAAAAAATGGATAGGTGAGCATTTTTAACAAAATGGAACCTCCAGAAAAAAAAAAGATGAGAAAACCTTACTGTGACAGTTTCAACTGAATAATATCCACGATCTACGTAATCTCCCATAAACAGGTAATTGGTATCTGGACACTAGAAGTCAGGATACAAACATTCATCAGCTTGATACTTATACAGGTAAAACGAAGCTACAGAGTGAACAGTTGAGTACTAAGAGGAAGCAGGTAAACAATCATAAAATGTAGGATTTGCCAAAATATTTAATAGATTTAGAAATACTAACACGAAAACATTCAGTTGGAGCTAAGAGATCAATTGATCGCATGAGTTACAAAATTGGTAGTACATAGATTGGATCCAGTATAGTCCAAGTACAGTTACACATTGTACAGTTCAGAATATGGCCCCAGGTTCATAATTGCAAAAAGAAAAAACTATCGTGATAAACCATAATAGGCAGTTCAAAGATACAGAATATGTTCAAATCATAGAAACTGATCAGATTCATCCAATTTAGGAGGGACATTTAAAAAACAAAACCAACAAAACATTTGCATTGATGACTATCAAGAAACATTTCCAAAAAAGAGAACATTTCAAATAACAGAAGATGTTCAGAATCAACCAAATCAAGATTAGGGTCTTCATTCGTGGAATCTCATTGGAAACATGTCACGTTTTGTTAGGTTTGAACTGAACCCACGCTGTACGAATAGTGCAAAAATCAAGCAGGCTTTATAATTAAGCTACAGCTATCGTTTTTCGGAAAGAACGAAATTTTTTGTTAAGGATGATGTACACGAAAAGAAAAGAAAAAATAAATGGAAAAATAGTAATAAAAAAAAGACTCCTTAAAAGTAAAATGTTCCTTCTTTCCTAAATCCCGGTCAGTCATTATAATAGGTTATTGGTAATTTTGGGAAAAACGTATAATTATGAGTTAGTTTCTGTTGGTCAGTTTCCTTAACCTAGGTAGTTTCCTTTTTTGTGACCAGGGTAATTGTATATAACTAGCAATTGTTCTATGATTTGAGAAGTAGAAGACATTTTTCCTGACTGTTTATCCTTCTGTGGTTTGTCCAATCTCCAATCTCCATTCCTTTGGCGAATTGATAACTGATTTTACTGCTCTGCTGATGATGTCTAAGAAAAAAAAACATGAGGATTCTCAATGACTCTTTTCCCTTTTTCAATGTCAGACATAAATGGGACAAGAAGATCACGAAAACTGGTAGAGTTACCCACCTGAATTCGCACTGGACTGACTAATACTCTCCACACTACATTGATTATACAATAAGACAGAAAAAAGGATCTTGCTGTTGCGCAGTGCAATGTAGCTACAACTGCTGGTCAGAAGACGGGGATAAGGAAAAAGTGGACCCTTGATGGTCAATGTACTTCATTTAGGGTATACTCCGGATGTAATACTCTTTAGGTGTGTGAATGCTAAAGTACACAACTGCAAGGAATGCCAATAACCCCTTAGTGTAACAACCCACCCGACTACCAGAAATTTGTGAGGTATTTGCCAACAACCGTATGCACGTCCTACCTTACAATTTGACAACAAAAGGAGGGGAGACACACAGATGGCTAGAGGATTCATGGTCCCTATCCTAGTTGTTGACTTCCTGACAATCGGGGAAGGAATTGAAACAGAGAGGAGGATAGGTGACAGCGACCCACCATGGCAAGTTAAGGAAAGATTCTACTCCCTCCAGCCTCCAAAAGAAGGAAGAAACAAAAAAAGGAGAGGGGAGGCAGAGAGAGGGAGCGAGAAAAAAAAAAGCATCATAGCTTGGCTTGACTCCAACATAAAATCGTTCGCATTTTCCCCTCCTTTCCATTCTTTCTGTCTCTAGAAATGGAAGGTGCATCACTGTAGAATGATCCATCACTACACTTAGCATGGTTTTAAACTCAATAATGTCTTTCTGCAGTTGAGCCTGTGGTTATGGGCAAGGGCTGAGTAGAGCAATGTGAGAGTAGGAATACAAAGATCAATTAAGAGGTACAGAGGCCAATATGTTAAAGTCAGCAGGAATTACATCGGATATAGCAGTTCCAAGTGTATTCTGGCAAAGAACTAAAAAGACCGATTAGATACCAGGCTCAGCAATAAACAAAGCCGATAGTTATCTAATACTTCGCTAGTTTTGAAATACTATCTTTTTTCCAAAACTGATTTAAAGAAAGCTCGAAGATTATTAGTTTACCAGATGGTAAACACATCCATATAAAATAGGGAAGCAATGCCAAAACGATTACTATCAATCAAAGAGCAAAAAAATGTGTTCATAGAGAATTTAACAATGAGAAAGAGAGAAGGGGCATACCTTCCCACCAATGCGGAATAATTCTGCAAGGTCATGAAATTGCCCATGAATGTCACCACATATTGTCACAGGACTCTTCACAGGCTGCAACATAGACAAATGATTTTACTTTTCATGATTATAGAATGCTCCCAAAGGTTCGCAGTCAAGCTTTTGCTTTTTTTATGTGAAGCTGTGACTAGACTAAAACCAAGTTGATAATAACGTAAAAAAAAATGATCTAAAAAAGCTGATTCCACAGAAAAGTTCCCATAAAGCATACAGCCTGGAAGAATTAATTTTGTAAGCTAAAAACGAATTTTTGAATGAGAGTGACGCTCTTTCTTTGGTTAATGGATATTCCCTTTCTGTTTTATGGTATGTAGAGGATGGGGGGTGGAGAGGCAGCAAGTGAAAAGGGTATTCGTCCACTATACTGCCACTAACCAAGAAGGGTTACAACTGTAGCACAGTTTACATCACAACGACCTCTGAAACATCAGTGGGAAGACGGTTCCAGAACAGTATGATCTCCTTAGCTTTTGTCAATTGAAGATTGGGAGAGGGTTCAGGATTTGTGGGAGGACTTTTCTCAATTGACTGCTACAAAAACCCATGGGAAAACATCATTTCACAGAAAAACAAAAATAAGAAACCTCCATTACTTTATTTTTACTGAAAACAGTTCAAATAGTTCTATCACCACTGATGCAAACTAATCAAGCGTCAAACTTATGCCTACACAACAATGGACATTACCTTCCATTATTCCTGACCGTATTTACAGTGTGCAGCAAGAAACAATCATAAAAATAAAATTCTTAAGGACACAATGTATGATGCAGAGACAATTGCTTAAAAAGAGAAAAGACTGATAAAATTTTAACCACACGAAAAGGACATACGCAGTTTGTTGAATAATGTAGGCCCAACCAAGTCATGACAATATCCACCCATTGGATATGGGCCATATGGATAATGGCCCTGTCAGCCCATCTAGGTTCCCTGAGACTGGTATAAATACCAGAGTCCCTCAATTAGGGTTTTTCTGTCGAGACCTTTGTCTCCCTCCCCCTCTCTCCTTCGTGTACTCTCTGTTTTGATCATGGTATCAGAGCCAGTTTCCATCCAGCAGAAACCCTAGAGGTGGAACAAGTCTTCCTTCACGCACCATCACCCCTGTCTAGTGCCGCCCCTGTTCAGCACCATCTGCTGCCATCAAGCCATTGTCGCCATCTGCCCTATGGTCAATACCACTCCATCTGATAGAAGTCACACAGTGGCACTCTCTCCAAAGGGGTCAAGAGGTGGTCAGCAGTCGAGGGTCAATAGTCAATAGTCAACTTATCAACAGATAGTCAATGGTCAAAGTTAATAATCAAAGTTTGGATTTTGTCTATTATTTTTCCATTGATGGCTGATGAATCAAAATCCTCTATAGCTCCACAATCAGCAGCGATAGTCCATAGTCACATCATTACAATTCGAAAATTAAATGACAAAAACCATACTCAATGAAGTAGATCTATTAAGATCTATTATTTCAAAGGTCAAGGCAAAATCAAGCATCTCACCGATGAATCCTCCTCCAATCTGGCTAGATGGGAACAACAAGATGCAAATCTCCTCAACATAATGTGGAACTCCGAGGAGTCAAATGTTGCTGATCTGTAAATCGTCTTAATACTTGTAAGGTTGTATGGGACCATCTTGCTCTTATGTTTTCTAATAATATTTAAATAATGTATGATATGACAATTGAATATTTCGGGTTGAAGCAAGGAGATAAGAGCTTCAGTATTTTGATGAGGTGACATGACTCAATGATGATCTTCATACTTTATTACCCATCTCTAGTGATATTCAGATGATGTAGAAGCAGCGTGCACAAATGACCATCTTGAAGCTTCTTGGAGGACTTCAAGAAGAATATGATGGCATTCATAGTCAGATTCTATCTGGAACTGAGTGAACATCATTTGCTGAGATGCATCAGCATATCTCTTGGGCTTTTCAAGACCAAGAAGGTATGCAAACTACTTCAGCAGCTGGTGAGACCATTGCCTTGATGTCTACAGAGGAAGCCACGGATACCTCTTCACATGGTCGTGGGTGAGGTGGGTGTACTGGTCGGATGAGAGGTGGAGGTAGAAGCACTGGTGGACGGTAGAGACCTGAATGCACTCACTGTGGAAGAAGGGGTCACACTAGAGATAACTCCTATGACCTACATGGACATCCTCCTAAAGCAATTAATCTAGCTACTTCAAGAAGGGAGGGGGAGAATAGATATTGAAACTGCCCGTACACTTCTTTTAATGTGCAAGTTCCTATAAAATTTTGGAGAGATGCGATACTTATAACCACTTATCTAATCAACTACATAACATCTTTTGTTTTAGACAACAAGATGCCTTACTTTGTCCTTCACCTGAGAGAACCATTGTACAATGTCCCACCTAAAATATTTGGATGTGTTTGTTTTGTCCATAAACTAGGAGTTGGTCAATACAAACTTGGTCCTAAATCTATAACATGTATTTTCTTAGGGTATTCTCATATTTAAAAAAGATAGAAGTGTTATATCCATCACTTCGTCATCACATTGTCTCAATTGATGTTACATTCTTGAAGGTACATTCTTTCTTTATGTTTCTACACCTTGTGTGTCATCAGAAGAATCATTACCTCTAACAGTAATTATTGAGTCTACATCTGTTATTGATCTTCCAATAGGTGATAGCCATGTTGAGTCTAGTAGTCTACTAGGTGATAGTCATGTTGAGTCTAGTACTCCAATAGGTGATAGTCATACTGAGTCTAGTAGTCTAATAGGTGATTATTATGTTAAGTCTAGTAGGTGATAGTAGTCAACCCGCTATATATAAGTATATACACAACAAAGAGTTCTCCAAACTTGCCCAACAATTACTAAAGTGCTCGATCCACAGCAAATCTCATCTACATCCAACGGTCATATAGAAAATGTCTTTGATTCAGATAACTTAGATGTCCCCATTGCTCTTCAAAAAGGGCAGAGATCTTGCACCCTTCACCCTTTGTCTAGTTTTATCTCCTATTCTCACATGTCTCAAGCTTATTCTACCTTTGTCTCATTCATATCAGATATACCTATCCCTAAAAGTGTTTTATAAGCACTAGGTCATCTTGGGTGACATGCAACTGTGGGGGAAGAGATGACCGCCCTTAAGCAAAATCGCACATGGTGCATAATTTCATAACTGTTTGGTAAATCCATTGTTGGGTGCAAATCGGTATTTAATGTTATAGTTGGCTTAGATGATTTTGTAAACATATTAAAAGCTTGTTTGATGGCCAAAGGCTTCACCAAGTATACGGTGAAGATAATGTCAAGACATTCTCTCCAATTGCCAAAATTATTTCAATACAGATCTTGGAATTGACTGTTTGGTTCTCTTGGCCCCTACATCAACTAGATATAAGGATGCATTCCTTCCTAGTGACTTACAAGAGGAGATTTCACCGAGTTTTGTTGCTTAAAGGAAGTCTTAATTTGATACATCGCCTACAAAAATCTCTCTTTGATTTGAAGCAATCTCCACAGGCTTGGTTTAGCCAATTCAACAATACTATGTTGTAGTTTGGTCTTCAAAGATGTGGTGTTGATTATTGTATCTTTTATAGACATTCATTTGTTGATCGTATTTTGTTGATTATATATATTGATGACATCACTATCATTAGAGATGATCATGCAAGAATCTCTCAACTCAAAGAGTTCTTACAAGGACAATTTGCAACCAAACCTTGATAATCTCAAATACTTTATGAGGATTAAGATCACTCAATCCAAGGAGGGAATTGCAGTCAATCAATGAAAGTATGTCCTTGATCTTCTTGTGGAGACAACTATATCAAGTACATGGCCAGATATCTTTTGCTACTACTATGGTGAGTCAATTCATGGAATGATCACACATCAAGCATCTCAATGCAATCATGCATATATTGAGGTATCTCAAAGGTAATCCAAGTAAAGGACTTATATATAAAAATAATGGTCATCTCATAGTGTAGGGTTTCTCGGATGTTGATTAGACAAGTTGCAATCTAGATAGGAGATCTATTATTGGCTATTGTGTTTTCCATGGTGACAATCTTATTTCTTAGAAAAGTAAAAAATAATATGTGGTTTTACGATCAAGTGCTGAATCAGAATACAAGGCAATGACATACCATACGTGAACTTATATGGATCAAACATCTTGTTGAAGAACTTGATTTTCCTCATGAAGGCCCGATGGAGCTCAAATGTGATAATCAGAATACAGGGCAATGACACATACTATATTCACATTTCTTCTAATCATATCTCCCATGAGAGGACAAAACACATTGAAGTTGATTATCACTTCATCAGAGAGAAGATCTAGGCACAACTCATCATTACAGTCCACGTTAGCTCTACAGATCAACTTACAGATGTGTTCCCCAAGTTTCTAAATGGTCATAGAGTATAGTTTCTATGTAATAAGATAGGTGCATATGACGTATATGCCCTAGCCTGAGGGGGGACCGTTGAATACTGTAGGTCCATCCAATTTGTGGCCATACCCGCCCATACAAGTATGAACCCTATCAGCCCATCTAGGTTCCTTGAGACTCTGGTATAAATACCATAGTCTCTCGATTAGGATTTTCTGTTCGCGTCCTTTGTCTCTCCTTGGTGTACTCTCTATTTCTATCACAATCTATGCACAGCAATAAATTCGTGATTCCAACATGAATAGCATTAAAGAAATGATGGAAACGGCAAAAAGAAAATGGAATAAAACTACTTGATGTCTGAACAAAGATGCAGGTCAATCACATCAAGACCTTATGAAATTAATGGAGCAATTAAAATAAATGTATACCCTAAACTCGACCTTTCCAAACTCTAAAAACATCATCATTAACTGTTCTTGCCGTTTATTACAAAGTCCACAAACATCCAAGGCTTTAAGTTAGAGTTTTATTCAAAAGAACAAAGAACATGATGAAGGAGAGACTGGATTGTACCAACTCCCAGCAAATAAATACTACAACAAATAAAAACAGTTGCTATCCATTAAGAAAAACAGCATGAAAGCCAACCTGAACATTGCTCTCGTCAACCAATATCTCCTTAGCCTTATCACACAATATTTTCACCTGCAGGGAACATAAGTACGCTAAAAACACACTCATTGCATTTAAATAAATATAAAAAATCGTCATGTTTTAAAAAGAAAGTCTGACATCAAGATGAAGCGTATCCATTTTCACCCGTATTATTTGCATAATTCTATAAGAGATGATTATTCGTATCAACCGAAATATGGAGAGATGGCAGGGGCATTAGCACATAGATAAGACACTGTAAAGTTTGCAAAAGATTTTTTTGAACATATGTAAATTTAATAGAAAATTGAGTTGAGAGATAAACAGCATTCTTATGGTTCTAAAAAGAAAGATGAAGAATTATTGTTGTACATCTATGCTGAGGCAAACATGAAACCTTCTCCTGAGCAAGTGATCATGACCACTAATAGAAAAGCCGGTGAACTGAGGCTTAAGAATTGTCCAGCAAAAACCAGTATCCTAAGGTGAAAGGCCAACAGAGTGGAAGCCTAAACCGGCTAAGAGGGATGGATTGTTAGAGGGAATGAATAAGCTTCACTGAATCAGGTGACTAGACAAACTGGAGAGCTGGATGGGCCAATAGAGATACCAAATTCAAATCCAAAAACTCCCATGCGTTAGCAGACATAGGTACAAGAAGTCCTAATGCAGAGAAGCTTCCAAAAGTCTGGAGGGAAAAAAAATTATCATCTGAGTAAAGATTCTAATAATTTGTTGATTTGGCAGTACAAAATCTTTGAACAAGCATAGCTCTTCCTCAGCACCTTAAAAAGCAAATGATGAAGCACTTGAGGACGGAATTTTGATGTGTTTAGCGGCAAAGACACATGATGCCCGTAGTATTCAAGCTCTATCAGGCTTTAAATTCAGGCAAATGATTTTATAGGGGAACTCAATGGGATCATACGTAATTTTCTGAGCCATTAAAAACAATTTGCACCTTGGTTCCCTAATTAAGAAAATAGATACCCTCATTCAAAGCCTATTGCAGTCTTAATTGACAAAACATTAAGTTGTAGTATAATGCCACAAACATCACAAGATAAGTTATTTTCTTAGAAAAACCTGCGCTAGTATGCTGTTCATTCTACATTTGGATTGTATTCATTCACAAGCCTTGTTTAGACAGCTTCCCATAGGATTGCATAATAACGAGCAAAGAATTAGTCCAAATAAATGTTCAATTTCAGTTACGAAATCAAATGATCGAAACACTCGGACAGAATCTAAATGATCGAAAGAAATACAACCATCTACATGTATGGCCTCCTATAAAAGGCTTGGAGTATCCCATGTCCCATTAGGAACAAGAGAGTCTCTAACCTCACACTTCAAAGGCTAATAAATCTCAAGACTAAATTCCATAGTGGCTCAATCAAGAAAAAGTAAAAACGAAAGGTACTCCAAATGTGGATCATTGCCAATTTCCTCTCAGGGAGAGGAAATGTGGTCAATCATCCGTCCGTTCTACGAATTTGAATCAGTTGTTTAATAACCAGCATATATTTTTTTCTCCACTATAAACACATAATTCGAATGGGACTATCCTTCTTTCATACCCCCAAAAATATGACAGAGCTGTGGAGGCACAAGCACCATGGGACATTCAACGAAAATGAGTTAAAAAATGGCATGTAGTTTCTAAGAAGTTGTCTCATTTGTCCCATGAAATGTGTCAAAATTACACTGGATAGAAAAATGAAAAAATGGGAAAAAACGTAAAAGTTCTGCACATGTCAAAGATGAAATTCTCATAATCTTTGTTCATTCTACATAAATCTCCCTTCGATTATTGGACATAAAAATAGGATACACCCGAACTGTCTTAGAATCAAAGTTCCGCACAGAAGTTGGTAAAATTCACATCGACACAAATCTGAGATGGCTAAGAAATCATCTTATCTACTAAAAAGTTTTGCACAAATATCGTTAACGTGTCACACCAGAACTGAATAACCGAGAATTAGATACTATCAAAGGATAAATAAGATCCGGTGCTTTCCGGTGAATAACAAGGCGCAAAAAGCAGTCAACTAACACAAAAACCCTCCCACCCCCTTGGGTCAGAGCAGATACCCTAACTCGTCTAGACTGGCTCAATTCGCAGATCAACGGAGCAACGGCAGACAACTTGTAACAAACCTCGTCTTCAAGCAACACAGAGCCCAAATGGCCACCGATCCACCCATTAGAGGAGCTGATCCGTGCTCTCCGCACTCTAATCGATGTGAAAACCCCAGTCGGATGAACACCTATTCAAACATAGGGCAACCGCCCCCGTCACCAAGACAATGGGAAAAAAATGGCTGGACTGGGGAATGAGCGAAACCTCCTTCTCCGAGAGTGGCCTGCACTGCATGAGCTGTGAGATTTGCTCGCCGACGTCCCCGTGGGAGTCGGAAGGCACCAAATCCGGCGAACTCATATCTTCTCAGGGAATTCGATGGAGAACCAAGCAGCCACGCGCAAGAACCGAGAGAAAACCAAACCCTGCCCGCGCCTCCTCCTCACCCTGCGCGCATCCTCCTCCTCTCCCGACCTCTCTCTCCAAGCTCCCCACCAGTCCCTCCACCCTCCCGCCTGGTGTGGTCCAGCACTGCCCGACAAGAGAGAGAGAGAGAGAGAGAGAGAGAGAGAGAGAGAGAGAGAGAGAGCAAACAGAGAACCCGGGTTGGGGGGGCGTAAGCGTGCCCATGATAACACGTGGAGAGGGGGCTTCCTTCATATAACGACAAAACAACCTTGCTCACAATCTCTCATGCACGCATACAGAGCGATGCGTACGCTCTAGGATATCTACTTCAGACGAACGATATGACGACGTCAGCCAATCGAGTAATCCCAGGTCTCAAAGTACGTACATGACGTCATCAAATAATATCTTGCTATCTAAATTATAACTCAAAATTTAATAAAATACCATATATTTAGGCTGCTTATGATCACCTCCGCGAAACAGGTTACCCGACTAAAAAAGAGGAGGAAAATCATGAAAACTAGGGCACTCAAGTGATATATATATAGATATATATATATATAGAGAGAGAGAGAGAGAGGAATTTTGGTGAGAGATAGGAGAAGATTATGGTTGTTCATAATAATAATTAAAGTTTCACGTTAACTTAATATACATAAAAAAGATATATAATGACAAAAAAGAGTTTATATTTAGTTGCACAATAACTTATCGTCAATAAATATTCTTAAAATATTGGACTTCGTGCAAAGTGGTAATTTCCGTAAATTTAGTATGTTATTTTATTATAAATAGAATATATTTTTAGATGAATTACACTTGAGAATATTCGGCTGCTTAATTATGTAATAATGACCCGGAATTCCAAGTCCCTCTCCCTTCGGGCGGTTTTCTCATTTTCTGGGCTGATTGCGTGCAGGCCCACCATCGCCACTCTTATATGAAAGTCCTCACCAATCGAGCTAAATAAAAAAAAACCCTTATTCCAATATATTTACACCTTAAAATTCGCCGTCACTCATATGTATTATATAAATCTCCTCGCAAACAACGTGGGGCGGAAAAATTGTAAAAGAGTCCTTTCTTTTTCCGGGCTTCTTTTTTACGGGCCGGGAAATCGGGCTTTTGACCTGTGATGGGATGCCTACAGTTGTAATTAACACGAATAAATCATTAGATTAAAACCCACGAGTTTAAAATAATATTGGGAGCTAATAAATAATGATGGAGGATTTTGCAAGATATTAGTTTATTATTGTATTATAAATAATTTTTTGGCGCGTCCTTTTCATATAATACCTCGTATCGACGGTTGTCATAAATACCGGTCCTCAACAGACACATGAGAGAGAAAGAGAGAGAGAGAGAGAGAGAGAGAGAGAGAGAGAGAGAGAGAGAGAGAGAGAGAGAGAGAGAGAGAGGGAGACGGAGTGAGAGAGTGTGGGAGACGGATAGAGTGACTGGAGAGAGAGAGAGAGAGAGTCTCCTCCCACTGTGAGTAAAGTCGCTGCCGCAATCAGCAAGAGTGGGGAGAAGGACATTTTCCCTCCACCTTCGTTTCTTCCATCTGCGACCTGTACGAGAGGCTTCTTGGTTCTTGGTTTTCATCTTAGGTGCTGTTTGGTGGAGATCGAAAGTGTGCACCTGCGTCTCTACTTTTTTGGCTTCCTTTGCTCAAGGGCCACCGTATAATCCCGACGGGCTTTTAGGGTTTCATTGGACAGCACTGCTACCGGGTAAATCCCTACTTTTGTGGCGCCTCTCCCCCTTTGTCTTCCTCCTCCCATTTGTTGCTTTTGTTTCTCTGCGCCAGGATCATATTTTGGTTCACTTATGATCGTTGTTTTGTTTCTGCCCATACCTTTACGAGTCGCTTATGTTCATCATGGATAGTATTTTGCGAGATGTACGGAAATGTGGATTTTTCAGCCGTTAATTCTGTGCTTTGTTAGTTGCAGGAATCCGTGTTGTTAGGGTTGTTTTTTGGTTTTGGAGAAGGGAGCTCCTAGTTATGAGCAGCTGGTGGGGTGACTCTGTTGTTAACTCTGAGGGCTCTGGCTCTGGGGTTAACATCAACGGCTCTAGCGGCCCTGGCCCTCAGCGGTTTTTGATATCCGCATATGTCCCTCCTCATCTCCGTGGCCATCCTCCACTTTCTGACGTCCCAGCTACTCTGCCAATCCTCTCAGACATACCTTCAGGTCCACCGCGGCAACCTGGTAACGAGGTCCTTCCTGGAGGGAATCGATGGGGTGGTGCTGCCGTCCGTGACATGCGTCGCCCGCCCTTTGCTGGCGGGCGTGGAGGTGGATGGAACAATAGGACTGGAGGGTTAGACCGTGGAAGGGAGCGGGAGGTGAACCCCTTTGCCAATGATGACGATACTAAAGAGCCAACATTTGACGAGGAGAATACTGGCATTAATTTTGATGCCTATGAGGACATCCCTGTTGAGACAAGTGGTGATAATGTGCCCCCTCCAGTGAGTACATTTGCAGAGATTGATTTGGGTGATGCACTTAATGCGAATATACGGAGATGCAAGTATGTGAAGCCAACGCCAGTTCAGCGACATGCAATTCCTATCTCTGTGGCTGGTAGAGATCTAATGGCCTGTGCTCAGACAGGATCTGGCAAGACAGCTGCCTTTTGTTTTCCCGTGATTTGTGGTATAATGAAAGGCCCACCTACGCAGAGGCCACGGGGAGTGCGGACAGCATACCCCCTTGCCCTTATATTATCTCCCACGAGGGAACTTTCAGTCCAGGTAAATTTCCTCTTTCAAAAATCTGTTGGTCTTTTTAGGTCTTATCTCTTTTGCTTTTATTGCTGCTTCTTGCCCTTTGTGATATTTTTTATCCCATACCAAAATCTGTAGATTCACGAGGAGGCAAGAAAATTTTCCTATCAAACTGGGGTGAGGGTTGTTGTTGCTTATGGAGGAGCCCCAATTCATCAACAGGTTTTTTTTCCCCATTTTTAAATGTTGCCTTTCGATGTTGATCTACATCATGATTCCTGTTTGTCGTTGTTCCTCATGTTGATGATTGCCAAAGAACTTTGATGACCGGGGATGATTGGATTTTAATTTCAGTGTTAAATTTCTTCCCATTAATGTAGCTTTCAGATGTCCACATTTTATCCAGTAACTCGCTCCTTATGTTGCTGGATACATTGGAGTTAGGATCCTTTTTTTATTCGAATCCCTTGATGGATGCTTAAACATCGGTTGAGTTTCCTTTCTACTATGCTTAGTTCAAATTTGAAATGGCTGCCCTTATTTACTATTGTTTCACAATGCATTGTCGTTGATGATGAAAGTGTAATGTCTTTTATTGTTTTATAAGTTATCACAGAGGCTCTATATATCAGTTATGTGTTTAATTAGTCCTAGGAATGAAATTGGAATCTAGAAATAGTCTGGTCTTGGCTTCTGCTGTTCTGATTTCAATTCCAGTACAGAACCAACCAATTCTAGCTATGTACGGGTACCTTTTCCTGGTTTGGAGCAATACATGAGGATCATTTGAGGAAGAGATGGAGGAGAGTAGGGTTTGCATTTACTTTCTTTTCCTCTACTTAAGAAGGTGATATAGACTGAAGAATACACAGTTTCCTGACTCTTTGATATTTATATAAAAATTCGTTCAGAATTCTAAATTACGCATTACCCCCTAATCAGTAAGGATTTCAAACTCACTTGAGGCTTTTTTTTTTGTTTTTTGGAAAACTGACTGGTACAACCCTAAAGGGAACTGGCCACTGCTGCTTTGTCATGGCAGGTTTGGATGATATTATAATTTTGCTACTAATTTTTTAGCTGAACATCCGCAGAGGCTCAATTTGTTCCATAGTAAATTGTTTTTTGATGTGGCTTATTCCAGGGTTCATAAATTTCATTTATCTAATGCTTTAATTCCTCATCATTAGTAGTGTAACAGTATTCTTCATAATGATCTCTTAGATCTAATTAGTTGCAAGTATTTTATTATAAAAAAATATTCAGAGAGTATTGTTTTGTTATAAATATTACCTTTTAATCATGGAGAACTTTTTCATGCTATTTCCTTGTATAATATGTTTTACTCGATCATTAGAATAAATCTCCTTAGAACGCATGTTGATAGGCCTGTATTGATGTTATTGATGCTGCTTTTTTTTTTTTTTTTTTTTTTTTGCCCAATTGACTGTTGTCGATGTGACTTTGTAGCTACGGGAGCTTGAAAGAGGTGTTGACATTCTTGTGGCGACTCCTGGCCGTTTGGTAGATTTGTTGGAGAGAGCTAGAGTATCATTGCAGATGATCAGGTACCTTTGCCTAGATGAGGCAGACCGAATGCTGGATATGGGTTTTGAACCGCAGATTCGAAAGATTGTTGAACAAACGGACATGCCTCAGAGGGGGTTTCGGCAGACTATGATGTTTAGTGCCACCTTTCCTAAAGAAATTCAGGTTTACTCGCTGCCATCTTGTTTGCATATCGTTCTTTTGAAATCTAGACATACTGAATGTTGACTTGTTTTATCAATGCATGTCTCTCTTGCTCTGTGCTTAAAATGAACCGTCAGTGGCTGTTGTAATGTACCATTTTGTTTCATGCTTTCAGGGGGAAGTTTGTTATAGTTTTACCTCAAGCTATACCCTGTGTATTTATATCTGATAAATATTTTATACTCAAGCTATGGTTTTTTTGTACATTAGTTTGGTCGACGCATTTAACATACGTCAAGTATCGTCAGAACTTGTGAAGAATCCCCTATCAAGTAGTCAGATCGATGCAAAGGCATTAAACTATACTTGCTATTTATAACTGCAGATGCTAAACATAGGCCATTTGTCTGTGATTTTAGACACTTTTCTAGGGCATTATTTTTTGAGTGTAGAACTTGTCCGACATGTTAAACATCTACGTGCGGGCTTGAAGTTCCTACAATCATCTGTACTTGATGTAAAATAAGAAGACCCAAATTGCACAGTTAACACAATGGTTCAAGTTTGACGTGCTTGTGTCCAATTTGGATGTCAGTTTTCGATTGCATTGCAAGATTATAACAAAAAAAGAAGGCTTCAACCATATAGACCCGATTGTTATGACTAAATTGTTAATAATCTGTGCTTTTATCCTGTTACTTATCATAAAAAAGGATATCATTAGTTTATCTGTTATGTTTTATGTAGATTCTTCTCAGGATCACCGATTGTTCGTGTCTTTGACAACTTACTCCGTAGAGCACTACCTAGCTTTTCCTTTGGGTTCTTCAAGTAGCGTTCCATTTGGGGAATGATTTATGGATAACGAATTTTTCAGGAAAAGGCACCATATCTTTTGGCCACTTCTATGTCGCTAGTCTTGCATCAATTCCTTAGCAACTCCTCTCAAGTATTTGCTGGATTGGCCGTTCCACTCTAATCAATCATTCTGGTCATAATTCCACTAAAGCTTGTAGTGGACTCCAGAGACATTATCCCTTGTCATAGTCGATTTACCCATCTGCACATGTGCCAGCTGCTATGCCTGTAGCATGCATTGAATATGCGACATTGATTACTACTCGTTCTCATTGATTGAATATTACCCTGTGCATCTTGAAAGGCATAGTTCATGTTTTATAGAGGTTCAGGCTTTTGTTTGACTTCTTATTTGCTCACTTGTTTTGTGTGATGTGCTGCATTTCTGTTTTATTTACGCAATCACTCTGCCTAGTGAATGCGATAACAGTATTCTCTTCTAACATAATATCGAAAATTTGCAGAGATTGGCTTCTGATTTCCTATTCAATTACATTTTTCTGGCTGTTGGGAGGGTTGGCTCGAGTACTGACCTAATTGTCCAGCGGGTTGAATTTGTTCATGAATCGGACAAAAGGAGTCACCTTATGGACCTTCTTCATGCACAAAAAGCAAATGGAACTCCTGGCAAGGTTGAATGTTTCTCCCATGCACTTTTTTTGTCTTTGATTATTTTTTCTAGTTATAATCATAGATCCTGCTTGATTGCTCTTCACCAGTTCAATTTGTTGCTCACACTTGGTTATCTATACTCTTTTGCAGCAAGCTTTGACATTGGTTTTTGTTGAGACAAAAAAGGGTGCTGATTCATTGGAACATTGGTTGTGTATGAAGGGTTTCCCTGCGACTACTATTCACGGGGATAGAACACAGCAGGTAAAGTTTGTTCATATGTTAACATTTGTAGCTATAACGGGAGTACTAAGAGGAGTAAATGTAAATGTAATATACAGCTTTCCGCCAGCTTGATATTATTCTATCTTTCATGCCCCCTTCACAGTTTCTTTTCATAAATGTATGGCTTTTTTCTTGTGTATACTTTTTTTCTCTCCAGACAGAAGCAGTTTAAGTTTGTCATTCAGTTATTGATGAAATCAGTTGTTAATATAGTGGATTTGGGGATCGTTCTCAAGAGAATAATGAAACTCTTGGTAGAATGCCCAAAAGGAAACGCAGTGAACATGCATTATTTTTTGACTAAACCTCAAGGATTCAGTATGTGCATAGGAACCACATAGTCGGAGAAAGGCACTTGATTTTTGCTTCTTAAATTATTTTCGGAAGTTAGCATCCAGGAACTGTTAGTCCATGATTTACTTTTGATATTACAGAACCATATGCTATTCGATCAATAAGGGGCGGCCACTATTTATTCGAGCATCTCACAGAATTGGTTTGATTGAACTGCGCTTGGGTTGCTTCTTGTTGTGAGAGCTGAAGTGGGGTACTTTCTCCCACTGTTGACTGGCCTCGTGACTGCTTCCCACCTTTACAGAGTTTCTTTGACCAGAAACCTCCCCATTGCCTTGCAAAAGGTTGTTAATCGCGTAGTCTAATGAAAAAACTTGCTAAGTTCTATGATTGATCAGACTGGGCTTATATGATGAGGTTTAGAAGGATTATGGTGTGTGTGTTGAACCTAATAATGACATGATGATGATTGTGGTGATGATAATAGACCTTCATCATAGCTTGCTTTAGATGTGTCAGGTTTGCCAGGATTAAGAGTTTGGTGCGGCAACGAATTTAGCGTAATTTTTTTTTCTGTTGTTGAATTTCGTGCTGTATTTCTTACGTTTGTGGTATTTCGTTCACTAATACATGTATGATTGTTTTGTGAGTATCTGACTATCTAATCCCCTCCATCGATGACTTCAGTTAAACTTCATAATATTTTCTCCACTTATACCTTTTTGTGTTTGAGCGAGGGAGGAATCTTTGGGTACCCACGATGTTGCTTTTCTAAGATTAGGACTTGATATTTTTTAACTGAAATTGTCACAGGAATTTCTTACATGGATAGATATCCTCTTCTGGAACTTGAAAAATTCGTATTTATGGCCTTTCCAACACAATATAACTATGATTTCCTACAGGAAAGAGAACTCGCCTTGAGATCTTTCAAGAGTGGAGCCACACCGATCCTGGTGGCCACTGATGTTGCAGCACGAGGGCTTGACATTCCCCACGTTGCCCATGTTGTCAATTTCGATCTTCCCAATGATATCGATGACTACGTCCACAGAATCGGGAGGACTGGGAGAGCCGGGAAGACGGGCCTGGCTACTGCTTTCTTCAACGAGAACAACACCAGCTTGTCTAGGCCTCTCTCTGATCTAATGGAGGAGGCAAACCAGGAAGTGCCACAGTGGTTGTCCCGTTATGCAACCCGTTCCTCATATGGTGGAGGCGGGAGGAATCGTCGATCGGGCGGAGCCCGCTTTGGTGGTAGAGACTTCCGCAGAGACCACAATCCGTCCCATGGAAAGGGTGGCAGAGGTGGTGACCATTATGGTGGTGGCGGCAGCGGCGGTGGATATGGGGGTGGGTATGGCAGAAGTGGTGGTTATGGCTATCCTGGAGGTGGTGATCATTGTGGTGGCGGTGGAGGAGGATATGGCAGTGGCTATGGCAGAGGTGCATATGGCTACCCTGGTGGCCACAGTGCTTGGGACTGACTTGTCCCCCCTTACTACAAATACCTAGTTTTCTCCGCTTGGAGAGATATAATTTTGATGGTAGCACGCCATTTCAGTAGTCTAGAAGATCATCTCTGCCCTCTTTTGGTTTTTTTTTTCTCCAGTCAGGGAACAGTTTTCCCTCCATTTTTTTTCTTCTTTTGGGTTCTCCTCAGTTTCAATGCTGGGGACGTTTGCCGCCTTGGCAGAGACTGACATTGCTGTGCTTTGTTGAACTAACAATTTCTTCTTGTCTTGCCATTTTATCCATCTGGGTTCTAATCTTGGGTGGCGGCTGCGACATCTATGGTAAGAGGAGTTTTTTTTCCTTTCTTTTTTTTCATATTTCCGTGTCTTGGAATATTCATTACTTCCTGATCAACAATGAGGATACAAGAAATTTCCTAATTTAGTTTTTATCATGACCATTTTTCTTTCTCTTTTGACGTTTTTAGTCATAACTTGCTTGGTTGGTGGTTTGACTGAATGAACTGTGGATTGGAAAAGCGGAGAGGAGGCACCTCCTTAAATCCGGGACATGTGAACAGCTAGCTGATCATGTAATGCTTATTCTGTTCGCTCTTTGAGTTCTACCCATTACTGTCTGTTGCTTCATCTGTACTCAAATCCTTTGCGCTGATTCTAGAACGATTATTGCAGAATTTAGACGTAGATGATGACAAATCCGATATGATTATCTTGCCCCAGTGCGTAGTACTATTGTTCTTTATTAGTTTTATGGGTTTCCATATCTTGATTCTACTACTAGTACTGCTACTTGTTTTCATCACCCAGGGGAGATTTGTTCCTGCCCAGAAACCAAAAATCACAAAATTTTAATCTTTTTTCATCAGTAAGAACAGATTGAATGCCCAAAAAGTTCTCTCCCTCTGCCCATCCCCCAGATTACAACATCGATGAGCAATGACCACAACTAGTTTCTATATGTACCACAAGAGGTCTCTGCCTCTGGATGGGGGGAATTTCTATGCGGAAAATTCCAACCAGTTATTTATTAGATCAACCTCACGGATTCTACCAGCACCTCCCCACGTAATCTGTTCGAGGATTTCATGCCTGAAGGACCTGGCAGTGGACGATGTGGCTCCTCATGGCACCCCTCCCAGCGATGGTCGACCACAAATTGGTGACGAAGGTCCTCAACTGGCCCTTCCCAGCGACTGTCTCCCACACTCCATCGTTCTCCCCCGCCGAATTGCTGCTCCCCACCTTGAACACGTCCACAGTGGTGATGCTCATATTGTTGCGGATGATGCAGAGCTTCCCATTCAGTGGCACAAGGGCAGCTGCTTCCATGGCCCGGGAGCTACCCAAGTGGAGCTTGCTGTCAAAAGACTTCCGCCACGAGTCGTTGGCGCCATCGTAGACCCTGAGCTTGCAGCCGTCCTTGCAATCCAGAGCATAGAGCTGCCCGTTCATGGAGATGCTCGGGTTGCGCCAGCCGGAGACCATCCCCTCGCTGACCAGGGACCAGCGGTTCGCCGCTGGCACGTAGACTTCGCTGATCACCTGCCGGTGGGAGCTGAGCCCTTTGAGGAACCACTTCCCATCGTGCGCGACGCCGATCAGTGGCACCATCGCCGTGCTCATGTCAGTGGCGAAGCTCCACCGGTTCTTGCCCGGATCATACACCTCCACAGATCGCAGGCTCCGCTGGAACCCCTCGCAGTGCCCGCCGGCAATGTAGAGGCGGTTGTTGATGACGCAGGCGCCGAAGCAGTGCCGCCGCCGCAGCATGTCCGGCGCCCGGTGCCACCGATTGGTGCGCGCGTTGAAGAAGATGACCCGCCGCATGGATCCCCTGAGCGGGTCCTTGCCGCCGAACAAGTAGAGATGGCAGCCATTGAGGACAGCGCAGCCGAAGCCGAGAGCCTCCGAGTACTCCCTCGGGAGCGGCGGCAACGGCTGCCACATCTGGTAAGTTGGGTCGAAGGCATTCCATGAGATCTTCCCATCGCGGTCTCGCTTGATCACGTAGACCCATTCCTCTGCCAGCCCAACTCTCTTGCGGAGAGAGTAGAAGAAGTTCCCGGCGAGGAGGCGGTACCAACGGCGGCAGACCAGGCGGAGATTCTGGTGGTCGGCACGGGGCACCCGGATCAAGCAGGCAACACCAAGGTCGTCGGGGAGGCCGGGGAGGAGCGGCACTTGCATCCGGCGGTCTCGCCGGGAGGCCTTGGGCTTGCTCCCCTGGGGCTTGATCTCTGGTTGGAGGCATAGCTTCGCTCCGGGGACAAACTTCCCGGCACCGACTACGGTCTTCAGGCTCGCATCGACTCTACAGCGGCATGATACAGAGTCAACCTGCCATTTTTATTTGCCCAGAGTTAACTTGCAGATGAACAGATGGGCGGCATCATATGAACAGATGGAACAAGAAAAATGGAAACTTTACGATTCCCCCCATAAACCATGGAGATATCATCAGACGCAAATGAATCAAAGCCTCAGAACCTAGTGGAAAAAATAGTCCATGTCCCCTTAAGAAATAGTTTCAGATTACAGCCATAAAGCACGGAATTGAGATCACCTGATCCCCTTGACAAGAACTTAGAGCAAGCACAAAATGAACTAGAAAGGAACTCAGAAAATAGACAGGGGAATCCACCTAAGATGAATTTTGCAGCACCAGACATCATCCTTCAATGGATGAAAACTCACCCGAGATCTTGAGGTGAACAGGAGCAGAGAGGAAAATGTGAGTGAGTTTATTACGCCTTCACACTTCTTCAAATGAATCATTGAGTAGAGGCAGTGGGATCAATTCTTTGAGCTGAAACTTCCTCGTATAATTATTCAGCCCACAACTCTTGGCTCAAACACCAAGCATATAAACAGCAGTAGATTGCATCTTCCCTATCTGGGTCTCTAGCCAGTCAAAAATAGTAAGAAAGTTGTGAAACGTCTAGAGATGAATAAATGGTGAAGAGTATACGAATGCTATCATATCATAGATACTTGCCACCTAATTAGCAGTAAATTGAACCTTTCCTATATCCGTTCACTCCCTGACTGGGTCTAAAGTTTAGAAATGAATACAAACATGTTTTTAGATGTCCAGAAAATATAAGAAATGGAATTATAATAATGTCGAAAGAAGAGGAGGATATTAGTAGTAAATCACTGCATATATATAGATACATCTGTATATGTATATTAGGACATAATAAGCCGGCTTTATTGGATCTTGGCGTCGTCTCTGATCTTACCGATTCCCCAAGCTACTCACACTCACTGAAGTTCTCCTGAGGCTTGGAGCATTCATGGTGCAACTCTCTACAGTCAGCGCAGTGATAACTAAACTGCCAGGTTTTCTTTAAATAGAAGATTAGTAAATAGGAAGCTGGCAGAAGACAATTTAGTATACCAACAAAAAAAAAAGAAAAGAAAAGGGTGACTATCTGAGGAAGGCACACGGTTGAACTCAGAACATGAAGACAGCACAAAATCACACGGTTGAAAGTTTCCTTGAGAATATCTGAGAAAGATTGCGGGCAAAATAACCATCACAGATCAATGGAAGGAGAATCATCATGCCGATGGATACCCGAGCCAGAAGATAAATTATATATCACCATCTTCGCAGGATTTTGGCCACCTCAAGCTCAAAATCCATCTTTTAAGGTCCCCAGACGATGAATTATCTTTAATAAAATTCATCTGAATCCGAGGAGAAGACGAGCAGAGACAAGAATGCATAACTGGGTATGTGGGTTGGATCTGCAAAACATTAGGAGAATCGAGGATAAGGAACTGAAGGGGATCGACAGGGGCATAGCTTTTCTGAGGGAGCAATTCACCAGTAGTGAAGGAAGAACAGGCGACCAAGAGAACCCTAGAAAACTGGAACCTCTCCGAGAAATTGAAGGCTGTGGAAGATCATTCAACCGGGATTCTCATTCCAGGAGGGATGTCATCCTGTATGAATCGTAAAAGGAAGATGAAGATGACCAGTGAAGGGCTGTGAGGAAGGGGGTGCCCTATTATCTTCAAGAAACTCCACGGCTATCACACTAACGACCGATCGCCCCGAGAAAGCGAAATGATATCCCAACCTTCTGGATGACTGATTTCAATGCTCCTCTTCCTCTGCGGGAGGAGAATCAGAGGAATAAAAGACATACAGTCACGGTGACAAGAGATAAAAACAGACGGGCGAGCTCACCAGCGGCGCCTGAACTCGGGCCCCTTGCCGTTGCATGCCGCCGCGGCCCTGATCCTCGGCCGCCGCCTCCATTCTTCCTCCTCAGAGGTCTTCAGAAGAAAAAACGACGAGCAAGCGGACAAATCAGGGATGGAGGAGTAAGAGGGGGAGGAACCCAGTTCCCACTTTTCTCGAACCTCCCCTTTCCACACCTCCTCTCGCCGAGACCAGCGATCCCCCACCGGCGCCTACATATCAAACGAGGGCCCGAGTCCAGACGGCCCCCGTTCCTTCCACTCAGGGAGGAACGGAGTGAACGGAGGGCGGAAGGAGGAAGAGGGAGGCCATTACAGCTGGACCCATTGCAGTCACCAACCCCTCCCCCCCTCTGATTAATAACCCAACTATTCATTGTCCCGTCCGTTTTGATGACCCAGACGCAAAGATTTTTTCTTTCTAATGGGTCTAATCCGCTGACTAAAATAGGCGAAAAATGAACCCGACGGCGCCCCGAGACAAGAGCTGTTATTTTCTGAGTCAGCGCGGAGAAGGGTGAACACAAGAAAAGTCGTCTACCCCAGCCGACAACCGGTTCCCTCCCTTTCAGGGCAAACCTCGGTCAACCCTCACATTTCTCCGGCGAGAGGTCTACCCCGAAGGGAAAGGAGCATTTCTAGAGAGGGCAGAGTTTTATATGGCGGGGGGCGTCTTGACCCAGTCCGGTCGGTGCAACGCGGAGCAGAGTGAAGCAAGAGAAGAAGAGATGTGGCCTCATACTGGAGGAGAGGAGGACAGGAAACTATGAGTCACCGGATGAGGCAGGCCTCTTCTTCCCTGGTTGGTGGAAGATGGGCGATCACTTAATTCACTCGTGGAAGACGAAGGCCTCTCTCTCTCTCTCTCTCTCTCTCTCTCTCTCTCTCTCTCGGAAGCTCCCCTGAACCATGAACAGAAAATAACCGAAAATGGAATGGAGGAAAGACAGGGGGAGCAGGTTTGTACTCGTCTCTTCATATATGGGTAATCTCACCATGCAATAAATAGAATGCTTTATAACTGCGCTTGGTAGGCAGGCCTTTACTTACCATATTTAACCAAGAAAAATATTACCTGGTGAGCACCATGAGAGGACCCAGACGGCATTTTTCTCTGATCTTCTGCTTTGGATGTCGATTTTTCTTTTCTGGTTATGGAAATACCACTTAATTCTCTGCTAAACATGAAATTAAGTGGCATGTAGCAACTGAGGAGCCAAAGAATCATCAAAACTTAGAGAAACATGAACATAATCTGCCAGCTAAGAATAGAAAATATTTGGTACATCCAAATGTATATTTCACTGTAGTTCTGAGCATTGGAACTTTGGGTTTAGCAAATGGTCCCCTAAGATGTGCCAAGAACTATATTCATTGGCCTCGACATGCACATAACCATTGGCTAAGAAGTTTTCTAAATCTGAACATGCTTCATGATGTGCAGTTGATCTTTGTTGATTGAAAAACTCGGATCATTTGCCAATTATGGCATCGGACTACGATTAGAAATGACAACTTCACATTTGCTACTTGGTACCAAAACGATTACGGAAGAATATCAAGTACCCTCGATATGTGTTTCTTATCAACATATCAATAATGCAAAACCTGATGCATGATAAGATCTGTGAGAGCTGGCAAAGTGAGATATGATGTCCCCAACATTATCCATTCGAGAGCCATCATTTGGGCCAATGAAGCATACGATAAACAGTACAAGCTTTCGGGACATGCACAGATGGAGTAATAGCTGTCCATCTATCACGCCTTAAAAAAGATAAAGCGGCATCATTTTTTAAAATTATATACGTAACAGATGAAAATTAGACAAAATTTCTGATTAATAAGGGAGCGCAACAGGTTACACAAATTGGGCTATTTCTCTTCAACAAGATAATCACATTATTGAAAGCCCTGTAATATGAGGATGCAATCCATCCAATGCTCACAAGGTTTCAACCAAGCTCTGCGATTAAAAAATAGCTATCAAATTTTTAATACATGCCTACAAACAGTAAGATTAGAAAATTAGGGAAAACAATTAGGGAAAAATCAGGGAAAACAGCATTTGGGGGTCCATCTACAGCCTTTCCATTTCAGGGGCTACTCGAAAATTATAACTAGAAAGGTAGACAAGGGAGAGATGAGAGAGGACACCCTGAAACTTGGGAGAGTGGGACAGTTCTTTCGATAAAAAGGGAAGTGCAGTCAGTACATGAACCGAATTGAAAGGAACTATTAGAATTATCATCTCATGTGAAGTAAGCTGTTCTTCTGCAACGGTGTAGTGTTTTTATCAGTATATCATACATGAATTCCTTTTGAAGTATAATATCTCTCTAACACTGCGGAAACAACTATGGCTATTGTCCTAATTTTTCTACTTTCCACTTCTCCGCCCTTCGTTGTCGTCCAAGAGACAGCCTAAATTTTGTGGGTCTATTGTCTTCTTCACTTTCTTCACTGTCTGAAACAACTATGGCTTCCATTATCTTTGAACCTCGGTACACTTCCTCTTCACTTTCACGTGAACCATCCATCTTGTGCTTATGCATTGGAACAATTTCAGCACCGTTCATGCTGTCCTGATGTGACACAGGTTTTGTTGCCTCAGAAAGATTGCTTCTGGAGGAGGACAGAGATAATTGACAGGAAGCATAAGCTTTCTCTTGGTCGCTAGTGTTTTCCTTTTCTACATCTGTCACAGAGTGAAGACGTAGCCTTTCACTAGTCAGACGGCACTTCTTTTGACTGCTTTCGTTCTCATGGGGGATATTATCAGCCTTAGTATTTGATGCTTCAGCTTCCAACTGCGGAGCAAAGATTGATAAGAGATTAACACTTAAACACTAAAATTTTAGTTTAATTTCTTCAAAGAAAACTGCTTATCGAATGAAAACTGATTTCCACATTGATGGTTGTTGCAAATTTTGGGATAAAAATATATTAAACTCCTCTGATTGTTACCAGTTACATTGATTGACATACAAAATTATGGCATAAATTATTTTTGTTTTGGCCTGCTTTATCTTTTTCAGTCTAAGAGAGATCAGACCACTTATCATGTGTGGACAAATACATCTATAAAAAAGATTCAAAGAGGTTTGTGAAGAGACAATCACCACATCATAGTTTTTGAGAACATCAGTTCCAACCTTGGCGTACTTTTCTGTCCAAGATCGAGCTTTTTGGTCAAACTGTTGCCTATTATACTTATATTCCCTGCTCTGTAGATCCCAAAAATAAAAATTAACAATGCGTTAGGGTAGTTCTTGGATGAATAATAAAAATGTAAAAGTACACGTACAGTTTCACACATCAGGCCATCGTCAGGATTAGGTTCACTGAGGAGTATGACGATGCTTGTTAGCACGGTAGAAATGTTAAGAGAGGGTTGCCATGCTCCCTGAAATATTATCTTCGCTCATAAACTGATTTTCTGATGAATAGGAAACAGAAATCATAAAATAACGTTCTAATAGAAAAAGGAAATTATTTTCAGGCATTTAATTTGCACCTTAGGTGGCAAATTGAGAATATCTAGACAGATCCGTCCTCCATTATCTATGTTTGGGTGATAGACGGGTGTAACAAAGGTCACATTAGGTGGCTGGAAGGGATACCTGCACAAACTTTTTGAGATTATTATCAGACAAAATCCCTTAGACTGAAGAAAACAATAAATTTGAACAACGAAAAGCACCTTTCCGGTATTTGAACCCTGACATGAAAAATGCCTTTATCGTATACAGTTCCTTCAGGCCCTTTTATCCCTATGACAACATTCGTACGGATCAACTGCCGCATGGCAATAGATGGAATCCCTACTATATCGATTTCAAGTTTCCAATAATAAACGGAGGGATTGAATAATGTTGGAAACTTACGAGCTTCAATATTTGACAAGGAAGATGTAGAGCAGCCATCATCAGAATTTGGCAAAAGAGAAACACCTGGAGGTGGATCTGATAGCAGGAGCTTCAGTTCCTTCTGCATTCTTAGGTTGAGCCTTACAGCATGAGCCATTTCGAGCTTAACGTCAATAAAGAGACCTAAAATCATTTTTCTTGTACACTAAGTTTCTTGCCAGGGTAATGTGTAATGAAAAGCAAATCCAAGACAACAGACATTAGTCAAACACTGGCTGAATTCTTTCTGGGCTCCGGTAATAACGATGATTTAAATTTCGAAATACACTTTCTTGAGCATAATTATGTCAATCTTTTCCGGCAGAAATCAGTCACGATGACAACAGACAGGGATCTCTCCCATTCATGTTATTATAGGACGTTTTCTAATCTTCCTCAAGACCATGATTATTCAGATCGATGCATTGTAGTTTCAATAAAGAGTGTCCTGACGTGAAAAGTGAAGACGGTGCCATCTATTCAACAAAAAAATCTCAAGACGAGCATGCTACTCTAATTTCTTTTCTAGGAAACTGACATCTTGATGTACCTTAGTGTGAGAAACTATAAGTATTTGCATGCATGCCCACTTGGAGAAATATAGACAACAACCTCGAGGTAAGTTCATTGACATAAGGATGAAAAAGGGCTATACCGACTAAATGTTATGCCAATGCTAATCCATCTCCATATTAATGTCTCAACATTATTCTTATATAACCTTAAACTTCTCAAATTTTATCGGATTCCTAAACTTAAGGACATCAAATGACACGACTACTAGGCATAAGTTTTCTATCTTAGTTATAGCATAAAATTTTAATCAAGAGCATGCAAACACACAATACTGCTAAATATTAGCCATAAATCATTTACCATGCTACGCGTCGCAAAATCCAGGGTACGAACTTGAATTTCTTTTTCTCTGTAGGAATAACCAAATGCATGATGAAACAGAGATACTTAAAACGCAACGTGAATTGCCAAACACTAGCCACATTTTCTACCTTTTATAAACCCAAACCCTAACCCAAGATCTTAAACTAGGGCATTAAAACCCCTAGCCATCTATCTTCATAGAGGCGAGATTGATTTCATAAACTTCCAAGGGATTTTAAAGGAAAATTTGATTTCTAGCCTTCTCCTTCCGGTCGCCCTCCTGGGAGAAGAAATCTATCACCCCCTGTTATCATCCTCCCCTGTGCTCACATCGGCTCCCAGTTCAACGAAAATTTTATCTTTCTTGAACGTGATTTCTACACCTTGTTCCACCGAATGCTCAGCCACATCTAAACATCTACAGAGGAGAAGGGAGGAAGCTCGAGAGGGGAACGCAGAAGACGGACGTACCTTTCCTGAGTGAAAGCCTGCCGTCGAAACCACTGAAGCGCGCGAGAGAGAGAGAGAGAGATTCTGATCTTAACGCGCCACCATCCAAAATTCGAAAACATAATGTCGACATTTTATTAAAGAACCTACAAGATTCATTTTATCCCTAATACCCCTCTAGTCTAACAAGAAGAACGACAATAAACCTGGCCCGCTCGAATCCGGCCCGGCCCAATAATTATTGGGCCTATTTTAGATTGGGCCGTAATTACTTGACGCATTGCGCCTACCTCTTGTTAGGAGAGAGCATTTTACGAATATAGTATACGAAAATTTTAATATTCTTACTATTAACAATTACGATATCTCAAAAAGATACAGAACAACTTGCCTATACGAATGATTTAAGCCAGTCAACGCCTTTTAGTTTTTTGTGGGGTCCACTGTGAAACAAGCCTCACATCAATTTACGTGACATCTGACTTTCATGAGGCTCGAGGTTGACCTCGTGTTTCTCTCCTTCAAATATTTATATTATAATATTTACAACCTAATAAATGAAGTACAATAAAATATAAAGTTAATCATAATAGTAAAATACATTCTTCTTAAGTAAGTTGACCCGATGTCTAAAAGTACAATTTTGTCTTTATTGTATATAATCATTAACTAACATTGAATAAGAATGGTAGAGAGAGAGAGAGAGAGAGAGAGAGAGAGAGAGAGAGAGAATTAACTTATGTGGATATCAACGGGTTGGATAAAAGTAGAGTTCTTTGAAGTTGACAAATTTCAGGTCGTAACTAATCTCTCTCAACTCCATGTTTGCGTTGACATAAAATCAGAAGAATCAAATGGGCTGAGCTGAAACCCACCCAAAATAGCAAAAAAAAAATTGGGCAGATTTTAGTGGGAGTCCCGCCATGTGGCCACCCCATGGCCTGCTACGTGGCAAAATGGGCAGGTGCCTCTGGGTGATGAAAGCTGTGGTCGCTGCAGCTCAAGAGGTAGAAGCTCACCAAGAGCTTGGTTCTTAGAGGAATCTATTCACATGAAGTGATCAGGCCCTTGGTTACAGGGTTTATTGATTATTGCAGTCTGTCTTTACATGACGGGTTTGAGCCGCAATATTATGAGTATTTTCCTCTATAGACCAATCAACAGGGAGACATTTATAGAAATCTCACCTGGGTGGGTCTGGGGCACCATCTCTGAAGCTATACTGCCACTCTCATGTCGAACCCAATATCTTCTTTAGGGCTGGGTAGATTGATGATGCCAATTTGGGAAAAAAAATGATCAGTTGTGGGGGAAGGGGTGCTTCTTTTGCTTCTCAGCTCAGGAGCAGGGGACGGCAAGCTGCTGATAGCTGGAGTAGTTGATCTGATTCAGCCTGATGCAACACAAGACCTGTTCTGGGAGCTCTTCGGGCTTGTTTCCCTGCACGAGTGCCGCGTGAATTTTGGGCAAAAATTGTTGCAGATCTAGTGAAGTATGGAGTTTACCTGAATGGTCAAGCCGACGTCCAGGACGCAGATCTTCAGCCTGTCTAGAAATGCCTCGAACCCCTTTCTGGAGATGTAACTAAACCTGTGCATGTCTATATCAATCTCAAGATAATCTTCTCCCTGTCAGAAATTGCACGCAGAGAGTCAGAGAAAGAAGAACATGGAAGAGAAGCAGCCCCCAGTTCTATAACTTTTTCACATATTATTCATGAATATTCCGACAAGATTCTCCAGTCCCAAGAGTTTGAAAAATAGTTTTCAGTGATTAAAAAAATGAAAAAAAAAGAACTCTTGATAAATGAATTAGACACGTAATTATTTTTTTTAACAAATATAAAAATGCTTCTCAAAGCAATCAAATCATCAGGCTGTGTGATTTGCAGCAGTTAATCACTTCATTTGGGTATTTTTACAACAAAAAAACTAACTAATATTGTTGTAGATTTCCCGGCAAGGGGGAGGCATTTCTAGCTCAAGTGCAAACCTGCGAGAATAGAGTGGACACAGATGTAATATTCACAAAGCCAACGGTTCACTGTACAAATAAATTTTTGAACATGGGTTTTTATGATGCAGGTTTTTCCATGATCCATAGGAAGCCTTGAATGCAACTAGAGATAGAAGGGATGCCTTCTGATAAAAATACTCTTTCAGAGCTTTTGTTCTTGCCCAGTTCATCAGTGAAAGGTCCAGTACGAAGCATTGGATAAACAGTTAGAAAAGGTTTATCCTCATCGGAACATATGCATTTATATATGTACTTTCAATTATCAGGAGTATTCTGAGAATTAATGGCCTCTTGCTTCTCCTTTTGTGCTGCAATGTGTAGAAATACTGACTTTTATTATTCTCATTTGGGCAAAGTTTGTCATATATGAAGAAATATAAATGCGAAGAAACTGCATTTGATGACAGACATTAGGCGACATTATTTTAATTTTCTTTGATATCTCGAGTGGAGGATCCTTGACAATCAGTATCAGTGGGTGCTGGTGCTGAAAGTCAGAAGAGAAATACTTGCCAAGTAAAACTCATGCTGGGGACGGGAAAGAACAGGCTTCTCATTGTAAGCATGCATAAGCTTCCGCTCAGCTGCACTCAGATGAAGATCATCGATATTCACAACACGGCCCAATATCTTTAGCCTTTCTCGAACAGGTAGGATAGTATCTACAGCAAAACCCTTGACCTTTTCTACTTCGTCATCGATTATTTTCTGTTCCAAAATAGACCACACTGCAAATAAGATCGATGAAAGGTTGACACTTACTGAATATAAAGAAAGAAATAACATGTTATGCTTCCATAAAAAAAATCAGACAAAAAGTAGTCAATATATTATACCTCCATTAAAAATAGATGAAAAAAATTATATAAGAAACACCAAGGATGATTTCACCAAGTACTGCATAGAACATTTACTCGAACAACGAACCGGAGCAAATTTGTTAATTGACAGAACATGAATTCCTTATTCATTGAAGTGCACAAATTCATGCATTATGATTCTGTTCAGAATCAATACATCGCCACTTCCTCTTTTATGGAAACGAAAGACAGTAACATATATTTAATCAATGTAATGAACACTAGCTAGAGAGTGATTACTTATCATATGAAATTGTATACCTCAATTTGGAATCATAATGTTTATCATTTTATTTGGATATGCATTTTCATTTTTTTCCACAGTTTCGATATCATTTTTTATGACTAGCTTCAACATTGCCGGTAAAATTTTTACTTCAACAGAAAAATCAGAATGACCACAGTAAGCGAAATTATGAAGCAGATAAATCTTCTTTGATAATCTCGATCAACCCATCTAAGGAATCTAGAATTCTCTAATTTCCCCTGAGCTTTCAAAAATAGGAAACCGTGTATTTAAAGAAATGTGGTGCATCCAAATTACGACAGGGATTTTGACTGGAAAATGAGAGAATCTGTTGAGGCCCTTTCGACCCAAGGGCATCCACATGGAAAGAGGTCCCTCAAACTGTTTCGGTGGAACGGTCAAGACAACCTTCTCGAAGAAGTGGGACCCTGACAGGGGCAGCGAGCCGTTGGAGGCCAGAGCCAGAAGCACAGCGGAGCAGAAGAAGAGGGCGACTCCAACACCGTGACCAGGAAACGACCTTGCCTTTTCCGTACGAGCACCCCTATTAAAGAACCCCGGACCAAAGGAGGAGGACATGCATAAGAAAAGTCTCAGAGACAGGCCATCTCGAAGCAGCCACTACCCATTTCCCTTCCATCCCCGAGGGACATCACCTGCAAGTCGACTCCCTTGGTTACTTTCCCTTCCTAGTAGTTGAGAAGTCTGTAGTTACCTCGTTTGGTGAACCAGTCTCTCTCTACGACGGTCCGACCGACCCAGGGTTTGTTTCCATCTTATTATCCCAATCAGAGCCAGTTTCCCTTTTTGTCCGGTCTCGACCCGGGGTACCCATCAGAATCCTAAGACATCAGATGAATCCGTCTTGAGCAAGCCAGTTCCATACTCCATTGTTAAGACCCGTCAACAACCACCTGGTCGAGTTAACTCAAACAGCACAAGAACTTCCTATGGCTGGTTGTCACATAGGAAAGCGACTCTCTTAGTTGCACACTGTAATCTCATGCAAAGAGGAGAACGTTTTCGTAAGTTACCTGGAACTTGAAAGAATCATGTCAAAGGTGGGAGCTGAATTTGACAAAGGGATATGCGAGATTTTTTAGAAGGCAGTCCCTTAAAGGGAGAAGTGGAACATGACTCCGAGGAATGCTGAAGTCAATAATAAAAAAGTGTTGAAACGGCAGCAATTACCTCTGACACCAAGATCGTCTGCCGCAACACAGGCATGTACTTCAACAGCTATTTTTTCAAAACAATCCTACAACAAATCTTGTACATGCTAAGACTCGCAAAAAATGGGAAGAGGAAAAAACATAAAGCATGTGATTGATAACCAGCGTAAAAACAACAGGTTAAGAAGCACAAGTAGAGAATTTTTTTTTGTGCTGAACCTTACCCTCAGATTTTCCTGGAAATGCATAGGAAACTCCTTTGAGAAGTTCTCAGAGAGCCTAAAATACAGTACGTAGCTCATTCCTTCCCCATTAGTTTCATTTTGAAAGATTGCAGCAGAGTATAGTGGGATCTGGAAGAAAAAGTACATGAACTAGAGTCATTACCAGATGTGAATTATGTGTGCAAGAAGATAAGTGGCTCTAATGTTAAGACTACAAAACCAAAATAAAAGTGGATAATACGTTCAATCACAACCGAACTACAGTTAAGCTCTCTTAAGTTTCATCAGCCAAAACCTAGCCTAGTCTCTAGTTTGGAGACAATCTGTCAAAAGTCAATTTGAGACACTTCACATTAAGGGAGACACACTCCAGGGGAATTGTGAACATGGTGATCACATAACATTCTTGCTGGTTCTAGAAGCTTAAATGAATAATCTTCTATCACCATCCATCACGTCCTTAAAAATCAAGGCCTAAAAAAGAAATAACCTGAATGATCTACATTATATCCTCTCCTCCTGTGTGTGTGTGTGTGTGCGCATCCAGCATACTTCTAAGGTGAACCAGGTGATGGTCCACTGTCTTTAATGCCTAGGCAATAAAGTGAGTTAGGTGAGACTTATTTTTGCATATCTATATATTTTAAAATAACTTTAAAATACATTAAATATTTGAAAAAATATTTTATATAAAAGTCTACGTGATGCTATGCACAAGGATTATTATTAGCATAAAATCCTTAAAAGCCATAAATAATACCAGCACTTATATTTCAAAATAAATCAAATGTTCAGAATTCTGCCATAGTGAGAAGTAGAGTCAACGCCAAATGAGTTCAGTCATTCACAGCCCAATGGTCAGTTGTGAATGGTTGAATACACTTCGTAACTGGTCATAGAGAAAAAATGGGAATGGCTTAACCCCTGAATGCAGTTCACATTCGAAGGCATCTGGCTGCCAAACAATGATAGAATTTTAACATCTAGAAAACACCACTTAGGAATAGAATGCAGTTCACTTGATCAGACAAAAGATTCATTGATACAATAAACCTCTAACATATAAAATTTTTTTGATCAAAAAAATAATTTGAATTGCAATTGTAGTACAAAATTATAATTCATTGTGATAGTTATTTCTCACGGCATGTAGTGGATAAAAACAAATTTCGAATACTACCAAAATTTCCCAACGAGAAAGGCATAATGAATTAATACCTGCACGTTTACAACAAGGACGGATGGAAATTTTCCAGATGAATTTACACTTGGAAGTTCAACAAAGCGAGCAATGTGATCAATTTTCTGCTTGCATAAGAAGACATCCACACCGAAAGGATAATAAGCTGCACAATTTTGAGCAAACTCTTTCTTTTTGTCCCTACATGGAAATTCAGAATGCATGTAAGTGGCAGATGGTTATTTAACCTTGCTGAGAAGAAATGAGTAAGGCTGAAAAAAGGAAACAAACAAAACACGAGACATCAGTGTCCTACAGAAAAACTTAAGAAAATGCACGCATATATCCTTCTTTCTTGTCCAGTATGAACTTTACAATGTATATAAATGCAGAGAGTTATTGGAATTCCCTGTCTCACAAATATCATCAAATAAGTAATGCTATCGGTGACTTCAAAAAAGGGGGACCAGAAAGAGTTATCATGTTTCAGTAAATTTTGTAGTACCTCAGATAATTTTCGCCCCGAACCTTGAAAGTACCAGGCTCAATGTTGGACCAACAATCTGGCATATTTTTCTCCAGCAGGCAGTAAGGAACTTGGGAAGCTGCTAGTGGTCTTTCAACGAAGGACTTTGTACTGACTGGAGCACAAATGAAAATAGAAAGTCATTAAAAGATAAAATTAAGGAACCAGAGCAGATAAATATCACTCAACTATCCATGTATCAGACTGATAGACCTACGGCTTTGACAAATCAGAAAATAACATGTTACCAAAAATAAAAGGCAATCAGGCTACTGCGATATAACATAAACACTGCTGCAGACCAAAAATAAAAGAAACAGATTTTATTTTGGAAAAAAAGATATTGAGTATCACCTACTTTATGAAAATGCATAAGCTGACACATCCAAGTGTCCCAATGTTGGATATACGGACAAATAAAATACAAAAAAACTACAAGGGGGAACTTAGAATGGGTACAGAGGCACAGAGAAAGAGCGAAATTGCAGCTAAAAGCAGGCAGAAGCTCAGATGAATGGTATCAACACTGAAAGACTAAAGCTTTCTCATAAATTTTGGTGCTACATCAGAGGCTAAGTACATAAAATACGCCTATGTCACAAGAAAATATTTTTTGAAAGGAGGGATGACAGGACTTGGTAAATGGATTTTATAAATTTAGGTAAAAAATTATATTTCGATTATACACAAGACACTGATGAGGCTTATGCTTGAGTAAATCAGACGCAAAGAAGAGGAACCCTCTCTGTCTCAAAGCATATTTAGTTTAAGGTCTCTAATTTAGTTTAGTTTAAGTGCAGGAGCTCAAGAAAAATCAAAAGAAAAAAAATAATACGCTCTGCACCTGTTATGTATCAATGCTTTGAGTTGATTATTCAGAAGTAAAGCAAACGGTAAAAAAATGACAGTACAAGAACAGTTTCCATGTATTAAACCGTGAGCAGTAATCAAGGTCTGACAAAGAAAGCAGAGGAGTAAATCGAAAGTTAAAAAAAAATTAGCTTCAGGGAAACAATCAATTGAAAACTCACGAAGAGTATTTGGAGTATGGCCTTCTCCAGATCTCCATTTGAAGGAGAGTCTTAAGGTAGCCTTTTTTCTTGAACCAGGTGGACTGGAGCTTAAAGAACCCTTCTTTTCAACTGGAACTAGACAAGGCAAGCAATTGTTTGGAAGAATACCACAAGGGTCCAATATTCTTCCATCACCGGCGACAATTTCATCAGCATAAACAGTGGACGCTTCATCATGGCTCGCAAAATGTTTAGATGTGTTACTTTCTTGTGAATTCACATTATGGGCTGAATTTCCGATAGCTGTCTCTGATACTTTCAGTCCTTTTAGCTGCAGGTCAGAGGACGGCACTGAGAGAACGTTGGTACTAATCTCTTCAAAGGTAGCGTCCCTGAATGAGGTAAGACTTGACACAGATGCAGCTTCAAAGCCATTTAAAGATAATGCATCTGAAACCACATTAATCCAAGGGTTATCCATAACATCATGACGTTAATGCTGATATGCCTCAACAATGTTAATTATCAATATCAACGTATCCAGCAAGACATACCTTCTGGTACGCTTAGAAAATCTTCATCACAATCTGACTCCAGAGATAGGGTAGTATCGAACCATGCCTCTTCTTTACTTCCTAAGATGTGCATATTTTTGGTTGAGAAAAAAAGAGAATTGACAAGGTTTTATAGGATAAATGAAGGGCATGTCGTCTGGACAATGGGATATATGCAATATATACACAAAAAATCACGCAGAAACCTCAGGTACTCATTCGAAAAAAAGAAATGTGAATAAAGAACCAAAAATATTATAAGACTTTGTTCAATGGGACTATATGCCACATTGGAATGTCGCATAAATCCTGCAATATTCACAAAATACTGATTACAACAGCGCATAAGATGGAAAGCCGACAGCCATGAAGATAAGTGCTGCCGAGCCAGCCAATGGTAAATAGATATGGACAGTCTCGGGTGATCCACAACAAAAAGAGCAAGCATTTAACACGAGCATGAGGGAGAAACATCGAGAAAAGAGATCAAAACGCACAAGAAATGGGAAGTAAATTGAATGAAAGACGAAGATCCATTGATTTTACCCTCTTTTAAAATGCTAGGAACAGCGAAAGAAGTTCCAGAAAAAGAAAGAAATCAAATATTTATCCCATACGTTTTTGTCAAAACTCGCGACACCCAGACACCCAATAAAGAAAAACTTTCTCGGAAAAATCAGCGAAAGCAGAAACTCGCAGCGCCCAGATATACACAAACGACGCATAGCAATTTACCAAACTAAGGGAAAATAAGGGCGAGCATTGAACGGAACAAATCGCCGCGATCAATTGACTTTTTCTTTCACCTCGAAAGACGGGGTTCCCGTAAGTGCGGCATCCATCGTCGCCGACGGCGGCGCAGCCGTTGGTCTGTCCCTCCACCTCGGGGATCGTCTCCATGGAGGCGGTTTTCCGAGACCATAGCCGCCGCCTGGACACCCTAATCCTCCTCCTCGGCCGCCGCCTCGGCTTCAGACGCCCGCCGGCGCACCCCTCTCCGGGGCTCGACATGCAGCCCCCCATCCTTCCCTCTGCACGCCTCTCAATCCTTCAGCTCATCATCACCGAAGCAGATCAAGCGGCCGGAGGCCATGGGGGAATGAATGGAGGTCGACGCGCTTCCCCCCTCGTCTCTGCCCATCTCCCAATCCTTCCCTCAGTTCACACCGAAGCAGGCCATGCGACCGGCGCTCCCATGAGAGAGAAAATGATGTGGACACGCCTGCACCTCAACCCCCGCGATGGTGGAGGTGAAACCCGACACGCCACCGGCTGACCAGACAGACACCACCAGAGCTAGAGAGAGAAATAGAGAAGGGGAGGAGAGATGGGCAGAAGAAAAAGATTAGGTGGTATCTCTCCAATATTAATGATGTTCGAGAGATGGGGCGAAATAAGGTAGCCTAGGATTAAAATATGTAAAGTATTATGGGTATTATGATCTAACAGGGCGGCGTAGGGTTTTTTTTAATAATAATGTGTGAACGGGGATTCCTAAAGTGCGAATTTAATAATATTAATCGCATCTTATTAAATGATCCTGTTGTAATTTCTTACATTCAAGTCTCGAGAGAAAATATTCCGATGATTAGAGCGACCGCGGAGAACACGTCATCACCTTTGCGATACCGACGCGTGGCATTCCGCTGGTGTTCGGGGAGCAAAAAGCCCGGTGACGTGTCACTCTTCCTGAATGGGTTTACATGAGCCCAGAAAAGCCCATTTCATTAAGGGCTCGGTTTTGGAGTGGTCTCTGTTATCGGATATATCCGTTAGTGAATGCTGTCAGTTACCACTATCAAAACCGAAACTTTCCCCAATCGAACACTGGGAGGAGGCTCAGTGAGAGAGGGAGGAAGGGAGGAAGATGGTGGCGATCTCGTTGTACAGGGGAAACCTGCACAGGGTTCCCGATGTGCCGCGGCGGTGGCCAATGCCTCCGCGGGCCATCTCCGTCGGAGAATTCAGGGTCCTGCTGGACAGACGATCGAGGGCCCTAGCTCAACTACAGGCCTCCGGAACTGCGACTGACGCAGAGGGAGATGCCGAGGAAGAGAAGCTCCCGTCAGGGGAGAAGGAGGAGGGAATGGGCGACAGCGGATGCCCGAAGCCTGGTCAGTCGTTGGTATCGTCCTCAGCAGAGGTAGCCCCGGAAAACGCCGAAGGCGGCATCGTCGCACGCCTCGAGGGTTCAAAAGAGATGGTTCAGGATGTGGAGATTGGGGAGGGTGACGGAGCAGGAGCAGGGGGGAACGGGCCGTCCTGTTCCGCTCCAAAATCTATCATTTGGGAGAGCGACAAACTCGAGGAGAGCAAAGCTGTCAACGACTCAACTGCGGATGGGGGGGCCAGCGGTAAAGTTGAGGTGCGGAGAGATTGAAAAGCTATTCATCTCGTTAGAAATGATTGTGGAAAAATGAATTCGCATCTTTATGATCATGAGGAATCTTGCTAAGCAACTTAGATTTGAGCTTGTAATCTGCCCTCCTGTTTTTTTTTTGCCGTCCATGTAGATTTTTTTGGCTATTTCTGATAGTTTTTGGCGTGGTTGACTGTTCTTTATGTCTGAGAGCTGCAGTTAGTTCTGTGCTAATTCCACTTGACTTTAGTGAGGGGAGTACAGACCATAGGGAACCAGTGCACGGATCAAGTCATGTACACGTATGAAAAATTCACATCATAGATTCCAAATTAATCAGCTGTGTGTATAATCTACTTCCTTCAATGCCAAGAGTCCCAAATAAGGGAACATTAACATTTCTTTTTGGCATAGTGTTTCTTCCCACGTAGATGATGAAGCTAAACGAATTAGGATGGAGTCAACGTTAAATCTAAGATGTATTTTAGAACTTGTTCATTAATGTGAGAACATTGAATTTTATAAAAACAAGAAAATATAATGTAGATGAAAGAGAAAAGAAGATTGTACATGTATGAGGGGAACCCTAGCGTTAGCTCAATTGCTGCTGTTGGACCATGGTACTTGCCACTGGAAGATCTTGGGTACCATGACCAAGGGCACCTGTAATTGATAAAGTGGGGGCGGTCGCAACTTGTAGGTACCTCCTGGCCTTTATCAGGAATTGTTAGGTTCTGAAGCTAAGTGTGCAGCTTCATTTTTTTTCTATGGGGCAGTTTGGCATTTTTATTCTGGGGGTGTATGTTGGCTGTGGCTTCTCTTGTTGTGCCAATGTTTTGTCATGGGTAGAATCCTTTTCGAGAGGTCTACATCTAGTTCTTTTGTCTATCTCCGTATTTTATTCTGCCTTTATTTCATTTTTTTATGGAATCACTAGTGACCATATTCGCCTTCTTTGGAAAGAACTCTGCATCGTTCTGTTGCTCTCATTATCTTTTGTCTTTATATTCCATTTGCCTTCAGTGCTTACCTGTTTGTGTTGTGATGTTACTTTTAGGCAAGCATCTTTGACGGTGTTAATGACATAGAGCAAAGGAAAAGGGATCTGGAGAAGAAGTTGGATGTTTTGAATGAGAAGAAACACCACCTTGTACAGATGCTGAAGCAGGTAACTCTACTTTTCTGGTTTGCATTCCTATGATGGAGTAGATGCTTATAATTAATTTATTAATTTAAATAAATAAAAAAGAGAAAAATATGTGGGGAGGGCGTTTGAGGGTTATTCTTTGATCATTGCATATATATATATATATATATATATATATATAAAATCATGTAAAAAAGAGAAAGGCATGGTCAATACAGTATCTCAACATATGAAGCCACGGTCTCAAAACTTTGGTCATTCATGACTTAACTGAAAAAGAATCCAGATGATTTGCTATGACAATCAAACTAAATTACTTCGTTTAGCTTTCCAGAAGATTAGATAAATAGTCTTGATACTCTTCTGGCTTTCATGCTGTTCCTTAAGAGCCTTCTTGTTTGCTTAGAAAATAATCGCTACAAAGGATGGCTGTGAGTTAGTTGGTGAGGAAGTGCATGCAGAACAAGATCTCTTAAATCATATTTCATATTCATTATATAACTTAGTGTAACATTAGACAATTGGTCAGTTATCCATTTGTTTTGTGATAAGAATTTAGTAAAGATCAGTAATTGATAAGGAAATGTCTTCAGCATTGAACTTTTCATTACATTGAAGAGCACAAGGCAGTAGATGTGACATGCTCAACGTGTTTTCACTTGTCAAGTTTTGATAGGAGATATCAGAAAGCTTAAATTTGTAGCTGCAACAATTGTGGAGAAACAGAGGACAGTTTCTGTGGTGGGCCTGGTCGAGGGGGGAGTTGGTCAAGGATATTTCTTTCAGGTGTTGTGAAAATATTGTAGACCTCAAAGGATATCCTCAATCCTCTGGGCACCTGTATCGTGCTGTCTTAGTTAAGAAATGGGAGCTGTTGTGACATTGTACTGTTTGTCACAACAAGCACAATGGATAACTGTCCTAGTGCCAACTGACCCTACATGTTGGGCCTTACCTAGATTGTATATACCATTGGTACCAGGTTCTACCTGTCATTGCCTATGCTGACAAACCATGCCAACCTTGAGTACATCTTGAGTCTCCCTCATACCCTTTAGGGAAAGGTTTTCATTCAATCTTTCATTGTTTATTTCTTGAAATTGTCGAGCTCAAGCTGTATGAAGACATTAGACACATTTTTGGATGACATCCTCTGATTAGGGGAGATTTTTTGTGGCTTCATGATGCTCTGAGGCAACAGTGTGTTTCAGCCAAAGGCCTATAAACAATTATAGACATGATCATTCGCATGGTAATTATAGTTGGTGTATTTCTCCTCATTGAAAGTGAAGGGATCCTGTTGCATGACATCCATCGTCCAGCTCTCGGCACCAGTCTGGGTCCAATAATGTCATTGGTGTACCTCAGACGTGAATGGGTCTTTCTGGCAGCTCTTATTCTTCTCACTACAAGTGTGTTTATTTTTATTCTTCTTTTTGTACACGAGTTATTGTGCAGTGCCTAACAAAATATAAGTTACTGTTGGCTGCATTGTCTAGTTCTCCATACTGGGTCATAATATAAGTTACTGTTGGCTGACTAATGTTCATGAAATACACTAAGGTGAGGGTTGTAAATTGTTCATATTGGTAGCACATACTTCTCAATTAGTCAATCAATGATATTCATGCTCTTGTTGGTTGGTAAAGTTTATCATCTATATAAAGGTTATGTATTTCTCACCTTTGAGATAGATGCTAGATTCAATCTAGATATAATTTTACCAATAATTTGCATAAATGCGCAATGATATGATTGCTTTTTTTATGATTACCTTTACACTAAATTTTTTGGTGAATTCAGATTTTGGCCTTCTATATTTCGATGAATTCCTAGATTTTAATGATTCAGGAGATATAAAGAGCATGATTAGTTTTCAGCTATTAAAATTTCTTTATGTACGTACATTCCTGTTACTGCTCATTGATGTGGTTTGGTTATTTGCATCGTTATCTATCTGTAAAAAAATTAAAAAAATGGGCTTTTGGTGAATTTCCGTAGATCTTAAATGCTGAAGAGGAAATGAAGAAAAGGACCAGCATTGAGCCACCTTCTATTCGTGCCTCTTTTCCTTCTCAAGCTGATGCCCCAACTGACACTGGATCTACAATAAAAATTGCTGCTCCAAGAATGACCGTAGAGGTAAATTTTGGGGGTGATTTCAGTGGCGGTGGGGAGTCAGAAGAGATTGCTAGCCATGGTGCTCAAGTGCGTCATTCACACCACATGCAAAGCCCATCCCCATCCTCAGCTTCTCCTTTCAACAGACCGATGCATGGATTTGTTCATCATAATTCGGTAACTTCTTTACAACTGAACTATTTTCTTATTAAATGATAATACCTGTTAATTATCTGTCCCGGTGGCAATGGTATCCTCCAGAATCTTCAAATGTTATTTTTCACAATTTTTTACTTTCACTCTACATTTGTTTATGCCCCCAACATAAGGCCCGGGGATCGTTATTTATGCAAACTTCATCATGAGGTATGGAGTTTCTAAGCTCTTGTCCGGTGTTGCTATTACAAAATTTTGTGGAATTGGAAAAGAGCAACACTGTTTTTTAGAGCTCACATTCTTCCCCAAGATCAATGGTGTGATTTTACGCCCAGTTGCTTTGAGAGAATGGAGTGTCTTGTGATCCATCAGAAATAATAAAAGACCAATTTCTCCAAGGGACATGCAGAGAATATTGGCCCATTCTTAAGAGTTTATGGATCATCCAACTCAAAAACAAACCTGTCTTTGTAACCACATACTTTTTCTAAAACCAATATGGGACTATACTTCATATTCTGAAACAAAACCCACTGTTCCCTCCGTATGATATCCATTATTTATTAATGAAATCTGTAGAAGCCTCCCAGCCTATGGAGAATTTGGTTGCAATAACAAAACAGCCCTCCCTAGTTCTTCAACCACAAGATCTAAGAGCAGAGAGGATGGTCAGTATTGGCAGAAAACCCACGGAATCTTCCTATTAGCCATGTCATATGCTTTTGAATATTTTCTTCAGAGCAAGCATCGGTCTTTCACACTGTCTTGGTATCCGAAATTTTTTATTGCGCTAAGAATATGGTATTTAGAAAACGCTTGTGTTATATTTCGTGTAAAATCTTTTCTTCATCTTTTTTTCTTTGTTAATTTCGATCTGTTTTAATTCGTTAGTTTCCTTTTACCTGATATAATCTTCGGTTATATTTTGGTAGACTAAATCATTTATAATTTTTAGGAAGTGAAATGGGGAAACTGTGACTTAGCTACTTCAAAGTCCATGCCCCTGTTTCCATTACTAATTAAGGGTTTCCTTTCTGATAAGTGAGGATATCAGTGGCCTACCCGTAAGATTGCCTGGGACTTCATGGTGGGTGGCGAGTTCAATTGATCATGGGTTCTTGTCACTTGAAAGGATGATAATCAGAGGAAAGATAAAAAACACCGGAAGGTTAAAAATTATGTATTTATGCATGCGATAAACTATGATAATGGAGATATTCAGTTGATGGGTGCTGCTAGTTATCCTCATGCCGGGAGCTGTTCAGCATAATTGATCTTGGTCCTCTTTAAAAACCATCCCTTTGGAACTCGGCTTGTATGTCAAGTATCTTTGGCTGATATGCAAAAATAGTATAGTCCATTGTTTTTTTATTTCGTCTAGGTCATGCTAGAGACTATTTTGGAAATCTGAATGTATACCAAAGGAAAAAAAAAACTAGTTTAGTAATTACTTCGTCTACTCTTCACAGGCCAGCACCCCTCGAGGAATTTCCACCTCCACATCACTTGGGAGTATGACAGCTAGCCCATCTCGCTTTGCTCCATCCGGACATCCAGGCCACATGACAAGTCAACCCATGGTTTCTATTTCTGGGACTCATTTTCTTGCCTCCTCACCCTCCCCTGCAGGTTCCGGCAGTGCCTCCTCCGTTTTCAGAGACTCTCATCTCGCCAGCCCATAGTGGAAAAATGGGCATCTTTTATTTGTGTGAATGGAGAGAATTCATGTTTATGAATGCTCCAAGAAAGCAGCCTCTGTGTGTGTGTGTGTGTGTGTGTGTGTTTGTACCTCAAGTCATGTATAATATATAAACTGTCCACTTGAAATTGGCATTTACATTTTGTGATCAGCTAAGTTAATATGATAATGTTGGTGTATACAAATTATCAGAGTTTATCTAGGCTTCATATAGGTCACCAATCTAATTTACATACAATAGGAGGGGGAAAGGGTCAAAATCCAAATTGTAAGGAGGTTATGAGTAAACTTCCAATGGAGGGGGTAAGAAAAAGGGAGTGAAAGGGGGGGAAAAGGAGACTTGGAAGTATTAGGGTGTTTTGGAGAGATAACCCTCTCGAATAGTTATCATTGGTGTTTAGGGTTCTCATGATCTAATTCTTAACTTCATTTTTCTTGTTTTGTGTTATCTTCTATGATATTTGATTCTTGTTCTTCCTTTGATATTGGAGTTCTATCAATTGGTATGAGAGCTGACTTGATGATACCTAGAATCCATGATGAATGGTTGGAAAACTCAGAAAAGAAGCTGAAGAGATGAGGGAAGAATTGTGATGTTTATTGAAGCTGAAGAGTCACCTATAGACTATGTTATTCTACTCATCTATGTTGATAATATTATTCTGATGGGTGATGATAGATAATATATCTTTGATTTCAAAGTCTTTATTCGAAATAAAATAGCAAAGAAGGATTTAGGTCACCTTCGATATTTTTTAGGCATTGAGGTTGCCTGCTCTTCCAATGGCCTAATTATCAACCAGCAGAAGTATATACTTGATCTATTACAAGATGCATAAATGTTGGGCATCAAACCAACTCCTACAACAATAGATCAAAGGTCAAGTTACTTTTGAATTCAAGTGATGCTCTTGAGAATTCAGGACAATTCTGTCACTTAATGAGGTGACTAAATTACATAACCTTGACTCGTTGTAACATTTCTTTAACTACAAGTGTGGTTAGAATATGGTAGGATTAGAGACACTTTGACAAATATCAAAATCTTGAACTAGCAAATAGAAAGAACTGAACTAAGCCCGAGGAGACTACTTCAGCTCTTAGATAAATTTATGCATATTGCACACAAAATTTGGTGAGTCAACTAAAACAAAAGCAAGAGGTTACTCCATATACACCTCCTCAAAATCAACATGAAAAAAAATATTTTTCAGATCAAACTGGTGAAGAGGCTATGAGAAATAAACTGCAAACACTAGCAAGATATGAACTGAAGTAAGCTTCGCCACTATAGACGAGGTCTCAATATAGTCTTCTCTATATATCTTATAAAATCTCAAAGCCATCAGGTGAGTTTTGAAACGATCAATAGAACCATTTACAATCATCTTGATTGTGAATACCTAGCGACAACTCACCACATGAGTAGAAAAGAGACGAAGAACTAAGTGCCAAGTCGAGTTACAACTAAGGGTCTTGATCTCTTCCACCATCACAACATGTCAACTAGGGTGATTCAATACTTGAGAAATAGTATTAAGAACATAAACATACGATAGGCTAGAAAGAAATGTACGGTACAACGGGGTGAGATGGGAATAAAATGTTTGATACATGAATGGGGTACCTTTCGTAGGACATTTGGAAGGTTGAGATATGACGACAAGAATGGTGCAAGTGGAGTTGATGATGTTGGGTGTAGAAGGGATGCCACGTGTAGGATGATAAAGCCTCATTATTACATGATAGTATATATATTTTTTATGTGATTATAGCTTAAATGTCTTAATGAAAATACACATTCAATGTAAACATATTTTTATGTGATATTAAATTATTTACTGAAATAGATACAAAAATTATTAAAATTTACATATTTTATAACATGTACATTCTATTAAACCAAAACGTTTCTTATGCAATGCTGATTCTATTCTAATAGATGGGAAATTTATATTTATATAAAAGAAAATTAGAAGAATGGTAGTTTAAATTTTCAATGAATTCTTTGTAATTTTTAAGTGTCTAATGAGTTGAGTAGTGGATTCATTATAGTGGGTTCACTATCAAGTCACGTACCAACCCATTTCAATGGGGGGTATTTAAAGGGAGAGAGAAGAGAGAGAAGGGGGTTCATTAGTGGAAAATAGGGCTTGAGTTAAAGCTAGATTTTTGTGTTTTAATTAGTTTTATTATTTGATTTTATCTTGTTAACTTGTACAATAAATATAGGATATATTGTTAATTTTAGAAGTTTGAAGTTAAAATGCTTAACATAATTTTAGATTATTTAAAAATATAAAGAAATATAAAAAAATGTGCTACCCACTAGCAAGCTAGCACTCGGCACTTGACCTAGAGGGGTGCTGCGGTCGAGCAAGTAGACCCAGACTGGGGGATCCACAAGTTGGGCTTGAGTGGTGAAGGACTTGCTCTGCGCACGTGTGCATCACTCCTCTTCCATATCCTGGTGGCCAATCGATCGTGGGGCAAGGAACGTCTGTACACACACATGTGTGCATGAGGGCAGACCACCTTTTTACCTTCTCCCAAGATAGTCTTGGGCATTATTTTATTTCGAGAGAAGGGATCTCTGATGAGAGGCCATAACTTTGATTTATATTTGACTCATGTGCCAAAATATTTCTAATGTGGGACAAAACATTTTCATATGTTTCAAGTAGCCTTCTATAGTGCGATGTGATCTAGTGGTGTTCAGCGAGCCACGTCATCAGATAAGTTAGATCCTATGGTCGGCGTACCACCATGATACCAACAATCCATTGGTGGTTCACGAATTCAATGTCGCTCAATATGCATGTGGCCTTAAATGATGATCTGATGACTAAGGAGATGCCACGGTACCAAGAACCTAAGTTCCCGATCGGTAGCAGTTCGTGGCAGGTTGATCTTGTGTCGCTCAATGTGCCACGTGACCAAGCACATCTGATCCAACGACTCTTGAAGCGCCACGATATCAAAAACTTAAGTTCCCACACGTATCATTATTAGGGATATAAAGATAATAAACAATTATTATCTGGTTAAATAGATAATATCAATTATCTTTAAAATCTCGACAGTTGACACAAAAACGACAATCCGTTCCCTCTCTCATTTTGCCGGATCAACGCCTCTTGCAATTGGCAAAGCTCGTTCCTTCCTCCCACAACTGCACTCAACGCCTCTAGCAAGTGGTCAGCTCTTCCCTTCTCCTCTCAAACAACAATGACAGTGTGATCAATTCCTCTTTCAATGGATCTCTCTGACAAGTGACGCAACACTTTTAGACGATACTTCTGCGACTTCCGACATGGTGGCACACATCAGACGAAACCAAGTCATCACACTAGTGTCTCTAGTTATCCAAGAGGCAGCCTAAACTTGGGCAACGATTTATTTCCTGCTTTCAGTATTTACTTATCTACTTTTGTCATCTATTTATATTTTACGACAAGTTATTTCTGTTTCATATATGTTTCAATTGAAATGAGTAAAACTAATTCAAAACTTGATGAATGATCATTATTCTTCTTTTGAATCCTCCAAAACTTGTCTAAGATCAAGCTAAGATCATTTTCAACTTATTTCTATTGATTTTTATAGTCGAATCTCAACGTATTCATATTCCCTATGTTCTACGAATAATGAGTATTTTTCTATTTTCGAACACGAAATCACTGAGATTAAAGACTACTAATGAGCATTCAACTATTAAAATAAACTGGAGACATTCACAACTAACCTCATGTCATGTGTGTGAATCCTCAAGCACACATTCATCCGAGAATAATGGTCACCGTGAAAACAGGTTGATTGTATTTTTCTCTTTCTTCATTTTCATCTTATTTCTTTTTCTCCATCTCTCACAAAATCTCTCCCTTTTTCTCCCTCTCTCTTGATCAAACTCCTCTTTCTCTCTCTCGATCAAACTCCTTCTCTTTATCTCTCTCGATCGATCTCCTTCTCTTTCTCTCTCTCGATTGATCTCCTTCTTTCTCTCTCTCTCTCGATAGATCTCCCTCTCTCTCCTTCTCTCTCTCTCTCGTGAGACTTTTCTCTCTCCCTATCTCACATGAGATTTCTCTCCTCTCTCTTTCTCTCCCTTTTGTAAGAGATCTCATCCCTTCTCTCTCTCGTGAGAGCTCTCTCTTCTCTCTCTCTTCTCTCTTTCTTTTCCTCCTTTCTTTTCTCCACTTCCCTTCCTTTATTCTTCTAACCTCACCCCTCTATTTTATTAAATATTAATAAAATATTAAATCACTTTATATATATACTAAATTAGTTTTCACGATAGATTAATCAATCTCCTTGTGTTCTACTTGAGACTTACTTCTATACTAATATTTTATTAAGTCATAGTTATAAATATTATTAGATAATGTGCATTTAAACACAACGACAAGTGCACATCATCTTTTTAGCATCGTTGTTGGGGAGATCTATTTTAATCAGTATTACTTGATTTAGTTTTTTATTTTTAATTATTTAAAAAATATATATTATAGCTTTCATTATTTTATTATTTTATTCAAATAGTATTTTGAAAATAAAATAAAATAATAAGTTTGTTAGGCTCATTTGATTTCTATTTTCTTTTATAAGTTAGAATTTTAAATCTTTAGTTTTTATTTATTTACTTGAATATTTTACATTTCACATTGATTTTATACTTCTCTTTAACATATTTATTAGAATCATATATTCATGTCATGATCATTGCTAGATTTAAATTCTGAAAAACCCGATTTATGAATGGTAGATGCAAAGAGATGACAGAGGAAGGCGACAAGTGGCGGAGTGAAAAATCACAATGGCGACAATGATGACAACGACAACGGTAGTGAGTTCTCATTCTACGTAATAAACAAAAGAGCTGAGCACAATTGTGACAACACTCACGATGACGATAGTGATATTAGTGATAATGTCGCTAGTGGTTGCAAGCTCCCCTATTGGGTGACAAGTGAAGGAGAAGTCGAG